CGGTGAATATCTAGTGTTAAGTCGTTGTGAGATTACTGTATAACTGTAAATATTATTTACCCCTGCTGCCATACAATGTATTGACAAAATAATTGTGGTAAAAAAGTGCTATAACGAGTTCTTGTATACCAGGCAAGTCACTCGCAAAACCAAGTTGTGGTGGAAATGTGTGAAAAGATCCTGTGGTCGTTATCAGGACGGGGGCAGTGTGATGACAAACTTTGTTTCATTGATTTATGTTGCTTAAGGCAGGCATGGGCAACCCACGGCCCGGACCATGTGTTTGTGAGGCCTGTGGAGTGATTTAGAAATTCTATTTAATGTGAACTGGTTCAGGTAGATGCAGTAAGTTTATGGTGAGTAAAGCAATATTTATTAAAAGAATAATCTTCACACAATTCGTTGCTGTTTCATTAACTAAGAGTAAGTAACTACGAAAATGTAATAGTGAAATAATTATATAAAGTCAACAATATAAACATTTTAACTTGTGTGTGGGCCAAGTTCAGCGCGGTTTGTTTGATGGATTAGCTGTGTGGTAGTGGGTCACTTGTGAATTAATTAAGGTTGAGTAAGTCCAAGTGGGGTCACAGGCATTGGTGACCCAGGGTTTAACTAATTAAGTACTTCCAGAATAACACAAAAACACCAAAATTGCATCTCGGAAACTGATAGTTGGTGAGTAATTAGCATTGAAATAATGTCATTAAAATCTTTCAAGCATCATTATGAACACTAATTACCAAGCAATCTAATCGTGGACCATAGATTTAGAATCAGCATGCTCAGGAGTACCTATACAGTAGAGCAAGTCCTCGTATAACGTCGGTCCGCTAAACGTTATTTCGGTACTACGTCGCTAATCCTTGGATACCAAAACTTTTTTAATGTCCCGATGACTCGGTACAACGTCGTTTTGCGACGTCACAGACGTGACTTGCCACCCTCCCACAAATACTCCTCCCCTTTTGTCATCCGCCTCCTCCGCTTCACTACCCACCACACACTCGCTCTACCACCTCCGCCCATTGGTGAGTACCAATACAAACTTAGTAGTTGTACGTATATGTATGCACTATTTTCTATAGAAATGGCAATGATTTTCTGTATATGTAATGTATTTCATGGGGCAAAGGGAGGCTCAGGAACGTAACTCCCGTATTTTAGCTATTTCCTATGGGGAAAATTGATCCGTTTAACGTTGCATTTTTAGGAACGTAACCCTGACATTAAGTGAGGACTTGCTGTACTGAAATTTTCAACGAAATCTAATTTTTGGCCGAAACTGCCATTACGACCATTAATTACCCCTATCATTAGTTAGGTAGTGTTCCCCCCCCCCCCCCATACTATACTGTATGTTCTTTTATTCGCTATACAAAAATTTACTTGATAATGGGTTTTCAGGAACCTAACCCATTCGTATAGTGAGAGATACCTGTATAGGATTAAATTTCATGGTAATGCTGTGTATTACTCATGGTAAAATATATATTTGTGTACAGTTTCATTTTAACATACGGTACACATTTAATTTTTAATAGCTTTGTATAGTACAGTACTGTACATGATACTTAGATATAGTAGTGTGATATTTTCTTAATAGGACCAAGTGTAATACTGTACTTATCTAGTGGGAGAAATATAAGTGCAAGGATCAGTAATTGTATTGTGTTAATGAGTTTCTAAAATGTTTCTTCTGTGCTTAGTTTAATCAAGTTTTTGTTAACAATTTGTTGTAGATTTATAAATACAGTATGCATAATTTACCATAATATTCTTTGAAACATATCTTCTTAATTGCAAGTAGATAATGTATTTACACCTTTTAACCCTTAGGCCCCGGGTGACGTTCCAGAACGTCTGACTAGCGAGCCCCGGGTGATGTTCCAGAACGTCCACCTATTTTCCCGCCATTTATTTTTTTTTTTTTTTTGAAATATAATTTTTTTTCTCAATTTAACCCTGCAGGGGGGGTGGGGGGGGTTTACTGCCAGCAGCACCCTAACCCGGGGCTTAAGGGTTAAATAATTTCTGTCCAGTTTTCTGAGAAATTAGCTAATTTTATAGTATTTTGGAATAATCTTATCTGTATGCAGTAAGGACTAAAAAAAAAATCAAAATCATTGCTCAAAATACATCATAGGTAATGTTTGAGTAGTGGGCACATTGAAGGCTCTCAATTGCAAGACAGTTTTATCCATAAGAAATTCAGTGGTGTATAAGATAAAAGTAAAAATAATGATGGTATAAATAGTTTAACATGTCTTTCTAGTTTCTTTTTGAAAGTTACACAAATGTTAGAGCCACATAAAATTTATAAATGCATATTATGTGCTTTCTCTTTAGGATATAAAAAACAAAACCAGTGCACTATAAATATAATGAAGAATAAAGTTCTTTTGTGCACATTTTTTTTTTTTTTTAATACAGTATCTACAGCTTTTGCTCTTTAAATATCATGTTGTACTTTGTTTAGGATTGTGTAATAGGCTATAAAATAAATATAAATTTAGATTACTTTATATCAGTATAGGCAAGTACACTGGCAGAGTCTTGTGTTCACACATGACTTGCCGACACCAGTACAGTGGCAGAGTTTTATGTTCACACATAACTTGCTGATACCAGTAGTGGCAGAGTCTTGTGTTCACACATAACTTGCTGACACTAGTACAGCAACAGCCTGTGTTCACACACAACTTGACACTAGTACAGTGGCAGAGCCTTGTGTTCACATACAACTTGCTGACACTAGTACAATAGCAGAGCTTTGTACCGGTATTCACACACGACTTGCTGACACTAGTACTGTGGCAGAGGCTTGTGTTCACATACAACTTGCTCATATGAGACAGTGGCAGAGGCTTGTGTTCACATACAACTTGCTGACACCAGTACAGTGGCAGAGCCTTGTGTTCATACACAACTTGCTGACACTATAATACTGTAAAAAATTATTGCTATGACTTGTCATGCAAGACAAGGTAGTACATAATTAATAGTCTATAAAAGGTTTAAAGACGAAGTTTATTTTTTATAGCTCATCTGAGGTTAAATTATGCCTTTCCTTTTATATTTTGGACACCCACTGTATAGATAGTGACTTTCATATTAAACTATACAGTACAGTATAAATACAATTGAATGTATATATCATCCAAATGTTTTCAAATTTTAAATACTATACAGCTAAATCTTTTACCACAATTCAACAAATGGCTTTCATGCTAGTCTATTAATAAAAAAAATGTAATATTATAATCTAGATATAACAAAAAAGTCTGGATGTGTAAAAATATTTTTTCATGGTTAATTTATATGAGACGTTGATTAATACAAGGGCGAACTCACCACATGAGCGAAAATGCGATTTTTGTACCATTCATCTCAGAAAGTTTTATTATACTATGACACAAGATGGTATGACGAGTTTGCCTTTGGTTTACTGGCAAAATCCCATTGAATCATATGGTGTAAAACTCCCGGCATCTCTGTGCTGCCTGTGGTAATTTCAGTGTCTGGCAAGAGTAAAGCAAAGTCGAACTCCCCAGTGGTCCGGTGATCAATCACAGCCTGCCTTATTCCCTGAGCTAATCAGCATGTCGGGAAGGAGCATGCCGACCAATGAGAAGTCTGCTACATTCTATTTTCGGCATTCCGGAGGAGGAAGATGTATCTGATGATGCTCAGACTACTAGCCACCTACCCTCCCCCCTGCTACCAAGTTCTTTAGTGGAACATAATCATCATCTAGAGTGAGTGTTACCATTATTTATTATGTTTGTTACTTTATTATAATATAAATTTTGTGTGTTGTGTACAGAACTTTATTATTTCATTATTTGATGTCAATGTGCACCAAAATCATACATCACACTTTATTTATTACAAGGATCATATTCTGCATTAAATCCCCTTTAAAATGAGGCCACCTTGAACAGAAATGATGAAATTTGGGAGGTTCTATGACATTTTGAATGTGTGAACTTTAAACCTCATTTTCTGAAAACTTTGTTTTGGCGTGTTTGCCCTTGCATCAATCAACGCCCCATATGGTACAGTACAGGTAATTACTTTATTTATTTATTTTTTTTTTAGTTATACAGTACAGGTGTAAGTATAAAAGTTTTTTTGAGAGTGCCATTTGTGTCACTTGAAGTATGGGACTAAGCTGAGAGGTGTAATATTTTTAATTACTACTTATTTTTATATTACTGTAATCTAATAATTTTTGTGGTGCAAAACTGTTAAGGGGAAATCATGTGTAAAATTTAGTACAATTAAACATAACAAACGACCTTTTTTTTTTCACTTTGCTCAGATTTATAAAACAGAATACTGTATTGAATACAAGTAGCAAAGAAAAGAAATTAAATGAATATTCCAAGCAATTTTGTGTAAATACTGTATCTCTTCTAAGGAACAAAGATAGCTGCTTGGGATATTCATACAGTAATTAATTTTTCTTATAGACATACAGTAGTACCCCGATTTACGCGGTCAATTGAACCCATGGGGTACCGCGGAAAGTGAAAACCGCGTAAAGTGAACAACAGAACATATGGGATTAATTCCAATAGAGACTGGCCCGACCCCCAAACTCCACTTTTTCAGACACATTACCTACGTTGTAGTAAAAATTACATCTTAATTTTATGATGGTATGCACACACAATTAATAATTAAGAGAAATATCAATAATATTAGTTTTTTTAACACTTACATTAGTAGAAAAGATGGCTGGGCACACGGGGATGGGGGGTTGGTTCCGAGGCAGAGGGCAGATTATTGGCTCTCACCTGTATCAATTGTATCACTATCCACCACACAGGCTTGCAGGGCCTCTTTGTCAAACCCCTCAAAGTCCATATAAGTCCATATCCTCACTATCACTATCACTGACTTAGTCCGGCTGTGGTGGGTGGCGGGTGAAGAACTTGGTAATGTTTTGATGACTGGGCGACCTTGTGCGCATCCTGCCCGCGCCGCTTCCCGCGTATATGAGTAGATGCACCCCGGAAAGTGAAAGTTTGGTTCTGGCGAGGCACCGCGTAAATGAGAAATTGCGGAAAGTGAAACCGCGTAAAGTGGAGTAATACTGTATTCTTAAAAAAGAGTGCAACACAGAGCAACTAAGATGATTTCTGCACTATAGCATCTTGATTATTTATCTAAGTAGACTGAGGGCCTAAGGACTAACACCTCTTTGGACAAAACACAATAGGGCAGATGTTATAAAGATATTCTACTTCTTGAAAGGGATGGAAAACGTAAACCCAGGTAAATTTTTTGCGATGTCATGTGCCACCAACTTGAAAGGACACAACATTAAGCTTGCCAAGATTAGCCCAGGCAATATACGCAAAAATATCAATGAATTGTGCAATTTGTCATAAAAGCATGTAACTTGGCACACTTAAAGATTATGATGTTCTGGTGATTTTGGGAAGCTGAGGCATTTTTAAAACATCCCATTAACGATGGCAGCCATTTCGTTACTGTCATTATAGAAAAACCTAATTTCAACCCGAGCTCTGCTACTATACATGATGGCATGACTATAACGGCCTGTGTACCCCTATTTTGGTGGCCAATATTTACTATGATGTCATGTAGAACAAGTTAAGATGTACAGATGCCCTCCAATACAGAAAATTAAACAGTTTAATCCACATTTTTGTAACCACCATCATATATGATATCAATAAAATTGAGATATCAAGACCAAGTTTCTTTAAAAGCGGATACAATAAATCCTGTTTCTCAGAATGCAAAGATGACAAAAGGTCTTCTTCAAATCCTTGATATAGTGCAGAATGTTAAGACATCTGTAGTATTCAACTTTGCATACCCTCATTAAACAAACAACAGCTCTACACGCAGTCATAAACAGTACTGTACTGTACTCTGATCTAGTACTGTCTATTCGCCACCTGCACCACTCTCGTTTAGTACAGTACTGTACTTCCATGATCCCTGTTAAGAAAACTTATAAGATGAATCATACTAAGGAGAGTCATCTCGTACTGTAATTCTCTTCGTGACCTCTGGACAATAATGATCTGAAATGGACTGGAAGACATAACTTTGTAATTTAACCATCTCCTCGGAGGAGTCAACCCAATTCAAAGAAAAATCGACTTCCTGGTCAATCAGGGTCTAGTCAATGTTTATATCATTCTTGAAGGTAATTGTTTTACTGTAAGAAGGGGCTCTTGGGATATTAAAACCAAAAGTAACCAAACCATGGTCAGAAACTACTGGCCACAAACATGTAACACAAAAAACAATTTACACTAATTAAAAAAAAAATAAACAACAAGCCCGGCCATCACATGTCCCCTCCGAGGCTAAGGGAACTCTTGTTGATGGAGCAGTGACATCAATCTGATTCCGAGTCAGCAGGATGCTTGCTAACCATTTTCTAAGTTACAGAGTTACACTGATCATTTCAGTCACCAAAACAGAGCAAAATCTTACCAAAGTGCGGGACTGTACACGTATAGTAGTTTGTCTGGTGGCCATGAGGCGGTGCGTGGGTAGGTGAAGCTGCAAGGAGGATGGAAAAGCTTTTCCTGTGCATATATGGTGCTAAAACCTAATTTATGTTAATGCGGATTATCGTAAAATGGATGATCAGAAATCAGGGGATACCTGTACTGTATCCCAGTATGTACTTTTTGGTATTTAATGATGGAGTGTAAAGGATACCTGTATAGTCCCCCAAAAAATTAATCATACTAAGTTTCCAACATACCAGTAATGACAATACTAAACTATTAAGTAATGGCACTTCTAGAAAGAAAAAAAAATTAATCACCAAGTTTCAAAAGTGGGAAACATCCGAGTGAAAATGTTGCTTCAGCAAGACACATGGTGTTAGTAGAGGTGTGGAGATCAGCTTCCTTTTCCCTCCATACTTCTTTAGCAAGAACTTCAACAGCATCAATTTGTTGTGAGTCATTTTTCTTAATTCTTAATTGACTTGAAATTTCTGTGTTCACTGAGGAAGTATCTAAAACACTATCTTGCATTTCCTCAGAAACATCCAAAATTTCTATAATATTACTCTCATCCAAGTCATCACAGCTAAAATTGTATATTTTTCCATCTACGACACAAACATTTGCCGGTGGATTTACAAAGCGCCCAAACCGTGTGATATTTTTATCTTCTTCTGGTGAAAATCTATAAACTTCAGTTGAAAACTCATCTGTAAAACAAAATAAAAGGAATATTATATATACATATTTAGAGGGAAACTAAAGGCGTTTATTGTAAGGCGTTTTAGATGCACGGAATAGCTAACACGTTAGCTATTCCCGAACTGTCATTAAAAAATACAATATTGTACCGCATCTTGAGAATAACTGTTGTACAACACAGTCTTCAGAAAACAATACAATTAGGAGAATTGCTATTTGGACACAATACAGAAAGAAATAGTGAAGAAAATATATAGAAAATGTTAAGAAAGACAAAAAAGGAAAAAAGTCAATCAATCGACAATAAATAAGAATTAAAAAAAAAAAAATCGGGCCCGTTGTAAAGGTAATTTCTCCCAGACTCTGAAACCACATGTAACAACAAGATCAGCTGTATGCTACTTCTCTGGCAGCAAGGTGTTCGCATATTTGTACACGAAACACGACGAATTTCAGGTTCGTTTAAGTCTTAGTTTTTGCACTTACAGAACTGTAATAAACTTGTTCACCCTTATTTAAAGTATCTTATGAGTAATATTAAGGTTTCAATCATATTTGAGGAATTATCAATATTGTTACAGCTAATGAAATTGAACAGTGCCCACTCAAAAACTGACGGAGCCAAAACAGATTTCAACTAGGCGCAATCTTTTTCAATTTTTTCACGCCTTACGCTTTGTTTTAGGACCTATCCAATATACTACTGTATATAGAATTACCCGGTATTTTTATTATTATATCAGTTTTTTATTGCCTTACGTCCCTCCAACTCTTCAATATTAATCAAAATATTCTCCATAAGCGGCCATGATCCGCGCATTTTCAGTGGGAGAAATCGCTGATTGGTTGTTAGCTATTCGGGCTGCTCGGGCGCTGCACAAGGCTAACACCTGATCAAGGAGTTTGCTTTTCCCTCCCAAGGTGTCATGCACACAACTCAGCAGAAGCATCTGCGCAGACAGAATAGCTAACGCGTCAGCTATTCCGCATATCTACAACACCTTACAATAAACGCCTTAAATTTACAAATAAGTTTGGGAAATGGTACAAATATTTTCTGTACTTTTGACTTCTTTATATCTTTAAATGTTTATTATCATAAACTGTAAAGATGATCAGAGGACAAACACGTAGTTCCCCCACCCTCAACAGATAGCAGGACGAGCAGGTGCTCTATCTCCCAGTATAAGGCACCACCTATGCAGTTTTCTCACAACAGTCCATCAGTCACCTTGAATCTGAAAAACTGCAGTCCAGGAGACAGTTGTTCAGGCTCAAGGTGAGTTATAATTTGCTAAAAGGTGTTGTAGGTGTGAAAAAATTGTGTCTTAGGAATATTTTGGTGTATGTTTTGGAGCTGTGGTCCCCCTACTCTATATTTCCCATTGAAATACACTGCGATAAGATTCAAATGTATACAGGCAGTCCCTGAGTTATGGCCACCTGACTTAAGATCATCCACACTTACGAACAGGATCCCAATACCTTCATCCAAAATTTGTAATTAAAACCCCATTCTTACATTATTTTCATTATTCTATATTGTCTAACATCACTTTATTTACAGTATTTACATTATTTGTTATGTATAGGATATTATTGTTTTGTATGGACAGGGTTGTGCTTTAACCTAACCTAAACTATGGAATTAACACTGTTCTGACTTCGACAAACTGACTCACTATTAGGGTCCAGGAACATATTCCTCTCATAAGTCAGGGACTGCCTGTACTCTATTCAGTTTTACTTACCTATTAAATAAATATGGTTCTTCCAGGTCAAGGCTGCCTTATAGCCTTGTTTGTTTGGGGATCTCAGTGGTATGGCTGACCACTTTTTCATTGAAGGATAATATGTCAACAGCTGCATTTCTCGAGTAAATACCATAAGCCTTCCTTTAAATGCACAAACTGCACCATAGGTTATACAATGTGGCATATCTGGACACTGTAACCAATCTCCTATGGAAAATAAGTACAAAATTTTATAATCCTAAATTAACTTGATAATCTAGTGTTATTATTTACCTATTACTTACTTATGATGCATGTGAAAGAGATTGGCTGTAATACAAGTTGTGAGCATATGGAGTGGGAGGGAGGGAGCAAGTAAATTCACACTATGTAATACAGTACAGTATACAGTATTTGAATCCTCAAGATGTTAAAACATTCAAAACATGGATAAGACTTCACGTGCGCTACTGTTCTACAGAGTGGGCAAGAAAATAAGACACATTTTCAACTTAGGTAAAATTTTGCCAGGCACATGCCAGGCAGAGACACATGCACAGTATTTATCATGCAAAATTTTATTAATCATTCAGCCAAATTCAAAAGGGGTAAAACTATAAGGAAGTTTCTTGGATTTTTTAATTTTCATATATTTGATTGGTACTCCTCATGGAAAGTTGTATTTGTCCAAGGTGAGCGGGCCAACCTTAGTGTAAGGCCAAGCAGAGACAGCTTGAGCAGTATTATGAAATCGATCAAAGTACCATCCTCATATCTGAGGGTTGGCAATCACCATCCCCCACTCTAAACATTTTCAGGCTATTTTAACTGATCCTTCAAGATTTTGCATCTCTCTGAGGACTCAGTTTTTAATTTCATTCGTCCATACCAGTCTCTGCTTTCCCCTGGCTTTCCTACCCTCAACTTTTGGCCATTAATGTTTCTGTTATTATCTCCTCATCCCTAATTACATGACCAAAGTACGGTATAAAGTACAGTACTGTATATCTCAATTTCCATATTCTATAAATTTCAAGTATTTTTGCCAATCTTAGTACTGCACTGTACTTCATGATTTTGTCCTGTCAGTATAGCTTATTTTTAAATTTCTCCTACAACACCTCATTTCAAAAGAAGCAAGGCTAAGTGAAGTACATAAGAAAAATTATAATACTGTATATACAGTACATACTTCAATTTAACGACTTTCAAATTAACGATTCATCACAATAACGATCAGTAGCGCAAGATAATAGTCACCTCAGCGAGCAGGTTGGTTTGTTGTGATCAGAGCATGTGAACAGGGGGTGTGGTGTAACCTACTCACTTATCTGTGATGGCACTGTTGATGATAATGTTCAATATTTACCTGTGTGTGATCTGTTAGATGATTTACCACTAAACTTCACTGGCTTTGAAACTGAAGGATCAGTTGGTGGTGGTGCTGGGGAAGCAGCCGAGTGTGGGGGCAGGGAGGCACTAACACCACTCCCTAGCCTCGGATAACAACAAACAGTCTCATTAAGCAGTTCATTGAGTGTCTAAAGGTTAGTTATTATTAGTTATTAACTCTGCATGCAGTATTAATGTGCATGAATAAGTGGTTGTAATTTTTTATGAGGTTTATAGGGGGTGAAAGTGTCTGAGGGCTGGTACCAATTGACCCATTTAGCATGAAAAGTATACTCACCACATTAACAATTTTCACTTTAACAACTGCTTTCGTTGTACCAATTAGATGTTAAAGTATGTATATATATATATATATATATATATATATATATATATATATATATATATATATATATATATATATATATATATATATATATATATACATATATATATATACATGCATACATACATACATACATACATACATACATACAACAACATGCATACATGACCCCTCCGTTACGAATAATCCCGTTCAGAAAGTTAGATTTAACAAAGTTAATTCTTGAAACCATTGTTCAATGGGTTTTGAGTAATTGGTTCCAGCTCACCGAAATTTCCTAAATTCAACAAAAATGGTAAAAAGTTCACTTACTTTGAGGTGTGTATGTAAAGGCTCTGGATGATGATGATGATGGGATTTAGAATGGGGTGGAGGAAGGAAGAAAGAAGGCATTGGGGTGGAAGAAGTCACTTGTGACATTCACTTATAAATTTTAGCTCTCTTGGTGTAATTCAAGTTATTTTCTTTAAATCAACACTGCACTGCATTATATTGTCATGTAAATTATATTTCAAAATAACCAATAATTTGCTTGGAAACACAGAAAAAAACGTTTAGTTGAGAAAGTCTCAAGCAAGATATTTCCAAATGAAACAAAAGGCCAACTTCCTGTTTGCTGTGTTAGAAGGCTGGATGCATTAAACTAATCACTTTTCAACAAATTATGTTCAATAATTATTAAAATGACTAAAAAAATTGAATATTAAACACAAAATTGAATAGTATAAACTTCTTGATATTTACTAAAATAGTAAATTTACCTCAGAACCGATTAATGTATTGGCGGACTGATACTAACAATTTGCGGTCAGTGGCAGCATGTGAAGATGGGTTGGCGAAACCCGTTAAACTTGAAATCCTTATGGAAGGCAGTTCGTTATCGAAATTACATAACAAGGTGTTAGATTCGCGAGGTCACTGTGTATGTGTGTAATATATATATATATATATATATATATATATATATATATATATATATATATATATATATATATATATATATATATATATATATATATATATATATATATATAAGACAAAATATTGTTAATTTTGATCATTATTTTTATCTCCTATCTAAAGTATTATACTGAAATTATTTCACTCAGCAGTATGTTTTAGTGTTACACCAGTCCAATAAGTTCCTCTACATTAAGTGAAGGTAGTTTTCATGGACCTGATGGCCTATTATGAGCTGTGTGTATACAGCATAATGAATAATAAACCTTCAGTACACAAGAAGGCAATGTGTCCAGCACTGCATTCAATTGCCTGTACTTCCTTAATCATAGATACTCATCATGGTTGAGTTGACTGGGATGGTGCCCTGGGTGAGAACCAAACAGCCTTTAGAACAGAAGGCGAGCACTGTAATATACACTCCGATGCTGTTGCAATCTTCTTAACTGGGTACTTACCTAATGCTGTATCGTAGGCATCCATAGAACTCTGTACAACTCGATGTCTTCCAAATCCTCCAAGAAGGTAAATAACAGAATCTACAACACAGACCATGTTGTGTCTCCGAGGCTGGGGCAGCCTAAGAGAGAATAATATAATACTGTATATAATGGTTGCCCCTCGTGTTCGAGGCAGCTGGCCCTAGGGCCACCTAGGCATGAATTTATTTAAGGTGTAGAAGCTGTTGCCAACACAACAACTACACCTTAAGTAAATGAGTTGCATGACCAGACAACCCGCCAACTGCACTGGCTAACCATTACCCCGGAACATGATCTGCAAACCGATTAACATCCAGGTCCCCAATTACTGCGGGGTAGACAGAGGCAAATGGCGTAAAGAATCTTATCCATAGTTTCACCCTGCCCGGGGATCGAACCTGGGTTCACTCTCTTGCAAGGCAAGCATGCTGATCATTACACTCATGATTCTAATTTCAGAAAAGTGTAATATAAATTAAAGTATCATAGTTATTCTGGACCTAATAAATTAGTTAAAATGTTTAATTTCTAAATCTACGACAAAATTTGTATTTCCCAAATGCTAGATAAAACTTACATATTTTCAACAATCCATTTCTTTGAGGCCGTGTTGTATCTCCACAGAGACTTGTTCCAGTTGCCATGACCTAGATGATATTCACCACCAAGGATATATATACTTGGTCCTGTAAAATAAAAATAAATTTACCATTACAGTATTGGCAAAAACTATTTGTCTGCTGATATTTTGTGGCATAAATCATGTGATGCAAAAACCACAAGAAAGGGAGGAAATGGGACACATTAGTGGGTAGAGTCAGACAGGTAAGAACGGAAATAACACACAGAAATACTTCACATTACTGTACAGGTACTTGCAATTTACCATTAGTGTGTAAAGAAGAAATCCTTAGTTAAAGTGGTAGTTTATATTCTTACCTTTCCCTTGGCCTGATCAAGGCACTTTAAAGCACCTTCAAAATTTAAATACTGACCTCTAAACTACACCATTTCTTAATTATGTGTAATCTTCCAAACTATTTGTTCTGTTCCACTACAGTCCTAGAGCTTTATCCTACTAGGACAAAGAAGTACAAAACTTATAAAGATGTAATGGCTTAACCCGAATAGTTTAGTCTGCTCCAAAACCTGTAAGGGGGTGTCTGTAAACTTTAGGGGGCAAATGATTGCTGGAAGGTGATAATAAGCTGGTTCTGAAAAGTCAGATTAGGTCTAGCAAATCACTGGTAGATAAACACTGCTCAAGAAATAAATAATGTGCCTCAGTTATGTACACTGGACAGTACAGTACTACACATTCAGTTATTGTGAAAGTACAGTATGTACAATACTGTACATAGCTGAGTGGACAGTGTATGTCTACTATAGGCTCATGTGTATACTGCATACTGTATAGTATGCATACTGTATAGTATTCAGTGGGTGTACAATCCCTCCATGGAGAAAGAGGAGAGTGACAGTTAGCAACAATGGCAGTAGATGGTATAGGACAAAGGCAGGCCATCCTGTATCATCATACTGTATCACCATTTGACCTGCCTGCATCACATATTCAAGACAACAGCATCTACTGGTGAGTACAGTACGTATAGTGTATACAGTGGTACATTGTTTATTTACAATAATCCCCCCCCTTGTACTGTATACTGCACTGTACAATTAATGGTGTGTCCGGCTGCAGTTAAGCCTCCATAGGAATGGTGCTCTGTGCCAGATGCGTAACTTAGAAGTGGAAACATTCACCAATGTCCAGAAAAATTCAGTAGATATGCGATTTTTTCCGGGGATAATAAAATTTGTCTCAATACTGTACCAGGAAATCTCTCAAAACTGGAACCAATCTTCACTAATTGTTTTGGCTAATGAGGATACAGTACTGTATTACTGCAGTGTTTTATTTATCATGGCTCACAGGATCATTTGGTGAAGCAGTGGCAAGATGCTACCTCAAGGTATTTTGATTTGACTGTGGGAAAACTGATGAGTTTATTAACTTAGAATTTGATCTGATGTGAGTGAAAATAATAATATGCTGAATGATAAGTTTAATATTCTTTTTCATTTGAAACCCCATAAAAATAATATCTAGTACAGTAAAAGCAAAACATCTCAAATTTACATGTGTACAGTGCAGTAGACTTACTGTTGGTGTGTTACTACAAAATTAAAACCATATATCACAGGCAGGAAAAATATATGAAAGGATAATCAAGACCAGATTAACAACACAAGTTAAGGAAAGGTTTAGAAATGGCTTTTGATCCAACAGGAGCACCACAAGAGATGAATCAATAGCATAAAGAGTGCATTGATGGCATGGGAAACAACATTAGCCGAAGTGAAGGACTTTATTGAGATTGTTTTGGGAGGAGAAAACTGTTGAGTCTTGGACCTTCCTAGCATCTGGTGAGAAATTTATTCTGATACAGGTACACCACCAATTTTACGGTACCCTTGGTTCCAAAACCTTGCCGGACCAACCGAGGTCACGTAATAATAATTCAACAATACATTTCTGACCCACTAATTATACACCTCCTGTGTGTCTAAAGCACCATGGACTGCTAGAAACTTAAATTAAACAAATGTAAAATGTAAATTATGAAAAAGCCATAATTTTGAGCAACATATTACTGTACACACTTTGTACTCAAATGTACTACACTAAAGAACTAAAATCTTTATCTCTAATGCAAACTATGTGATGTTTGTACTCAAATTAATCACTATCTTACAAGGACTCCAGCAATGCAAGTTATATTCTGCTAAGTTTAGTCTGTGATATTTAATAAGATAAAAACTCGAAACCTAAAACTACCTTCATCCTGGCTTGGAGGGAGGGAAGTTAAGTGCCCTCTCGTAATTTTGTCCGGACTAAAGGAGGTGCCGGACCATCAGTTCCCGGAAAATCGGTGGTGTACCTGTAGTTTCCTATCTTCCCACAAACAGTATTGTATTAACATCACTTTTACAAATAATAAATGGGGTGCACGTACCCTTACTCTCTTCATAAGTTGTCATGTGCACAGGTCTCAATTACTATGGCACATTCATCTCTCTATATCTGTCTTTTCCCTTGAGATAAAATCTATAGCTACTGCATCTGAAACTTCTAAAACAAACCATTTCTGCATCTTCTTTGCCTTATATTTAGTGTTAATTTTCTTTTTATGTACTGTACATCTGCTCGAGTGTGCAGAATATCAAGGACACGCACATTACAACTGTGGTTTACATGAAACCAAGTTTCCCTTATTTTATTGTTGACCTTAACTTAATTCCTCTTTTTTTTAAATACTGTACTCACCTATTGAACAAACTTGATATCCAGAACATCGTACTGGCCCATTACAGAGTTTTGTTAAAGCTATTTCCTCTGTCATTTTCTTGGTGACTAGATCAAAAGAGTATATAACTGGTACCATATCAAAATTTCTAATTTGGGATGCCAAATTGAAATCATGGTATTCTTCATCATCACTGTATTTTGCCTTTTTCTTCTTCTGTTGTGACTGAGATTGCCTAAATCCCACAACACATGGGACTTGAGGTAACTTTCTTTTGGACTGTTTCATTATTTTCTCAACAATTTCTCTTGCTTCTTTTTGTTCCTCATCTTCTTGTTGTTCATTACCTTCTTTTTTAATATTATCCTCACTGTCTACTGTAAACTTTTTGGAGCTTGTTGGGTCCTTTGAGCAAACATTATCCATTTTAAACTTTTTTAAACCATTTAGCACCTGTACTACCTCATTGTTATCACTTATTATACTGTAGAAGAGCATGTTTGATATGTCCTCTACTGTCAAGGTATGGAAGTCCAAGCAAAGTAAAAGCTGAAGAAGATGGCCACCTCTCTCAATTTCATTCTCCTGTTGGAATGAAACCAAAGTTATTGAGATCAGTTACTGTACTTCTATTTTTCAATAAATAGTTAATAACATCTATAAGCCAAGTAGTATGTGAAAACAATTTTTTGTTGTAAAAGGCTCACACCTGATTATTAGTATTTCCTGTACCCAGATTATGGCTAGCAGGACAATTCTTTAATAATAGAAGTACAGCACTGTACCATAAATCAAGCAAAAGAATTAGACCAATGCAGACCATATGGTGAGCTATGAGGGATAAACATCAGGTAATTCAGGAGTGTGGAGAATACCAAACTGTCTTGTTTAACTGAATGTCTCTCAAAACTCTGGATAAACTGGAGAGGCAGCTGAGCTTACCGATGTGAACACCTTAATGTATTCAGCTTCAGAAAATATAAAAAGGCAGAGATGAAAGCTACACACAAAAATGTTGAGACACTATAAAAATGTATTTTGATGATGGGAGCTTGTGTTCTGTGATGGACAATCAATTAAAGTTTAAATAATATTTTTGTTAAAGAATTAACAAGTGAGAACATCCCAGTAACTACAGAAATGGTATCCCAGCGGATTACCCGTTGCTCCATATTTATTATACAGGTACCTGTACTATACTGTAATACATCACACCTATAAACTTAGTTATAGGTTGATTATATCATTTATTAAAGCACTCCATACACCAATAAAGATCTGATTGTCCATTTCCCCTGTAATAATCAAGTCATTTCCTGTATTACTTTTATCATTAGCATAAGTTCTCTAAATGCATTCTATGTACTATCCTGTTCTTGCCTTCACTGACTTTTTTATTTATATTTTCTGATCTCTTGAGATACAGGGGGTCCTCACTATATGTTATAGTGTACTGATATTTGTTATTTCACATATAGGTCACTAACAAACATAGGAAGAAATTTTCATTATACTGTATGTCAATTCATTCCAATATACTGTTACCTTGTCTACATCATCAACTGTTTTATACTAAATCTGTGTTTAAAGTACATAAAATAATGTAAAAATAACCATAAGTAGTAAAAGTGCCCTACAAGTGTAAAGTTTCTACCACGCCAAAATATGTCAGTCACCTATCACACAACAGTGCTAATGCCATTGTTGTGTGTTACGTAACCACAGAATTTGTGGAAAAGTCATGATAATGTGCTAGTGTGCTTTATGAATAGAGATAATACTGAATACAGTACAGTACACTATTATGTGTATAAAGATACAAGATAAGAAAATAATAAGAGTGTAGGGGTATACCAGTATTGTGTGGGGGAGAATATCAAATCTAGAAATCACCATAACACATTATGCTAGTTAGCTGGAAGATGGCAGCATACATGCCATTGTTACATAGAAACCATAAAAGTTCTGGAAATATCATTTCAATGTTTTAATGCGATTTGATTTAGAAATAAATAAAATAAACTATAAAATAAGAAAATCTAAGAGTGGGAAGTCAATTATGTGGTAGGTAGGGTGGGCGAGTGGTTGGACACCACCACCTTCGAACCAGTTAACACGACAGTATGCAATTTCACCACAATTCTCATGCACATTTCTGAAGTTAGTGGATGGCTGTCCCACTGGAGGTCACAGCCTCAAGTTAAAGAAGCTATAAGTAGAAAAAACTATCAGAGTTTTACATCTTTGGTGCAAGAGGTGTTAACTCTTGGGATAGCCGGCCAAAGTATATTGTGACAGCACCAGGTGTGAACTCCTTTAAGTTCAGACTTGGCAGACAATAAAACACATTCAGGTACATTCAAGAGCCCATATATGCCCACTACTTATTATCAGACTGACCACTCAACTGGCTTGTAAGCGGACAAGTCACAATAATTCGAAGGTTAGATACCATAAGACATTGTGAATTCCCAAATCTCAATTTATATTTAATTGATTTAACAGGAAATAGTTAATTAGGTTCCAGAGGTGAAAAAAAATAAAAATAAAAAATAATATGGTATATATACAGTACTGTATAGTCTGGATTTACGCAGTTTTTGTTTACGCGTTTGGTCATTTACGTGGTGCCATGCCAGAATGAAATGTTTTAATTACGCGGTAAATTTCATCATTTATGCGGCGAGTGGCTGGAGAGGTCCAGACGCGCCGCACCATTTTTTACTCACGCGGTCCATTCTTGACCATACGCGGAAAGCGATGAGGGGTGTACATTAGGTTGCTCTTACGTTATCGCTGACGTCAAATGACGTATCGGACTGTGATTGGGCTACGCATCCTTACCACCCATGCATTCCCTCCGCCGTTAGCTGTGATTGGTCTAATGTAGCATGACGTGCCCTGCCACCAGAAGTCGTTGACCTAGCCGGGCCAGTCTCATTGTTCTCTGTCCGCGTACACAGTTCTCTCTTGTGCCCGCTATTCCCCTAACAATGGCTTCCGCTGGACCCCCACCAACCCAGAAAATCCTTGAATTACCTGGACCAAGCCATGATTATGTGAAGGAAATCATCGAGTTGGGGGAGAAAATTAAGCTCATCCTTGACAACGACCCAGACAAGCATTGGTATGAAGTGTCTAATAACCATCTGTCGAAAGTTATGGAGCCGTATATCCAGATCTATCTCGACAACATCAATGCTAGTCCCACAACCCACCACAACCACAGCCAGCCCAAGTCAGTGATAGTGACAGTGAGGATATGGACTTTGAGGGGTTTGTCTAGGAGGCCCTGCAAGTAGTGAAAGTGATTCACCGGAGGGCAACTAATCTGCCCTCTGCCTCGGAACCAGCCGCCATCCACATGTGCCGACCCATCTCTTCTACTAACGTAAGTGTTAAACACCTTTAGATTTGTAGTTTTTTATTTAGATATTATGTGTGTAGCAATACCATCATAAAATTATGATGTTATTTTTACTACAAGGTACATATTGTGTCAGAAAAGGTGGAGTTTGGGAGTCGGCCCAGTCTCTATTTCAATTACAGTAATCCCATATGTTCTGTTATTTCGTTTACGCGTTTCTCTTTTTACGCGGACCTCCACGGGTTCAATTGACCGCGTAAATGCAGACTATACTGTGTGTATATATATATATATATATATATATATATATATATATATATATATATATATATATATATATATATATATATATATATATATATATATATATATATATATATATATATATATATATATATATATATATATATCTGTTCCAAAACTGTTTGAATAAACACTAAATATCATGGAAAATAAGCAATACTAAATTATTTTATAAAAAGGTAGTTCTATATTACATAAACAGTTCCTTCCTTTCTCATAGGTAATCATCCTCTGGATTATGCCTGGCTGGTCAGCTGTTCACACTAAGTAACAATTCACCAGGAATTTAATTATACAATAATTCATCTGGGCTTGAGTGTGGGATTTTTGGGAGGGCAAAATTGATTATCTTACAATAATGTTTCATTACCCTGGCACCAAATGAACCTAAATAATATGGAAATCATAATGAAATTGCATACTGTACTCTCATTTTAAAGGAGTTACACAGTGGAGACTTTCCAGGATCAGAGGGAGGGTAGGGTGGGGGTATTTTGTTCAGTCCAACCAGCTACCTGCCCTACACTTCCTACCTCTCCCACACAGAATTCACTTCCCACTTTTTGTTTGTCTTATTTTATAGTTTTATATTATATGTTCTTTATTTCTAAGTCATATTAGATCATTGAAATTATATTTCCATATCGTTTATGGTTTCTTATGTCAATATTTGACTGCAAAATTTAAAAAATGTGAATTTGTATTTCATGAATTATCTCGACTCCACTGTATAATAAAATATTCTACTGTTGAATGAGAAAGAAAATAACTAAATAAAAGGATGTTCACAAAGCAGGGAATTAATTAAAGTTACCGATAGAATATATATCTCATACATGCAGGAAGGTAACACATTTCCAGTAGAGATAAGATTGAGGTACTGACACATGCTGCAGTACAGTATACAGTACATATATAACACTAAAATGGTCCTTTCTTTTTCAATATAAATGTTGTGCTGTACTACAGTAAAAAAAAATAATAATAATAATTCTAAATAATAAGCCATCTAACCTTTATTAATTGTGAGATTTTACAAAATAAGAGGGACACCTTCCCCCGAGGAAAAAAACAACAAAAACGGCACTTTTCTGTTTTCGGCCCCAATTAAAATTTAAATATCTTAAAGTACAGTACCAGATACAATGGCTCAAACACTCAGCAATGATGAAAAAACAGGTGTTAAAATCTTGCACAGTACACCAAAGAGTGCAGTCTACAACTGACTGTAATCGATACGTGACGCTTATAATATTGTACTTATTTACACTGAAGTGGGTGGTCGAATCCCACAGCCACATGGTGACATGTGCGTCACATATATTCAATAAAAATGTCTCATAATCCAAAATTTTACTAAATAATGTACTGTATTATGAAGATTGTATCATATAATTTGTAACAGCAAAACATTACGATTTATGTGTTTTTTACTGTACACATAACCTTCTCTACTCTTATATCTACATTAGCTGAACCCTCTATATACTGTACTGTATTTGGACTTAATTCTATTATAAAAACAGAGCCTTCAGAATTACTGTACAATTAAAGTTTTCATAATTTTAATATCCATAATTCAGAAAGAGACTTTCTTTTATACACAGTGATGTAAATATTTAATTTTCTCAGCTTTTAAAATGTATTAACAGGATTCCATTTTAACACAGGGAAATGGAGTAGCATGATGTTAAATTAGCTTCACCCAAGAACTAACTTCACCCAATAATTCTTTCTGTACTACTGATTTTAAGGTTCTAATTATTTCACATATTCCATGCAAGTTTTCATTAATATTCATATGTCCCAATGTATGAACTTTCATAATATATCTTACCTCAACCCAACTTGCTAGTGCTTCCCAAACTGTCCATTCTCCACCTGGTCCTGGGTTCAGGGCGGGATGGCTAATATATTCTACCAGTTCTGAAAATATCAGGGTGAATTCATTGAACAAAGAGTGGGAATAGAAAAAGATTAAAAATTATAAGTCTATAAGAATAATAGTCTGTTTTATCAGTTGTGTATATGAGGTGCTCAGTGGAACTATGACATATCAACCAACCATGGAGAACTAAGATTCTTTTACCAATGTGTAGCACAGGTAAATCACTGAAGTGTTAGCTTGGCTGGGAAGAGAAATACAGTAAACCCTAGATAACTTGGTATTCGATATCTCGTTAATTCATATAATTCGGTATGTATATGGTCTCGGAATTCATTATAAAATAACTCGGGAAATGCAGAGTTATATAAAATTATCTAGGAAAATCTCGTCATATTTGGGCGCATGGACAACACTGGCCATGCTGCGCTCCATGCTTGATCAGTCTGGTATTTGTTAATGTGAGCGCTGGCTCACTCCACCCAGTACATGAACGTGAGAAGGAAGGGTGCTGTAGCACCCCAATATTTTGGGTATAAAGTACTAGACATTGCACCACAGAGTATCTTGGGCACCAGAATTAATAGTCAGCACTCCCTGGTAAAATTTGGTTCCTGCAGTACTAACCCAGTAACACCCAACAACCTCCCCCATTCATGTCGGGCCACCGTATGCATGCCGGTAACATCTCCACTATTAGGGTAAATTCAATGTTACAGTCTTTATTTAATTTACAGTACAATTCATTTTATCCAAATTTCAACTACAGGTACAGGGTATCTGAATCTTCCAGGTATTCCAACTTTTCTCCTTTGGTAAAAAATCTAATTAGTCCAACAATCTGAAAGCAACTAAAGTCATTTATTTGTGTCTGACACCAATAGCACTATAACTGCTTTATAAACAAAAATTGCTTTCATACATGGCATATAAAATACAATAGCACATATTTTTGGGTAAAAAAAATAGCTACTTCCACAATCAAACCATCATCTAAATGATGTCACAGTTCAGTTAGGCAGTCAATCAGCTGACCGAGATGTATATGTGTGTGTGCTGTGGACGGAGGTGGGTGAGTCAGCCATGCAGTACAGCACCGAGTGGCCTTCTTATACGTTCACCTGCCACACACACCTATGCTCTTCATTTTTCTTATTTCATAGTTTTATATTATATTTTCTTTATTTCTACCACATTAAAGTATTTTATATTTTACTCTTTTGCTCTGTAATAAACAAAACTATAATATCCTGAGTAATGTTAGTTATGGTACGTGTTTATTTACACACTTAAGACTTGAATTATACATAGAGAAAACAATTATTTTTGTTAAATTTATTCTTTATTTTGTATACCGGTAAGTGACCAAATTACAGTAGTTTACTTAAGTATAAAATAAAAAAAAATTATGTGGAAAGGGAATTGTTGTGCATTAAGAAGTACCGGTAGGGTGGGTGGCTGGGCTGGATCCAATGGAAATTTCCCACCCCTTTACAAGAACAGTATGCAATTTTATAATAATTCCCATATTAGTTAGGTTCATTTGGTGTCAGGTTCATGAAATATTATTGTTAAATAATCAACTTAACAGAGAAAAAATCCAAAACTCAACACCCAGATGACTTATTGAGTTTGTTTACTGTGAGGTGATTTTGTATGTTTTTTGTGACTGTAAAATGCTTTGCCTCTGCTGTTGTGAACATGATATGAGCAGTGTCGGCCACTATCATTGTTTTTTATGTTATCATCGTTTGCTCTGTTTTTGTCACAAGTGCTTTTCTTCTGTTTTTGTGACTAAAGCGAGCAGTGTAAATTTGAAAACGTCTGGGAAGGCCAAGGCACCCAGTTAAACCGTGATTCAGGAGATAAAGCAGTGTGGGAGTCGGGAGTGACACCTCCACTCCACCTACAAGAGTCCCCTTATCCTCAAAGGGGACATGTGATGACGACCAAGCTTCTTCTTAATAATGTGGTGAGTGTTGTTTAATTGTGTTGGAGGTGTAGTCTTAGTGTAGGAATTTTATTTTAGGTGATACAGGTGGGCATCACACTGGCTGAGAACATACACATTGAACCCCATGTTATAATGATCCCAATTTACGATATTTTGACCCGTGATGAGTTTTCAGGAATGTAATGCCATCGTAAAAAGGGGGATATGTGTAATTACAGTAATCACTTCAGAGAGAATATGAAGAAACATACCACTAAGAGATAGCTGTAGAAACAGTGGCTTCTTTCTGATTTCTGAGAATTGCCAAACTGCAATTGTGAGAGCTGCTGTTGCTATGTGAGAGAATCCCAGGGTAGAGGTTACATAGTATACTTCCAGGCAGGAGTCACACGAAAGGGTTGTTAAAACTTGTTGCTCACACGCTCTCTGTACGTTGATGAACTGAAATAAGGTTTACAAAGAATATATAGAAGTGATTTATTATGCATCAAATTAAATATAAGAAAAGAAAGTTTGTGTACAGTGAGTGTTTATGTGCACATGATCCAAAAAATATCTGTACATATTTTGTGCAAAACAATCTAACACCACAGATTATGGATATTGAAAAATGCCAAATATTGCTTGCTAGTGACATTTCCTGTTTTGTCCAAAGTACAGTATTTTTATTATATCCACATTCAGAAGAAATTAGATTAATCTTGTTAACAATGTGTAGCGTGGTTCATGTTGGTGGTTACATTGCGGCATAGGTGTAATGATCATTTAGGAAATCATTAGACACAGATACTTTTTTGATCATGTGTACAAGGAAATGAGAAAAGCAAGGAGGAAGGAAAGAAGTTCTAGGACAACCTGAACGGCTGTATTGAAAACTTTAGTGCGAGAGATAAAGTGATAATAATAGGGGAAGTGGAAAATATTTTGATGAAATATGGAGTGTCATAAATGAATGGAAACATAGAGACTGATAAGAAACATGCATTGAAAAAATTTATACAGTAATGAGAAATACTGTATATGGTTAGAAAAGAAAGAAATTCATATGTACTGTATACTGTACAGTATTTGGCCTGGGTCACATGTGAAAAGGGTGTTATCCAGTGTGACCATACTAAATATCATAGGTTTTCTTTCTCTGAGTACCCTGGTTTCCCCCTTTATTAATACTGTACAGTACTGGACAATGAAAGTTAACAAAGAAGAGACCAACTGACTGAACAGGTAGAAAACTATTAAATGGTAGAAATAGTAAATAAAGTTTAAAAAAAAAAGTTTACAGGTTGAAACACTCTTGTTCTGCAACTTTGGGACCAGGGCCTTGCCAGATAATAGAATTGTTTGCAAAATTGATTGATATATACTGTAATGGGACATCGGCAGCAGCTACACTTAACCCAATGCTCGATTTATGGATATCTTTGTATACAGTACTTCCTCAGATCATACAAGAAGGTTTTGCTTTTACACGATTCACCAATTAGAACACACATTTCAGTTTAACACATTCAATAGAAGAAAATATAACTGGATGTGTCTTGGACAAGGTCTCTGTGCATGCAGTACAGGATCATCAGGCTTGCCAACTGGTAAATTTCATTACTGTACCAATTGGTGATGTAATTTTCTAGTTCCATAATTTTCATCATGTTGGTAACCCTTGACATAGTGATACAGTTATGACACAATCTCCATTAATAATTCACACACTTTGTATTAATTCCTTGAACTTTAAAGCTTTTTCACAATTTATCAGTGTCATCTTTTACAGTTCTTTTCATCACAATAAATCACAACGTAGCACTAGCTCATAAGTTTTTTTGGAAGCGTCTCGGATGTAATCAGTGGATAGGTTTTCCAGCATGCGGTTGTAGAAATGTTTGGATGGAAAAATTCATAAATTCAATATTACAATAACTAGGAAGCTTGCCAAATAATGCCCTTCTATATGCATGCTGTTAATTGGGAGTTGCTAGATGATGATAAAGAGAGGGTGAAGCAGTACTATGTGCTAGTGGAAAGCAAAATAAAATTTAACTTTATTAAGTAAATGTACTAGAGGAGCTGGCATCCTGTCATCTAATAGTGTTCTCTATTGCAGGTTAGTCATGAAGCTCCACATGCCATAAAAAGCAACTCTTAACTCGTTAAAAAAAATTGTTTCCTCTTACACCATTCATTTATCTTGAAACAAATTCTAAACACAAAAAAAAAATTATCTTATAAAGACAAATAATCTTTATTTCATCAAATTTCAATAGCCTCTATCAGTCTACCTCACAGTTTTATAGGATTACTTACCTGTGTGCACCACAGTCTAAAGTCTGGACAGACACCATTACTGTACAAAGTACCATTACATGTACATACAGGTACCTTTCTGACTTGCAAATTAATCAGAGATCAGTTATGTAACCTTAAAAGTACAACTTACTTGAAGCATAGATGCAGTTTGAAGCAGGACAAGAACACTGCCAGATGGAATGACGTAACTCCCAGACTGCACATAACGAAGCAACAGCAGAAGACAGTCAGCATCTATACCCTACAAGTATATTGCATCAATAGTTACAAAGGTGAGAACACATACAAAACATTAATTAATAATCATTACCTACCTACCCCCTAACTGCTGTCTTTTATAGTAAATAAATAATTTCATGGTGTTCAAGCATTTAACAAGTATCGCACATTTGAATGTGGAAAACCAGCTTTTTATAAAATGGAAATACAGTATGGCAAGGAAACACAGAAGGCAGAGCATTCCACGGTTTGGCTGTGTGAGGAAAGGAGGGTGTACTATAACGGGTTATTCTAGTGTGACCGACAGCCACAGAGAAAAGGTGGACACCACGGGCAAGATGAGTATTACGAGCCCGTGCAGGCCTGTATAACCCCAGCAATGCTGTCAGCACACACCGAGGCTTCCCGAGTGGAAAAGCAACATTCATCCAATGGAAAGTCGATGAAGAATTCTCGCAAGGATTGCCAGTTTGCCCTTCGATAGTGCCATAGTTGGAGTTTAGAGGGGGGTTGGGGAGGTGGTCGTGCCCAGTATGATTTAAGAGAAATGAGATTGTGATCAGAAGACCCTAAGGGGGCAGAAATTGAGTATGAATAGTGTGAAGAGTTAGAGCAAAACAAAGCCATAGACATTAAACACAACTACAAAAAGCTTAAGAATGAACAACCACAAAATTAAAATAGGAACGTGGAATGTGAGGACAGTATATGAGGGTGGGAAGTTTGTAAATGTTTGTAGGGTAATGAAAAGGTTGCATGAGAGGCATTGGTATTCTTGTAAATCAGAAATTGAAATTCAGAAATTGAAATTGAGCAATAATGTAAAGAGATATTGGACTCTATTGTTTTCCAGCATAAAATGCATACAGTACAGTATACTGTAAATCCAAATGGATTCAACAAATCAACCCTGGATGATGTTGGGGACTTGTCTAAAGACAACAAACCCAACAATAAGTTACCCTATATTACAGGAGTCATCTAGTTCAGTAATGCTTGTAGCAGCTAATAATTACCTGAAGTTCTATGGTATTTTTTTCCTGTTCAGTGAAGTTATTGGAAAACATGGCCCTAAAGTAGTCACTGGATGCTATCAACTTGGTCCTGTGACATGTAAACTGCCGCCCCTCAGCAACCAAAGTGACCACATCTTCATTCACTTGACTGTGCTGCAGTATATTATCTGCCATTACCTAAAATGAAAGGGTACAGATAGATTATATGTCAATTACAGTTATTATTGTGTGAATTATTCTTTATAAAAAAAAAATAACAAATATAATTTCACCAGTCTGGAATATGACTGACAGTTTTCTCAACTAATATACATAAGTTCTTGATATGTGCGAGTTCAGCATATGCCAATTCACTCGTATTCAAAAACCCTATTCCTACCAGGAATTCAATTAATGCGAGCAAAATTCAGCCTTATGCGAGTGTCATTCTCCCTGATATGGATTCTAACCCTGATGTCTGTTTGGTAAACCTAACAAACACTGTAAGGGAGAGAGCTTTCTGCTGTCTTTTTAAACTTGAAATATTTCTCTTGAGATGGTCAAGGATGGCCAGTACCCATGGGGTCAGAGGAAAAGACTACTGTTTACCTTTGTCCAGGCATTTTCAACTGCCTCTCCATGGCCAGGAGGAGACTGTATGTCAAAAGTGACATAAGACAAATACAAAGTACGGTTATGTTATTGGCTACTTTAACTCCTGTTATTCTGCGTCCTAGGATTCGTTGTTATATCCAAAATGCTCTAAGCACCAGAGCTACATTGTTCTTCTGCAGTTTTGCATGCTATATTATTATGCTCTATTTTTTTTTTAAATATACAGTACCCTTGGTGTTTTTGCATATAGTAAGGCTGCCTCAAATATTGTCAGCAGCTACCTAGGGAGTGTTAGGTTAGGTTAGGTTAGCATTAGTGGTTAAGTTTATGTTGAAATGATTTGGGAGCTAATCTTTGGTCAATATAAAATAACAATCTTTATTATGCTTTTGAATGACAGCTATCAAATTGTGGCAATGAACTCTTTATTGAACCAATCAAAAACCTAACCTAATCTAATGATTTTTTAATACTGTTTTGTACAGTCCACGCTACCCGGGTACTTATAATCTGCACAGACTGCCAGCCTCAAAATTCATAACTGGCAACTTTGCTGGGTCCATCCCTCCCTTACTCCACCTCCAGAAACATACAATTAATCAGTAGTCAGCCAACCCAATGTCATATGAGATCTGCCTTATTGTGCCTTTCTGAGGTGTTGTTAAATCTAAGGCCCTCGGTCTCCTGGAATAATTGAGACGACATAGTTCTGGAACTATTGGGGTTGCTCTGTGCTGTTTTGCACCTTTCTAGGTATGTTAGGTCTTTCTAGAGGTAGAGTTTGCATGCCTCTACAGTCCCATATACAGTAATCCAGACTGGTTCTTGTGTGAGATTTTTACAGTTGAATGAGCATTTTCCTAATTTTGTCGAAAAAATTAATGAAATCGGGTATTATCATCATTTCGGTCACGCAGTGAATTTAGATTAGGTTAACTTAGGTTGAAATTCTGTTTTTCCGGTGGTTTTGATGTATTTTGAATGATTCTGACCTTCGGAAAATAGGCACATGATCGAAACGATAATTTTACCCAAAATCGAACAACCTCTGACGGTAGTGCTGCTCTCGGTAAACTTTTACTTTCACACAACCATGGAATCTGAAGAATTTTATCTTTGCAATTAATAGTTTAGACAATTCTAAGACACTTTGCTTCTTTGACATTTCCCTTGCAAATGACATAAAATGATCTAACCTAACCTTATCTCACCTCTTGGATCCCCCCTCTCCCCGTATATACAAGTCGTTTGGCAAGGGAAATGCCATAGACGAAAAGTGTTTTAGAATTGTCTAAGCTGTTGATGGCAAAGATGAAATTCCTAAGATTCCATGGTTGTGTGAAAGTAAAATTTTACCGCTCTCAGACAACCAGACACTATGAGCTTCTGACACAACTACCAGACACTATGGCCAGCTGTTAACAACCAAACATTATGATTAACTGACCCTATGGCCAGCTGACAACAACCTGACACTATTACAGCTGACACAACAACCAAGCATTATGATAATCTAAGCGACAACGGTCCGACTAATTACCCAAATGTACCCAAATGTAGCCGCAATGAAGTCAAATAATGGTCTTACATGAATAAATCGGACTGCCAACCACTTCTCGAATAGTATTTGGTGTCACGAAGTCACAAAAAAATGGAAAACTTAATTTAATCTGAGTTAGGTTAGGTTAGGTTAGGTTAGGTAAGGTTAGGTTAGATACATGCACTCGATCTATTAACTCAGATTAAATTAACTTTACCAATTTTTTTTGACTTTGTGACACCAAATACTAGTCGAGAAGTGATTGGCAATCCGATTTATTCATGTAGGACCATTGTTTGACTTCATTGCGGCTACATTTGGGTACATTTGGGTAATTAGTCGGACCTTCCTTGAGATAAATGTATAGTACTGTATATATCAGGTGCCTCAAAGAGAGCTCAGGTTCTCAACTGGCTCAGCCATGTTAATATTGTTATTATTATCCACTCTGTGTTTTTCTGGCTAAATAAACTGTTACAATTCAGTTCAAGCGACACTGACTGGCTGACACTAAAAACTGACCACCTGCTGGGGTTGTTTACTTTAGTATTTTTGAAGTTTCGTGCATTTTCTGTTTGTAGAGATTAAATCTTCCACAAAACCTAAAATAAGTCAAATTATATTTTACTTATAGTACCTTTAGTTTACTTTCTACACTTCTCCGCTGTCACTGATTGGCTTGTTATCGTCAGCCGCTTCAGTGGTCGGTTATGTCTCTGTTACGCACTGTTGACAAACCTGCCCAGCACTAGCAGTCTTGCCGACCCCTCCAGGCTCCTCAGCCCTACACACAAGGAATACTGTAACTAGATATTCCTTGCCCACACAGGCAATGGAATTACCCTACATTACCCAACGCCTTAGGCTCAGAAGTGTGTGTATATGTATATATATATATATATATATATATATATATATATATATATATATATATATATATATATATATATATATATATATATATATATATATATATATGCCCATATATATATATTTATATATATATATATATATATATATATATATATATATATATATATATATATATATATATATATATATATATATATGTGTGTGTGTGTATATGTGTGTGTGTGTGTGTGTGTGTGTGTGTGTAAAGATATTTTTTCTTATATGAAATTAAATTTTATACATATTTCTAACGATATGATTTTATTCTTTCAAGATGCATATGAAGATATATAAGAACACAGTACTGTACTGTAATATCAACGTATTACTCAGGTCCTGACTTCAGTCAGTTCAGTGTTCATAGTACTCATCAAGGAATGGAGGTCTGAGTTGCTGGCATTGAGATTACTATCGTCTGCAAATAAGTTGCATTTTATGAGTGTGCTGGCGTGGACTATGTCGTTTATGTACAGTCTTGAACAGAAGTCCTGTCGCCCCTTGTGCTGTTCCGCGAACCAAGAGATTCAGACTCATGAACCCGAAGCAGTAGACACTGGTGCATTATTCTGCCCGTAAATGCTTCGGATTCATGAGTCTGAATCTCAGGGTTCGTGGAGCAGCAGAAGGGGCGACAGGACTTCTGTTCACGACTGTACAACAAAAACAGTACTGGACCGAGAATGGAACCTTGGGGGACGCCATACAAGATTGGCGAGGAGTCAGATTGGTGATTATTATAACAGACATTCTGCATCCTGTTGGACAGATATGAGGTATATCCACTTCACTTCAATCTGTATTTAGGGATCCTCCCCTCGCACGTTGCAATCGTTGAACACATTCATAAGATTCTCTGATCATTGCATAGGTATAGTTTCTGGATCATTTCCAACACTTCACATAGGTCTGATACATTTATCCAGTGGCGGCTCGTGCATAGGGCTGCAGAGCTGCAGTCCCCCCAGACACTCACTGCCAGGCGTATGATTCCTTTAGAGAGACAGCTGAATAATACACTACCAACAAATATATCATTTTATATGTTATTTAATTATTTTCAATACGTTGCTAAGTGAATTTTCATTAAAATCAGACCAAAATTTAAGTTACTTTCATAGTTGCTGTCAATGCTGTACGATTCATGTCTGTTATTAATTGGCGCCGCCGCCGCACTTGAAGCAGCTCAGTCTCGTACAACGTGTGGACGGTGTGGTTAAATCGTGCTTTCTTTAATTACCCTTTGACGATGGAAAATCGAGTGAAGTATTTGCAAAACATCAACTTTTCCCAGCTGACATTAAATGAAAAGACTGAAATCAAAGCAAGAGGAAGACCTACACCAGTTTTATCCATTCAACAGAACAGTACAAGCAGGAACAAAGAATATACACGCCAGTTTAACATCAGTGTTTATCAGAATGACAGACTGTCTGCTTTAGCAGTGATATCCATTGAAAATAAAATGATAACAGAAATAAAGGATTTTAATGAAATAGTAATAAACAATTTTGCTACATCAAAGAGCAGACACGCCGACTTTATTTTCAATTAATACTGGTCCATCACCAACACTACTACCATGCCCTGGGAATTCGTGGACGTCAACTACAACTCATACCTGAGGTAGGTCAAATTTGTGTATCCTACTGTTGTGTGAGGCTTGCAGTCCCTCCATTTTATTTTTCACGAGCCGCCACTGCATTTATCCTTTATCCAGATCATTGTTCTCTTATATTTCCATCTGATATCTGCGGTAGCTACGTTCACTAATCGTTCCTAGACGTAAAAGTATGACCTTCAAACACGATCTACACTTATCCCTTGTAGTACACTAGTCCGTATCAATTGGTCCTTCCCAATCATCCTATAGATACCTTGAGTTCTCCTTAATGCAATAAGTACACACACTTAATATTATATGACCGTACCTTGGTACAATTCGTATAAAACAACATACAGTAGGTGAGTTTCCTTTACCAACGTTTCCCGTTTTCTGTGACTACAAGCGCTGTGGATTTGAATGTTATGTAGCGTAATATGAATAAAATATATATTAAGGATGACAATGATGCGCCCAGTACAATCAAAATCACAAAATTAAATAATAATTATGCCACAGAATATGAATCTTCTCTTGGCAAAATGGACATACTTTCATTTATTTAAACTCGACTAAAAAAAATTCTTCTAGAAAAGGCCGAAATATTTCACTTAAAACATTATTATTATTATTATTATTATTGTTGTTATTATATTTTCGCCCCCAGGCCTTAATGTGGGTCATTGATCTGTGCCCTGGTGGGCTTGTAGTGGATTTCTAGCCTACAAACGCTGTTTGTCGCTGCGTAGCCGACCCCGCGAATTCCCCAGTGTATGCCTCGTGGTCTGGGTCAACCAGCGCCGCCATACATCACGGAGGTCAACTACTAAGCCACGCCTACCCCCGCTATTTAAGACCTGACCTCGTGGTGATCTCTCTCTTTCTACCTACACCAACCAGCTAGCAACACCTCCTCCTCCTCCACTCCTGCCTGGCGGTCCTCGCTCCCGCTGGCGAGCATGGCGACCCACAAGCTGTCCTCCTCTGAGCATCCCCACCAACCAGCTCTCTCTACATCACGCTTGTAACCATGCTGCCTTCCCAGCACCAAGCTGCATTGTGCATCCAATACAACATGTATACAGAGAGTACATTGTGAGTTTCCTTTCTCCATTCCATCCTGAGTGTGAACCAAACATCACATACCCCACAGGCTAATCCCGCAAAAAAAGGCTCCATATTTGATCCGATTCAGCAGCAATCTATGAACCGACCGTCTATGTTTCCTTGTCCGTTTTTTTTCTTTTGATTTACGCATGATCTTATACAAACCCAGGATGTTTAATAGCAAATCATCCTGTTCATATAAATGGCGTCGTAGCTTCGATGCACTAGGCGCCATCTTTCCTGTCCTGTGTTCCCGCTAGAAAGACAGCTGCATGCATGTGGAAATAGGGGTGTCTGTTTTTTCAGAGGAATTTAATGCAAACGCATTCTGCAAACGTATACCGCAAACGCACTGCAAACGCATATATGAAATCCTAGCTTTAGACTGTCTGAACAACTGTAGCAGCTGTGCGTATCGAGTACACGCCGAGAATACGTAGTTTTCTTTGAAAGCGTATTGGGGTCGAGAAACGGAAATGTATGCTATATTTTACTTTCTTTTTAACTATTGGAGAAATTCATAGTTTTTCTTCCATCGGGAAATTTGAATTTATGACCAACGAAAAATGCCTGATTGGTTACTGGTACTGATTACCTTACGTTTTGCCCTAGACTCCCCCACAGGCCAAGAAAATAGGCTAAATTACCCTGGGCATAGGGTAATTACGCTATGGTTGGCAACAGTGTGTAACAGCCGTGACCGACCGCCCAAGAAGCAAACGAGCCGATCAATGACGAAGAGGATATAAAAGATTAAAAATACGGCGTTGAGGAATGAGGTGTAAATTCCATAGACTCATTGAAAAATCTACAAAAACTGATCATTGCATCGGTCAAATTGGGGTCTGGGTTCGGTCCTGGTTTACACCATTTCTGAATTCTGATAGCTTCACTATATTGATCTTTGCCTTTTTATGAGGGGGGTAGGGGAGAGGAGGCGAGTCATAAGTAAAAACATATCAAGTCTGATCAGTTTATTTAGCACGGGAAAATTTACATGCACAGAACGCAATATAAAGCAGCATTAGCAAAACCTAATAAACATCCTAATGTATGAGGAAAGCGTTAATACCTTGTAATAATAGAATATAGGAGGTTGGATACTACTAGAGGCTGGTGTATGCAATATTTTAAATGGTAAAGGCGCCCACATACCTGCTGCAGCAGCAGCAGCAGCAGCTTAGTTTGTCCCATGGCGACAAGCCCACAATAGAGTAGATGGAAGGAACCTTAACTCAGATTCTTAAAACGTCTTCTTAAAATTGTCCTCCAATAGGTTTTAAATGAACCCATCATGTTACGGCAGAAAATCAAGTGTAATTTTGACAGTCTTCTGGCTGGTATATTTGTAACGTGGCTAAACTGTATATATTTGCTGTGTTCTCAATTTTTCAGTTCGAGAAAAAGTGTAATTGGAATCGGTGAGAATCTTGGCTCAGGTCTGGTTATAATATAAAGTCCCACTAGTAGAGGATTCCGGCACTGTGTATCTAGCCCCTACTAGTACGCAAGGCTAAACTTTCGGACTACTGAATATGGGTGCCAGGTGCCTAACCTAACTTAATCTAAGAGACGTAACATAGGGTTATACTAGAATGGATTAGATATGGTTATGTTAAGCGATAATATTATCTCGTGTGGCGTCATACCAGACGTGCTTCTGATGGAGTATACTACAGTTTTTCGAAACCTTCCTCAAATGTTAGCTCAAAACACGTTTGCGCCAAGCGGCGTCTTAGGTAAAACAAACAAAGGGAAATTTTGACTAGATAAACATATACAGCGTGCAGGACACTACAGTGTTGTAACAAATTGATGTAGTAATGTCGGTGAGTGCAGGATGTGATGCAGATAAAAATGTTATGAATCCATGCATTAAATAGTTATATTAACATGAATATTGAGTCATTCTGACAAGCTTGAGATGAACTGTACAACGGACATAAACATCAAGTCGTGATAAAATAGAGTACAGGTATTACCACCTTGTTTAATTTTGTCTTATCATGCAAATTATGGTTTCTTGTCAAAACACTCCAAAGGTACATAAAGTTTGATAAATATAAGTAAATAAATATCCTTCTCTTTTCAAGAATAAAAAAACCTAGATCCACATTCCAGTCGTCTTCTACCAGCTAACCTATGTTTATGTTAACACTACGCCATTACAACTAATCCAGTTCCCATGGTCACTTCCTATCAGCTTATCTTATTTTTCTTATATTATTGTTTTCTTCTTGTTAACACTTCTTAACAATATATTTTCTTTACAAATCCCCCAAACTTTTTCTAGCATAAATGATTTTTCATTACCTCAACCTTTTATCGTCTCTTCCTTCACCCCATTGTCCCTCCACCAAACGTCTCCTTATAAAACAGGTATCTGTTGACACTCGCTTTTTACTACGCCCCGTGTCTCCGGGCGTCCTCTATCCTGTCTTCTCTACTCGTAAACCTCCTGGGTCTCCTGTGATTCTAACAACGCCCTCTCGGCTGCGATACGAGCGTGTTCGACACGGATTTTGTCGAAGAGGAGCTGATGTCGTGAGCGGGCGGCCTGTACAGCGCGAGTCTCCTGAGGCAGGTTAGAGGCATTGACATGGAAGCCACTTTCGTCAGCGAAGTACACGATCTCTTGCACCTGTTGGCGAGGGTCCACATACCTGCCGAGAAGGGTGACCCTTGTAGTGACATACAAACAACTGATAATATTTTAAATGCACTGTAACAGTGATGATATAAACAGACAGTATCTGTGTCCATGAATAGAGGGAAAATTGAGCAGCAATGAAGAACCCACTACGCAGTATACAATTGACTATATAGTGCGGTAACAATATATCAACATAATAAATAACAATGGGAAATCTAGTAAGAATTAAAACATGGGAATGGTTTGAACACTTTGGAAAAAAAATATACCTAGAATGAGTTAAAACTGTGACGAAATCATAACAAGAGCAACTCGTAAAAAGATATATCTATAGGGGTGGCCGTAATGACCCAGGTGTTGAAGGCCAGTAAAGCAATCCAACAAAACAATATAAGGGGAGTGAAACATACCAAAACTCAGATAAAAAATAATAAATGATAACTGTACAGCAAAGGGGATCTGTGCAAAACACCAGGACACGAGGGTAAAAAATATAATAAATACAACAGGGAAAACATACTTAGGAAAAACAAAATTACACAACTCATAACTTAGTGAATACTAAAAAAAGAAAAAAATCGCAAATGTCAGAGAAAACATTTCAGGGGGAATAAAATATGAGAGACTAAGTAAATGTGAAACAAGACCTCATTTTTTACTCTCAGTAGGACCCATACTTCCTTCGTACTGTGAGGCCTGACTCTAAGTACCACAGCAGTGAATACTCAAGTCCGTTTATACTGAGTACGATAAGAATTGCTCATTTACGAAAATTCACGAACCTTACTTTACGGGGCACTAAGGATACATTCCAGGTACATATTTTTTTTATTTTCAGATTAAGGAATGTGTATTTTAATTTGTTGCGTTGGTGAGGTATTTCTAAGTATACATGTCTCACAGTTACAGATGAACAGACCAGATGGCGACAGTGGAAGTTCCGCTAAGCTTTCTCTTCCAGTAGATGTCCATATGATGATAATTGCATTTTATACATCTACAGTAGATATTGATTTTGTGCACAGCATTGTGTCAACCAAATCATACCAATGACAATCAAGACTGGTACAAAACTTAGATTATAAACAAAAATACCCACAGGTGGTATTTTCTATTAATTAAATAAGCTTTTTTCAAATACAACATAACTTAGAACTAATTAGCCGATTCCTGAGCCGCCAGAGTGAGTATTCAATAACCCCAAATTCACCAATTTCACAATGACAGATTTTGAAAGAATTTAAACATATTACAATACAGGCCTCGAAGATTTACTTATAAGTAAAAAAATGCGCTGCAATTTGTTTCGGTTTATACACTTGTAATTTTCCTGCATTAGTATTACTCATCCAGCTGCTGCAAACGTATACTCCCACACCTTCAACACCTTACATGTGCCCCCACATGCGATGACTGCTCGACCTACTTCTATGTTTAGGTTCTTCCCTGACCTTACCTCTTATATTTGTATCTAATCTCAACATAACCTTGGTTTCTGACCAAATATGTCGACGCCTGTGGGTCGGCCTTGTCCTGCCACTGGTAATATCCGGAATATCATTTGTGTTTTTACTACGTACGCCAGTCATCCATTCTGTTTCCGATGGAATTGTTTTCATCTATTTATTTATTAATTTGTGTAATCATCTTTTTCAAAACAATCTTGTCGTCTTCCTCTCCACACTGCAACATCCTCTACAGATTACATCCACCCCTCAGGTTACACGCATCACCCCTGGCTACATCTATCACCCCTGGCTACATCTATCACCCCTGGCTACATCTATCACCCCTGGCTACATCTTGCACCCCTGGCTATATTTAGCACCCCTGGCTATACCATCACTCATCTTGCACCCACATTTACTGGACCTATAAGGAGAACCTACCTGAAGACGCCCCTGGTGATGCCGTCCTCACCACGCTGCTCCTTGTGTTCCCTGTCTGGGGCACCGTTGTAGTAACGGGAGGCGTCCCATGAGAAACTGTATGGTCTCTTAGGCTCATCTTCGTAGCTGTTGTCGTCGTCGTCATCATGAGTTTCGTTGGAGTCGTCGAGCTTCTCGGGGAAGGCTGCCACCACGCTCATTACCCCCAGCAGCAGCAGCACCAGCATCTGTGTGCCAGAGTATAGACAGATAAGTGTTGATTGACCCCTCTAGTCCTCTGTTGACGACCAAGCCACCAAAATTTATTATTTTCACCATCAAAATGACATACTATTAGAATTCATTCGAACCTACATTTAAACAAATAACAGTCGCAAGCGATAAATATTCAGCTACCAGCCTGAGATCAAAGACAGGTTAATTCTGGGTTTGAATGCCGGCAGAGGATGCCATAGTTGTATTCAAATAAGAGGACAATGTGTATCTCGACCCTCTTCACATTTGCTTTATTTGCATAAATCGATACGAGCTACAGGAAGCGATCTTACGCTTTAATGGTGTGTGTGTGTGTGTGTGTACAGATCTCAAAAACTGATCAACCAATTACAGTATTATAAAACTTGATATGTAATGGCTATTGGCCAAGATTTGTTCTTTATCTTCAAGGAATTACTGTCGAAGAGGATAGACCACGCTGAGATTTCAGTTAATATCCAAATAATAAATGAAAGACATTTACTTGTTTACCATTATAATTAATAATAATAATAATAATAATAATAATAATAATAATATTATTATTATTAATTTTACACAGACGATGTGGTTGAGGCTTTGGCAATAAAGGTTACGTTAATGTAAATCCCACACACGCGTTCACAAACACCATAATCAAATATAATTAAAGATTAGCGATGAATACAGTTAAGTTCAAATTATTAATAGTATTGATTTAAAACTAAAAATATATAATAATCAGAAATTCATAGGGTTATGCAAGATAGATTTAAATAAATACTCGAGTGCTGAGCCTGGAGTTAACCATGTAAACGTTAGGGCCACATAGTCGTTACGGGCAGTGTAGTTTGTTAGCACAGTGGGAAGGGGTAAAGATGAAATTGTATTCGTGAAGTGGACTTTTGGTGACTATAGTTGGAGAATGCCAGTCATCGAGGGAGTCGACCCAAGTCAACAACGCACAAGGGTCAACGGCTGGCGAAGTGGGTCATGTGCGGCCAAGGTGACTATTCTTGTCAGCCGCTACAATTAACGTGAGTGTTGTTACATGATAATGAAATATTTACGACAATCTTCAAGAATCCTGCAGGAATTCTCACACTCTCCCTTCCCTTTATGATTACATGTATGACCGGAACCAAGCAAGTCAACCCTAACCTGACCTAATGACCTTTGCCCGAAGGCTGAAAATATACATAGGACATAAATGACTTATTACATACATTGGTGGTTTAACAAAAGCCTTCATTAGAGAAAGGTAAAGGAACATACAGTGAACATACAGATTAATGTAGGTGTTGAACAGCAAACACGTAGTGTAGTAATTCCCTCACAGATGGTGTTATATGAGTGAGGTTTGGTCTTAGGCCTTCCTATCGTAGACGGATTAACACATCGCTGGTTGTTGTTGGGTCTCACTGGCCGTTATCACTGGGTACCTGGGACCTCACTGTGTGAAGGTTAACTTGGGTACGACTGTTACTGTTGAGTTGTTCTCACTGACTTAAGCACTGTTCACCACTGTTCACCTCTGTTTAACACTGGTTCCGTTCCTTTCCTAAATGAAATTGTAACTTCTGGCGAGAACTTGTTGATATTCCGGTGGGGACGAGGGTTCAGGGGAGGGGGTTGGTATGGGCCAACTTAACAGTTGACCTGGCTGCTCCGAGAGGAGCGCCAGGTACGTCTTGACCCTTCGGTGGTCAAGGATTTTTGTGTTAGGGCATGTTTAATTACGTTGGGTTTAATGAATCAATCCCTGGATATTTGTATATTACCGTATTTAGTGTGTGTGTCGGTTCTTGTCTTGTTCAAGAGGCTTGTCACGTATTGAGGTCAGGTGTATTTACTGAGCTCTCATTGACTTATATTATAAGTCTTATAATGATAAATGCATTCCGAACATATTAGCCTCTGTGATAGGCCAATGTGGTAGGTAGTTGAACGTGTTTTCATTGGCACTTGATGTAAATATACCGTTCCCATTCCTTTAACTATGTATGGATATTCCGGACGGAGGCGTCAGGCCTATTCATTCATATCAATATCAAACTGTAGGACGATAATCAGTGTTGAATCAGGCGAGCAAATAGAGTTACTATCTGAGCTCAAGACTCAGGTTTCTGGAACTCACCGACTTATATTTGTCCAGAAGTCTTTCGAAGGTCAGCACGTTTGCAGACCTCACCAACTGCGCAACAATTTTTTTCCTAACCTCAGCTTCCTCTGTACACGAGTCTTCTTTAGATTAAGACTTACTGTAAGTTCAGAAAACTGACAGGTCAAACTTTTTTCTAGTGAAAGTTGTCGACTCTTGGAACAATCTGACAGAGAGCGTTGTGACGGTACGGCACCGAGTGTGAGCTAATTCAAGACCAGACTTGACTAACACTAGCGCAGGTACAGAAACATTGTGGAATCAGTATATGCCCAGTACAGTACTTGCCAACAGAGACGTGACCGACCAACCGCCCAAGCTGCCTTCTACCTTATCTACAGACGTCAAGTCAAGTCAAGAAGGGGACTCTACTCAACGCTCTCAAACAGACAAGACTTCCTCTCAACAAGCTCCTCACCACACAGCAACTCCCTAGCACTGCATTGTACATATAATATATATATATATATATATATATATATATATATATATATATATATATATATATATATATATATATATATAAACGCCATTGTGAGTTTCCCTTCTCACCTCAGTGCGAGATCTCCCACATGTATGTATGTACTGTATGTGAGCCCCACAAGGAGAAATTTGACAACTGGCCACATACACTACGCTACAACGTCATCATATAAGTTTAATAATTTCAGAGAAAGTTCACAAGTCATACAGTAGATGTTTCAGTCAGTTAAATCAGTCAAGATGAAGCTACCTTTGTAGAGAGTTACACATAAAATTTTTGACGTAAAACAAACCAAGAGTGACAAAAAAACAGTGAGCGAAAAACTTTACAAGATTGTTAAAAACCGGAAAGAGCAGAAAGTAGTCTGTAAAGTGAAAGGCCTGAAGAAAGGTGAACGACCTTCCCGTGCGGCGTGTAGCCTAGCCTACACCAGCCACCGCCCATTGGGAGAGGCTACCGGGAAAGAGAACACGGCTGATGTTGATGATTACTGCTCATCAACAACTAAAAGGTCTTCCATCGCGTATTCTAATGTACATGCAGTAGTCATTAACAATCAAACATTACACGAAAGAACTCTCTCTTTTACCACAAACCATAAACTTAGTCATGTTTGTATCTCACTGAGGAGTCATTGCTGTAGCGGGAATAAATGTGGTATACAGTAGAAGGGAAATAAATTGCTGAGCGTAGATTCACTAAAAATATACTTGAGATGTGGTATAAAATGGCAAATACAGAAGACAGAGAGTGAGAATTATAGAATGTAAACAAAAACTAAATCATTGATCTCAAATGAATTTAAGAGAATAAAAGATCAAAATAATATGTTCATCTGTACTTAACCCATACACTAATAACTAGAACAGCAACGTACCAAGAATCAGAATTAACGTCAATATATCCTCATGGTCATTCACATCGGAGTGAGTTACGTCAGCTGATCGTTGCAGTTTTCCTTTGTCAGGGAAATGCTTGCATGACAGTATTACAAACAACATTTACACGATTTTCTGGTCAGTTAGCTTAGCAAATATTCTCTAACTTTTATATCATGATAGGTGGCGAGATAGACAGACAGACATATCCAGTAAAATCACCATGTAAGTTCACACTGATTTAGCATGTACGTACATAGACAGCGCAGGTATACAACAATGGTCAACAGTAAGTTAATTTGACCAAAGATAACACAAGAAAGCCAAGATAGCTTATTTCTATTGGGGGTCTTTTGTGGGGTTGAGGGGGACTAATCAGTCACGAATTATGATCATATACTCGGTCGTTCAACGTAAAAGCGTAGTGCTTTCGTCCAGAATAAAATAAAGAACACAATAAATAACTAATCCGAGAGAAGGAAACCCTGCGTCCCCCTAGAAAGGTGAGAGTTGAAACCAGTTTGTGGCAGGCAAGGAGAGAGTCACGAAAAACCTGAACATCAAGGCTATCCCATCAACACTGGCTGTTCTTACAGTGGTGGCCTCTCTATTCAACACTATAATACAGATATGTAGATGAGCTAATACTAAGAACGTTTTAGATGAGGTGTAGTGCACGAGTGTCCTATTTTTCTGAAAGTCGTCAGGGACATCAGCGTCCCCATAAACAGGGAAAGGAACATGAACGTCCGGTTCCTCCATGCTGGCACTCAAGTCCCACACTATTAAGAAAAAATGTTGCTCCGTTTCCTGGTGGCGAATTTATATCTTCAGTTTTATATTTTAAGGCTTAGATTCGATATTTTAGTAACTTTTAGCAATACTAATACGTAGCTATAAATAAAATAGTAAACAGAGCAAGGACAGTTTTTCTTTATTTACAAGCAGTCAGTTTTAGAAGTCACCACATAAAATCGAGAGTATTATTAAAAACTTGAACAGACCAAGCAGTAAGGATAACTACTCTCCCTGGATCACGGTCACAGTCAAGGTCCTTTACACACCAGTCCCCTGTAACACCTCATCTGCTCTTATTAGTATTTCTAAAGGATTTATTTTTATATTTCTTGCACCATAATTTTAAGTTGATGAAAGTTGTATGTCTACGTAATAATAGTCGAGTTATCCTAACACATATATAGTCAATACACATAATTACAAGAAGTTACATTAGAATGACAGAAAATTTTATTCGGTATCAGTGAAGAATCCTCGTATTTTCATGAATTCGCTTATAGTAGTTCATGAAAGCATTCCTCGGATAAACATGGTGGATCTCACGCGTGGTTATCAATTACGAAAAGTCGAAGAGTGAGACGACTCTAGTCCCTTCCCCTACTGTTGTGACCTTGTAGGTATCATGCCTTATAAGCTTCCGTGTTACCCCCGCGAGTCTGCCTGACGTATCCCTGGCTGCCTTCTATTAAGTTATTATGCTGAACATTTTCCACGGGTCACTAATGAACTTCTCCCTGATATAATATGATAATTTGTGCTCAGGATCTTTACGTTGTCTTGTGTTCCTAAGATCATTATGTAAATCAGCTTGAATAAAGACAGTGGCATGACAAATGGGATTTTGTATTAGGACTTTTCCTTGGCTTTCAATAAGTACAAAATAATGCAAATAATTAATGAGAAGTAATTGGAATAAGAATTCTTTGACTGCCAAATATAAAATTTTCATAAGTTCTAATTATTATTATGCAGCGTCTTCATATACTTTTAGATTAATACTAATGTGTTAAATGAAGTTTCGCATACTAAATACATTGTTTTGTTGACGATGTACAGTACACCAATCGCATAAACAGAACAACCCGGTAGTTAGAGGCTGAAGAAATCATACAATATTCTTAAAACATAAAATTATCCACTTGTAGGGTGAAATTATGTCTCTTTAAAAATAGACTTTCTATAAACAATGGATATTTATTTTGAAGGATAAAGCTATAAGGGTTCCCGGTTCGTGTCCCGTTTTAACCAGCACCTTGGGGGATGGAGCATAGATTGTAAGTGCCCCCACCCCCACCACCCCACCCAGCCATGATCACTACAACCTTGCAACACCTGCGCATCAACACATCCTATACCTGAGAGAGAGAGAGATTCAGTACAACCGACATAAAAATTCGCATCGACTACTTTGCGAAAATTTAACTATTTGTTTTTGTTTACATAGGTATATATGAATGTGTAAGTGACTATCTGATATTAACATCATTGAAACATTACATTTACCCTTATGTGGTTCAGATCAATCAAAATATTATTAAACAACACCAGGATACCGAGCCGGAGATCGTACGTATAAATAGCATTGAAGTCACTACGGTATCAGTAGAATATTGATATGAACTATATTGGAGACAACTAGTTTAATATCCTTGTGTGATATGTTACCAACTATTACCATACGTATTTGCTTTAGCCTTCCATCAATAAGTTGTACAATATCACGTCTCGGCACACTACACCCTTACCACACACGCTGCTTGATCACTACTTCTAAAAACACTCCTCGCCATATCTAAACGCCACATCCTTAAGTAAACTAAAACTTCTTTTACAAAACTATATTAAATTTTAAATTCAGTTTAATGAATGTAAATGCTTTCAATTATTCTTATTTTATATTCTTAGTGAGTTAAGACAGTTCATCACGTTATCAGGCTATTTAAGTCAGGCTTGAAAACAATCTTTCAGTCCCGTAAGACTAACAATGCCAGATCAGGAAATAAGCCATTCATTTGATTGAACGCATCCAAATATATATATATATATATATATATATATATATATATATATATATATATATATATATATATTGAGATGAAGTATAAATTCTGAAACTGTTACGTACTCGTATATTGGAAACTTATATTTCTACCAATATGTAAATTTGTAGTTTGTTGTTGTTGACGTATATTGTACAGGAGCAAAGAGGTCGGAAACACAAAATAAGATAATGTAACCTGTCTATGTGATAGTTAGATTTGAGATTTCCTAATTTATATCTTGAGGTCTTTTGTGTCCATGTGTAACTCAGATGATTAACTGAGAAAGGGTGGTAAAATTGTCTTAAGGTGGCTACAGAAGGTGGCTGCAGAAACCTAAACAAATTTTATGGCATAGATCTAATATAATTTTTATTTTAATATACAGGGGTGTACACTAATGTACAAAATAAATATATTCGTATAACTATCACTGGTGAATGACAAGAGAGAGACAAGTTGTTTTTCTCGAGCGCTCCTCTAGTATAAACACTTATAAAAGAATTATCAGTGTCAATATTTTATGGATGCAGGGTATAATTTCTAAAGATAACAGTGTGCGGTTTACATACCCAGGTCTTCATGTTGGAACCGGTGATGTACGACGATTGTCTTTAGGTGTTTAATTTGAAGCTGGCGAGGATTGTTGAGTTGAATACGTCTAATATCACTCTCACTGATGACTGAACGATCGCCAAAATGAACCGAAGTGTGTGGAAGCAGACGCTCGAAGGTGTAGACTTGTGGCAGACTCCACGTTTGAATGGCAGACGGTGGCTGGCGAAGTGGCGAGCGTGTAAGAACACGGCCTGAGAGTGAAAGTAACCTCAAACCTGGTGACGTCACACTCAGGTGCCAACTGTACCTTATAGAAACATTACAATTATCTACATCTATAGTACAGTAATGGATTTCAGATATATCCCGTGCAACCATAAAACAATATACTAAGCAATCTATTGATGTTAGGTGAAATAAACTTCAAGCACGTAAATCCAGCAGCTTGGCGTAAAACACATTTTGGAAAAAGAAACATGGCATGTAGTCTGGTGATCTCTGACTGGTCCCACATCTATTAATCTAAATCTCATCTGAATTTTTACTTTAAATGGAATATTAAATCATAAGATATTCACCCGTAGGCCAAAATGACCCTTAAGATTTACGACACTGAAAAAAAGTCCTAAAGGTGTCAAAAATACGGTACTGCGACTGAGCTTTTGGAAATTTTGAAGTGAGTGCCACACCCTGTTTCAGGAGGGGTGACGCTATCGTTCCATTAAGACTTGACCAAGGCGTGAAGGACATGACCCTTCCAGGATGTGATGTTACTAGAAGCAAGGGATGGTGAGAAAGGCGGACGTAAAGACATAAACTAACGCGGACAGTTAGAGAGATGACAGGCAGGTAACCATGTAAAAGACAGGTGGAGAAAAATACGAGGCAAGTAAGAGAGAGAGAGAGACAGAGAGAGGGGGGGGGATTAATAACAGAAATACACTGTCGGGGAGGATGAAGACAAAACAGCAATTACCAAAAAACAATAGCAAATAAAGATAAAAACAAAAGAGAAATTCAAGAATGACGAGAATGAAAAACTAAATAAATCAATAGAATGTGTACGACATCGACAACATGCAGATCTTCGTAGACAGACGAAAGAGAAAGTGAGAGTGTCACACACAATGCAAATAAATGGTGTGGTCCAGCGTGGTATGGCTACCTGGCCTGCCCCAGTCAAGGCCACACCACCACCACCAGCCTTCTTCCTGCCCCACCTTGGCCAACCCACTCCTGTGCTACCAGTATTCTCCCTATTCTGTAATATCATGCCAGCATCGACCAACTGCCTGTTCGGCCCGGCACACGTCGACCAACCCCAGTCCTGCCAAATCCTACACCACCAACCCTCTTCCTGCCCCCAACCTATCCCTGCCCACTACTACCTCCTCTCATCCACCCCGACCCTTTCCAGCACACTCCTGTCCCATCCCATCCATCCCCATCGTGTTGAATATCATGCCCACATCAACTCACCCTAGTCTTGTCATTGCCCAACTCGACCCACCCCTATCCTGCCACACCCACCTCGACCAACCCCTATCCTGCCACATCCACCTCGACCTACCCCTACCCTAACCTACCACAAGTTAGTACCCAACACTCATTACAGCCCTTAAGCTTTCTAAGTCGACTGGTACATCTTTGTTTTCTAGCTTCTTCAGTCTCGAACCTTGCCCCATGTTATCCTCGACCTCACGATGACTATAACAGGTAAGGGAAGATGTAAGGATGTGTCTAAATGGTTATCATAAACTAAAGCAAAAAAAATTACTTCCAGAAATAACATCGGAGTTAAACTTCCTCCCTTCTTCATGAGATTGTTTGTTCGCTTAACACCAGGAAAGATACGACATTAACACGTAGCTATTTTTTATTTATTTTTAAACCTAATTTATCATTTCACTACTTCTCACCTTACTAGCTGTTCGGCCTGTTGGTCTGGTCTTGGTTAGGTTAGGTTATGACCTTCACAGCCCAGTGTTAAAACAGGGGACCCACAGTATCCGGAGAAAACCTGCCATATATGGTAGGGTCACACTGGTTAACACCCTTCTCACATCTGACCCGGCCCGGAGATTGAAGCCAGGACACGATAGTGAGAGCCATTCCGCGTTACCGCTAACGTCAAACATCTACGTAGGTGGAGTTTTACAAGTTCAGTTACGAGGAATCGTCTTATGAATCTTTAGGAATATCGACCCATACCTCTAGCCAAACACAGCTCCCTCACTACTGTTGTAAGACCAGTTGGTTCAAAGGCAAAAAACTTGCCTTAGAAGACCTTAGTTGACAGTTCCGCAGGGGTCAGTATCCCACCAGCTGTTTTCCAAGTTCTCTTACTCTATGCTCCAATTACTCCATACTCCTTGTTAGGTTATATTAGGTTAAATTTTGTCAAGTTAGATTAGATTACAATTTGCCAGATTTGGTTAAATTTGACCAGATTAACTCAGATTAAATTTGGTTACTTAACGTACGTGTGATTTTGTTCCTCAGTTCATTTCATTCTTCGCTGAACCCAAATCCCTCTCATTATAGTCACCTCCAGCCAACCTCCCTTAATTATACCTCCGCCATCCCTCTCTCAACCTCCACCACCTTACCTCAGTGTTGCCAGATATATTACCACTCCTTCCTACATCCCAAAAACACACACAGCTACAACCGATATAATTTGGACGTTGTTTAGATTAGGTTAATCTTAAGGTGAAATAAGCTGATGGCTAATCTCTCGGTTGATCCAATTCACTCTAAAGAGGTTCTTTTAGATCTATATCAACTTTATATACGCCTTCTTTGGGTATGCCTTTTTTGGCCAATGACTTAAGATTTTCTTCTCATCCTTCCGTCTCGTTTACAGGACACTTCCCTATACGCTTCAGGGGTTGTTTACTATCATGAATTCCGCACTAACGCAGCTTCTTTTCTTTTATTATAATAGCTGTAAGCGAAATAGTTAAGCCGCCATTAAAGCCCCTGTTGTATAGTTGATTCAGTGGTTGAATCACAAGCGCTGGCCATCATCACCAGTTAGCTATATAGCTATAGCTAATCATTCTTCTGCACACCACACCTCACGCAGGCCTCCCGCACTCTCCCAGCATCCTAATTATTAACCCAGCTCCGCCCCTCGAACTCAATCCAGGACGTCAGTGACCCTCATACTTCGCCATCACCGCCTTGACATTTTCTGGAGAAACTTGTAGTGTTGACATTGTGGGTCAACGGGCGGGGCTTGGGAGTACCGGACGCTACCTGTTTATTTCCTGTTGGACTGTTAAGAAAATATGCATTGAGAAGATGACGATCATTATCTAAATGTACATAATATATTTTATTATGTATCATTTATCTTGAGAAACCAATGACGTTATGGGTGTCTGCCCAGGCAATACTAGCCAACAGTGCGTCAGACGTGACCGACCGCCCAAGCGGCATACGAGCCGATCAGTGGCGAAGAGGGTAAAGTTAAAGATTAAAAATACGGCGTTGCGGAATGAGTTATGGAAAATCCATATACATTTTGACAAAATAAATCTACTCTTAGAAAAAAGTCAAATTTCAGGTCTGGTCCGACCCTGTATTTATACATAGCCGGATTTATAGAGCCGGATCCAGACTTCAAATGTGACTTTTTCAAAAAGTAGATTTATTCTGTCAAAAGGTCTGGGTTTTTTACGTACCATTCCGCAACGCTGTATTTTTAATTAATAAATAACTCATATTTACAAGGATAAATGTGTGTTTAGCCAGATATTTCAGCCTATGTTTTTCATAAAATAAAACGAAGTAAGTCTGTATATACCTATACCTTTACTTACTGTCTCTGTTCTGGGCCACGGTGTGTCACCACAGTCTAGAAGCTGTTGCCTATGTCTGTTCTGGCCCAAGGTTGACGCCTCCGCACTGGTTACTAAAGAATAGATCAGAACTTACGCATTAAAAAAAGACAAGTTCGAAAGTGCCAAGCTGTCACAGAGATAAAGGTAATGGAACGCTGCCCCACCCCCTCTCCACTACACCACAGCTTATGAGAGGTTTAGTTCAGTGATGCCTACCTGTTGTTCTAGTAAGTGACAACAACGGGAACCAGTTTAGCTGTGGGAAACGGCAGGTGTATGGGAAAGTTGTGTGTTAGGTTGTTAAGAGGTTATTTTGGTGATAACACTCCATAAAATATTAACCTAACATAACCTTAGCCAAACAACCTTAACCTAACACAATATTTTCCTGAAATAACATTAACTTACACAATATTGACTTGAAGTAACATTAACCTGACATCATATTAAGCTAAGAAAATTTACCTAACATTACCTAACTTTACCTGGCGTGGCACTGACTTAACAAAACCTTAACATAACATTGTACCTACTATATATTTAACCTATTAAACACTAATATGACCTTAACTTGACATTTACTAACCTAACCTCAACCTTAAACTTAACCTTAACCTAATTTTATCTCATGTAGCCTTAATCTAACAAAATATTAACCTAACATAAACAGCAGTAACCTAACGTTTAACCTAATTTGGTTAAATATTATAATGGCCGAGGTTTGGGATAACATTAAACGGATTACCTGAAGATTAGGCACCCAGCTTATTTCACCTGAAGATTAGGCACCCCAGCTTATTTCACCTGAAGATTAGGCACCCCAGCTTATTTCAACTGAAGATTAGCCACCCCAACTCACTTCACCTGAAGATAAGGCATCCAAGTATGTATGTACAGTATGTATGTACACTATGTACTGTATGTATGTACATATACAGCCATGATCGAGTGCTTGATGATAACGGCTTATAAACACTCTTATTGTTTTACATTATGTTTTTTACCTATGTTGCCACAATGTTATGCCAACATTAGACAAAACTATCTTCTTAACGTGATGATTATCTCAAGAATAATGTTGTTGCAATATTTCCCCATAACTAATATACATTTTTTTAAAAACGTTGCAATTATGCTATATGTTACCTGGTAAACCCAGTATTTAAGTATATTGTAATTCTTACACGATACCCTCACTTTGGTGGGTGCTAGTATAATACTGCATCAGTTTTTTACTCCGCCTCGAGTTGTTTGACTGCATAGTTTTGTTCTAGGTTTGCTGCTTCTGATTGAGTCGTAAAATAAACTGAAAGTTGAAACAGGCATTGTGCCGGAAATAAAGCCAACAGAGCATGGGAGCACGGGATGCACGTAAGTGTTCTTGTGACTTTCATTATAATTATGTACAATTGTCATTGAGGACTGCAACAATCCCAATATTGTGCGACAAACCTGACGGAAGAACTCACTACGCATGTTCACCAAGTTCATGAATATTAATGAGATTTTTTGCTAGATTCCTTCCCCCTTGATCAGGTTAGGTTAGGTTTATCGCACTGGAAGGTTTGTCTCATGATACCAGCCTTACTAAGCATGTTTAATTCAAGCATATTGTGCAAATGTACACTGAACATATTTCTTCGTGATCTATACACTTGAATTTGTATTCTTAAAAAGATATTAGTCAAGTGTATATATATTTAATGATATTCTTATTAATTTATATTATTTTCAGCATAGTGAGGCTCTCCTTGGTCTCCTATTCTCTATGATGGTTACCAAGGCACTACAGTAGGTTTTTTTTTTTTTTTTACGGGGAACCCACCCGGGCACAGGTCATCGACCCACAACAGGGCCTAGGGGACAAAAAAATAAGAGTAAACAAAAATAGAAAAAGAAAAGAGATCATATTTATCAACTGTACACCACGAAGATACCGGAAAACCAGCTTTTTAAAGTGAGACAGATTGTAAGAGTAGGATGTACTAGTGTGACCGACAGCCACAGAGAAACTGTGGGCACCGCGTGCAAGACGAGTGTTACGAGCCCACGGCCTTGCCGGTGGTACACAGGATGCCAAATCTACCGAACATTGTCCGTTAAAGTACCTGTAAAAGAGTGAGAGTGAAGCAACATTGCGGCGAAGAGAAAGGGAAGAAAGATTATCAACTATAGGAGGAGAGTTAATAAGACGACATGCCTTTGATTCCACCCTATCTAACAGTTGGGCAGAAGACAAGTCACCCAGATATGAGAGCAGTACAGTACTCCAAGTTAGGACGAATGAATCCTTTATATACTGCAACTGCCCAGCTTTCGGGAGGCAGCTTTAGCAATGTTTACCTGTTGATCCCTTTAAATCGGTTTTAAAAGTCGGCCGCAAGTACAAGAATCTTCTCAGTAGCAGTCGTAGTAGTATCTTTACACTCGTTGAGGCGGTTTTAGTGAGGCAGGGACGTGGACGGCTTATATTGGTGGGTATGTATAATTTTACCGGGAATTCCTTCAACCAAGCACTTTCATTTTTAATGCATTGATATGTCTGTTCAGATCACACTGTTATGGTCTTGTAGTGTTAAGTATTAAGTGTACTCTGTAAGTGAAGCAATTTAATTTATGAAAATTATAAAAGTAAACTTGGCGGGGGTAATTGTTAAATGAAACTTTTAAAGGAAAGAATCAGCTGGGCAGCAGTGGAGGCATCTGGCGGTGGAGGGTGGGACCATCTTGACAACAAGAGGCTATGGAGGCGCACAGACCTATACTGTCGTGAGCTCTCCCTGCTTGGGTGAGCTACGTGCCGCATTTGTAATACGCGTAAGTGAAGCTCTAACATACTTGATGCCTTGCTAATAGTCATATCATAATACAGCGGATCTAAAAGTGAATGAGGTCGAGTGTCAGACCCATCCCCAGCTGGTGTGTTGGCCTGCCACCACCAGGAGTTTGGTCTACCCTAGTCAACAGATTCTTCACATTCTGCGCCCCTGTGTGTCGGCACTTACAGGTAAAGTAACTTGTAATGACCTTATTCGATGTTTCCATGTATTTCTCATTTGGAAAGATGGGCTGAGACTTATTTTTAAATTACCGAAGGGAAATAAATAATGTTGCTTTAAATATTTACACAAGTTTAACTATAAATATTGGGGCTAGAGGCTGGGCACCACTCCTAGGATCCTGAAGGTACTGTACAGTACTGAGTTACCAAACAAGTCCTGTTGTAAATTAAAAATTTTTATCAGGTTTATTTAATATTAGTTATTTGTTTATTTATTATTATTATCATCATTTCACCACTTACCAGCTTCCAAGCTGTTTGAGCTGTTGGTCTGACCAGTGTTGGTACAGGAGGAAATTGGAGTACCTCAAGGAAACCTGTTGTTTAGTCGGGTCACACTAAATAATACCCTTCCTATGTGTGTCTGGGCCAATCAGGGCCTGAACCCATGACAAATTGGTGAGAGATATATATGTCACAGTTGTAAGGTATATGCATTACTGGTCCTCTGGCACCTCTGAACATAATCATAATGAAAAACATTGTCTTAGAAAGCATAATGCATTTTGCAGAATTAGAAGGTAAGTCGCATTGCCTAAATTAGAAATAAAACTTTAGCCATAATTGTGATGTTCCAAGTACTTTTCAGAAAGTTCTGTGGTCTACATGAATTACATATGCCATCTGTCTGCTTCATTCAGCGATGTGATGAGAAGTTTACAATGAGAAAGAAACAGATACTGCTCCTGAAGGTGGGCGTGGTAGTATGGCTATGTGCAGTATATGCTCTCTTCATACATAAACCTGCATCTACCAGTGTTCAGGTGCGTTATATTTATTAACACCAGTGCCCTCATCCCAAGACAGTGTCTACTCTGGATGGTAAATGTTGCAGGGAAGATTTTCAGAAAGTTTATGGGCTAGATTTAGATTACCTTGTATTAGTAAAAAATAAAAAAGGGTTCATTGTTATACACTGTTGGGCACTGGAATTTTACTTCTGCTTCATGAGGGACATTGACTAAAATGTTCTTTTTAAAGTCTATTTATTTGTGAGTTGAATAAAGAAATTTGGTATTTGCCATAGTTAGCCAATGTTTTGTAGACTTATTAGCCAGTATTTGGATTTATTTGTCAGTCAGGGTTTGACAGATCTTTCAGCCAGTGTTTGTAGTGGTGTGTTAAACAATGTTGGGAGGAACTGTTAGCCAGTGTAGGGATTAATCATCTGCTGCTATTGTAGGTGGAAATTTACCTTTATCCTTCATTAATGGATTTATAATCATATTAACTTTTCTCTTGTTCATATGAAGGATAACCGTTCATATAAAAAAAAATTAATGCAGGTAATATTGAGAACATGAAGACCTACCAGTTACTGCACAGACATTAGCACATACTGTACTGTCACTCTCAGCACCTTGTGAGCTTCCTGGTTCTCAACACTGAAGCATTTTAATAGAGCAGCAGTGTGTGTCCCTAGAAATATTCCACTACAATACTGTACAATACTCATTTTATCCCCATAGTCTGTTCTGGATATTTTCTTGGGATCAAACTTCACCGTTGAAAGTACCGGTAGGTAGTAGGCAGCTATCAAACGGGGGTACTACCGCCTGGGAAGATACTGGAAGCATAATGTATTGTTTAATGATAGACCCTGCTGCCATATGGCATCACGAAAATCGTGACCAAGTCCCAGGTTGCTGATATGACTTTCTGCTTCATTTACACATAATTGCAGGGTCTCAATTTCTCCTACTATTGACAACACAACATAGGGTACATATATTGTTTCTCACTCTTGATCTTTTTTATTTTTGTATTTTTGTATTTCTTTATGATTCTTTATTATTATTATTATTATTATTATTATTATTATTATTATTATTATTACTGCTATTATATTATTATTACAGTGTTGTTATTATTATTATTTTATTATTTTATTTTCAATTTTGTATTTTGTACGGGTATTATAAATTTTATTACATTTTCTTCCTCCGGGCCCCAATGTGGGTCAGTTCCCCGTAAAAAAAGAAAAGAAAAAGAAATCATGTGGTGCAATCAGGGTCACCCTTGAGAAAGGTATCACTACTGAGGCTTTGCAGGGATCTCAAGTTTAATTTGTGCTTAAAGTTTTAGTGTGGGAGAGCATATTACTGTATTTCATGGGCAATGATATAACTTATTGGAAAACCTGCTTACTACTTTATGCATAAAAATCGTATAAATAGAAATAAATATTTACTGTACAGGTACTTACATTTGTTCAGCACTGGTGGAGTGCTTAAGTGAACGTGTGGGGCCAAACGACTAGGAGGGAGGAGGAAGGACCTTAGGTGTAGCAGGGCAGATTACTACGAACAGCAATGAACATGCAGATTCCATGATGACAGAGGCAACTAAGAGCTCTATTGAATTACGGGTAGTGTGAGGAGGTCTACTGGGACACGTGACACTCTTTATGAATTTAAGAAAATGGCTGTTCTCATATGAGGTATAGTGAAGTTTAAGGGTTATATAATGGCCCGAGTTGGTAATAGGGAAGACGAGGGAGTGAGGAAAATGGGGAGTGCCAGAAGGGAATGGATATGTGCACTTGTGAAGAAATTTAATATGAATATTTTTTACAAACTAAACAGAGAATGCCAGATAGATGAGAGATGTACAGTCTGGTTGTACATGTATAGTAGATGTACTATTTTTATGGAAAAAAATATGGTAAAATTTTATATTTGGAAATCTTCTTCTTTTGATATTTAAGGTAGGCAGATTGTGGTTGAGGAAGAGAACTATGAAGTTAAGTATGGTAGACACAAGAAGTCATAGTTAAAAATGTACAGTACTGCCATGATGACATCTTTTTATTATTACTAATGTATAATGTAGGTGTATGATTTGCAGAGCAGTACTTAAAATACTCAAATTCATTTTCTTTGGCCATTGTATTAAGGTGGTAGAATACTGTGGCATATCTGGTATTATAGAAGAACCTGTACAGTTTATAATCTGGGGTAAAAAAATTTCATTTTTTTTTAACAAACAATAATGCCCTGTTAAGAATAATATTCCTGCTAGCACAGGTACTTAGGTTCGAAGAGGAAATGTTGAGAACTTTCAAATTGAGTTTTTTTTTTGGGGGGGGGACACGGTTACTGTACATTAGGCTATCACTAGTAATAATAATTAGTATGAACAACATCACTCGTCTAACATTCATCTACGAAAGTTGGTTATAATGCAAGTGACTTATTCAACATGAAAGTAGCACTCAGTCATGTAGTCACTACTGTATACATTTGAGTACAGTATTTTACTTGATATGGGAAGGGAAGTTTTACTTTTGCTGTTATTTAGGTGTATTTTGAGATGGTTTTAAGGATTATGTTTTCTAAAGATTTCACAGAGCATCAACCAACAGTTAGATAAGCTTGAAGAAGAGTTAAATGGCCAGTTGCAGTTTTATAATGGACTCCTAGAAAAGCTTCGAATACTGGGGCATCAGCAGGATATTAATGGTGGCAGTGATGCTGTGGCTGATAGTCAAGGAGGGCAAGTAAGTGTCAAACTCAGGGTGTATATAATTTATGACTATTTATTTATTTTATGAGGAAGTACAGTAGTAGACTTTTTTTTCATTCTTGAAAAAGTGTACTGTACAATGATGATAATTTAATTTGCAAGTAAAGGCACCAGTATGCAACATATTATTTAATCCTGCCATATTTTTTTACTCCTTTCCCAATCCTCCCTAGGACCCTTATGGGGATGTACCGTTTCTTCATTAAATTTTATTTCCAGAGGCCGTCATCAGGGTCACCTCTATATAATGGTCCAGTTCTTCCTGTGCTGCTAATAGCTTGTAACCGTGAGTCTGCTGTACGGCGATCACTTGACCTTCTTTTGAAATACCGACCGAGTCAGGACCGTTTTCCAATAATTGTGTCACAAGACTGCGGTCACAGACCAACACGTGAAGCAATTGAATCATATGGGGACAAGATCATATTAATACAGGTAGGAACTCATATAAGACAACTTAACCTCATCTTATTCAGAATGTGGCTAGTGACACTTGTTAAGCTTTTTTGGTGAATTCTCTTGGCTTCATGACAGAATAGATGGATTAATATTGTACAGTAGTTGCATACTTATAAATAACACTTGATTAGTATTGAGATGAATTTTAATGGTTATTGATGAGTGAAGATGACAATCCCTGTGCAGTCTTGGTGTGCTATAGGTTGCTCTACATTAGGAATAATCATGATAACTGACTGGCTCATGATGTCTTTTGCTCTCTGGACTTCTTTGATCCCAAGGAACATACAGCACAGTATTAATATTAGCAGGATCTTTGAATGCTCTGTTCCAATGGACAGTGTACTGCCACATTTGTTTTAGAAGAATGTTCAGTTCTCAGTGTGGATGTGTTTGGGAACAAGGTAAGTAGTTCAGAGAAGATGTCTCTTTGCTATAAGAGGCTTTTGAGGGCGTGAATATGCCAATTCCAGTGGATAATTTATAATCAAGAGACACAGACTCTGGTCTTATACTTTTGGCACAGGATGCCACAGAAAAATTTTCATAGGGGAAAGGGAAACCTTCAGCTGATGGTACATCCCAAGGCTTTTAAATTGGGTTGGGTATGACTTCTCAATCACTGGAGTGTAGTTTACCCTTTGTGTATGGGTTCCCTCTGGGCTAGATAAAATTGTCTGGCATTAGCCAAATAAAATATTAAAACTGGTATCCCCATAGTGAAGGGGTTAGTGGAGATAGCCTACTAACCCCTTGTGTAGCGGAAATAGCCTACTAACCCCTTGTGTACAGGGTCCTCTGTGAGCTGAATAAAATTGTCTGGCATCAGCTAATAGAATTTTAAAAATGGCATCCCCATAATGATGAGGTTAAGTATTGATGTACATAACAAGACTGTGGAATGAGAGTATTGTGCTAGAATGTTGCATGTAACAGTATCAGTGTATCAACAAAGAAAGAGATTTATTTTTTAATCTTCAGGGCATTAGTTGAGTACTGTATAGAATAGTGAAAAAGACTATTAAGATTTATTTTATTTTATAATTTACAGCAGCCTGATCTGAGTGACATTGACGTGCCTTTGAAAGAGAGAAAATTTAAGGGTTACTTCCTTATTGCTCGACATTATAGATGGGCACTTAATCAGCTGTTCCAGAAATTTAACCATGAAGCCGTCATTATTGTGGAAGGTAAGGTTTCAGTCCAATTCAAGGAAGAGTACCTGTTTTACCTTATTAAAAAAAAATGAGACAGTTCATCTAATTGATTCCATTAAATTTATGAACTCATGGTTGTGTTGAATAAACATGGATATTAGCCTTTTTGATGAATAAAATTTTTTGTTCCGCTACTTTTCTTTGGAATTGCCCAGACGAACAGTGTCATCTGCAAACAGCAGCCGATTCACATGCCATATTATTCACCAAATTTTGCACCTATTTCCATCATTTTGTTTACACCTCCATCCATGAAAATATTGAACAATTACCGGTAGGGTGACATCACATATCCTTGACATGGTTGTGCCTTCAATGCGAACGAGCATCCTTCCCGGCAAAACTCTGTCACTATCTGGAATCTTCCTATAATTATAGTGGACTGCATCTGAAAGTTCACCATTTACCCCAAACAATTATTAAAAACCATAAATGTTAGACATATTATCCCTCTTCTCCAGAAATGTTTAACTCAAGTTTTCAAATTCAAAAAACTTGATCAATTTTTTTTTCCTTTTCTGAAACACCCAAATATGGTATCCTCTGTATTTTTGTGTAATTATCTTGACTATATCTACATTTCCTCAAGGTGCAGCAGTACTTGCGTGGATACAGTGTTTTTCTCATGTCCTGAGAGGTGGTGGTTCATTACTGGGGTACTCCTAGTCCACCCAGCTGTAGTGGATGCCTAACTTTTCATTTGGAGAAGTGAAGGTGGTTAAGTGTAGTGCTGACCATACTGCATCCTGGAGTACTGAAGGCCTAGTATACAGTGTGCTTTGTCCACAGTGTTTCTAATGGTGTGTTAGGCATGCAACCCACTTTCACAGTTACATTGATGTACACGACAGACTTCTTATTTTATAACTTTTACACTCACTCTTATCACGTCTCTCTTTGCACAGAATACTGTATATAATTAATTCAATACCAGTGTAGTGTGACACAGGTGTCTCTGCAGAGTACTCAAAGAATAGTTCCATCAGTGGGAGAAGGGATAATTTTTCCACCTCTCATTGTCACTTGGTCAAAATTAGCTAATCATATATTATTGTCAGTGTTAATAAATGATCACTTAATTTTATATTCCTCAGATACACAACAGGAATTCCCAGATAGATGAAAGGGTTTCTTTTCTGAAAAAACCTTCTGCAAATTGGGTCACATTTTCCCTTAGATTTCCATTATAAAAGCGGAGATTTATTCCTATGGGGAGAAACTTCCCCAAAAGATTTAAAATGCCACAAAATATGTTTTAAAGAATATTTATGGCATAGACAATGATTTTAAGCCAATAATAAACATAGTAAGTGAAATACATGTTATACAGTAATAATTTTTTACCTGTACTTAATGAGAAACCGGATGAGATTTTAAACTAAGTGAACAGTATGAAACACGAAGCCAACATCTATAATAAATATAATACCCAAATACAATAATACATTGGCTCCCATTATATAATTGGAAATATGTTCACAATGTAGAAATTATTGCACACTCGGCTCCTGAGGAGTTAATGTATCATCCTAAATTCCAATGGCTTTGTTTACATGGCACAAGTGATACCAACAGTCAGCTCTTCTGATGCTACACTCACGCATTCCTGTGTGTAGCTGGCAGTATGTACAACTCTAAACTCTTGTTCACTTCCAAATTCCACTTTCTTTTACAGCTTTACATCTTTTTTATATATGATTAGCATATGAAATTTAAGAATACAGAATATAGTAGTTTTCATTTAATTAATTTTCCACACTACACTGCTAGTGGAGATGAGACTACTTTTCTTGTGTGAGATTGAGGAGTAAGTTCTATGATGATTGTAAGAGAATAGTGGCACATTGAAAGCTTATTTGTATGCAGTACTGTACTGTACTTAATAATATTTTGAGTGTTAGAGAATAATGAAATAATTAGTGTACTGGAGTAAAAAAACCTGCAATTAATTTACCATTTTTCATTAATAATTAGGAAAAAAACATGAAAAACTAAAAAAAAAATGTAACTGAGTTTTTATTGCATAAATCAAATCATAGGACTTTTTTTGGTAACAGCAGATTTTTTGTAAACCAAACCTTCATAAATCAGGCACTGCCTTTATTACCTTTCTAGCTACTATACAGTACAGTAGAACATTGATATAATGAGATACGTTCCAAGAGAGGTTGCTTTAAACTGAATTCGAACTAAATCAAAATGTTGTTTCAATGGAATAATTTAGTTTGGTACTTGAGAGAAACACAGAATAGTAAAAAGACTGAGTCTACCCAGATGCACCTCAGCCCATCTAGAATAAACAAAACATTGTTTTTTGTAGTAGTATTATGTTTAAACAAACACTCGTAAATAAACACAGCTAAAATTAAGGGATGGGAAATGGTCTGTTTACTGGCTGGGAAGATGTGGGGGGACGGAGGGAGGTGAGGTGATATGTTTGACAGTTGATGCCAAGGTCTAGTGCTTATTTATCTGTCCTTAAGAGTGACTTTAAGTTTTGCTCTTATAAAATGTCACTGGACTGACATGGGAGAATATAATTAACATTGCTGGAATTCTTATAAGATAGTGATTAATTTGAATATAAACATGCTATAGCTCGCATAAGACAAAAATTTTAGTTCTAATTTAAGAATTTTACTACAAGAAGCAAAAAATTTTTATCTCTTGTGCAAAATATATGACGTTTATATTCAAATTATTCGCTGTCTTGCAAGAATTCCAGCAATACAAATTATATTCTCCTAACTTTAGTCTGTGATATTATATAAGATAAAAACTTTGAGTCTAAAACACCAAACCCTGGTTGGGAAGATGGGGGGGGGGGTGTCAGTGACACGTTTGACAGTTGGGGTCGAAGGTCTAGTGAAGTATTTATTTGTTTATTTATGTCCTTTAGATTGAGTTTTTGTTTTTTGTTCATAAAATGTCACAGAAGTGACCAGGGAGAATATAATTAACATTGCTGGAATTCTTATAAGATAGTGATTAATTTTAATATAATCATCTTATAGTTTGCACTAGACAAAAATTTGAGTAATCATTTAGTACAATATTTTGAGTATATGTACAGTACAGCTTTGCCCCTAGGACAGTGTAGCATGCCCAGAGAAACATAAGGCGCAAATTTTAAAATATGATGCGCCAGATTGACTCGTGCAAAATAGGAAAGATTCGCTTTAAATTAAAACATTGTCCTTAATTGTGGGGGTCGCTTTAAATCAATAATCTTAAATTGAATCGCTTTAATTCGACGTTCTACTGTATATAAATCTTCATGTACAGTATTTGATTTTAGTGATCAAAGTTCAAATGTTATGAAATTGAAGACAAGCTATTTATTCACAGAATATAATTCTGTAATATTTCAGATGATTTAGATGTTGCACCAGATTTCTTTGAGTACTTCTCTGCAACTTATCCTATCCTGCAATCTGACCCAACATTGTGGTGTGTGTCTGCTTGGAATGATAATGGTAAGAACAGGGATACTTTAGTTTTGATAAAGGGATTCTTGATAATGCTATGCTTTTTGTAAATCTGATTTTCTAAAACTAAAATATATGTAAGTTGTTGTACTGTAATATTAATTGTTTCTGATTAAAAAAATAGGAAAGGCAAATTTAGTGGATGTGAAGAATGGGACCTCCATTTTGTATCGAACGGATTTCTTCCCGGGCCTTGGCTGGATGATGACAAAGGAGTTATGGGATGAGCTTGGAGTTAAATGGCCAAGATCCTATTGGGATGACTGGGTAAGAGCCCCAGAGCAACGAGCAGACCGAGCATGTATCAGGCCTGAAGTGTCACGAACACGCACCTTTGGCAAAAAAGGTGTTAGCAAGTGAGTGGATTCTTTGGTATCTTTGAAAAATAAATCTATTTTATTTATTTATTTTTAAAGTAAATGTATGCTTTTATCTTAATACCTGTATTAGTTATTTTAAAGGTTCAACCATGAAATTTTGTTGTTGGGAAATGTGAAAGAAAGTGATTCTAAAATTCCTTTTTCTGGATGAGCCCATAGCCAGGTGGCTCCTTTTAATGCATACTGCCAATTATGTGCATTCTATCACTTCAGAGTGCCCTGGTCATTTAGCTAGGATATGTTAATCATCCCCCTCAGCCTTAAGTAGGGGGGGGGGATGAGGTGCACCAGTTGCCATTTGGAGGCAGGAGGGCATTAGAGACTATCTGACCAGTCCGCATACCCCTTGTCATGAAAATAGCTTCACCCTCTTGTTCCAGAACCAATCTGTCATCTTTGTTTCCCTGAAAAAGCTCACTGAATGTTAGGAAGCTTGCTTGCTGATGAACCATGGGCATTCTGATTTTCATATCAAGTCCTTAATTTTAACTTTTAAAGAGAACTGCATATTATGAGTAAACCTGTAGAAATAGTGAAAAGACATTTTCAAGATAAGAGTATATGAGGGTTTAATATTTTTCATCAGTGGAGAACCATAGTTAGATGTAAAGTAGCCTAATTTTTACAGACTTTTAAGCATTTTCTGATGATTGAGGATCAGTTCTTGATATCTCTTGTACTGTATCACATTGGATTTCTATACAACTGTTATTGGAAGTAAAACTCAGTATGAGCCTATTACATAGCCTACCTAGCCTACAAAAAGCTCAAAGTCAGATTGTACACTGTTCTTTGTCTAAATTGCCCTTGGAAACCATTGTTTTTATTTATTGGGCTGTGTATACACAGCATAAGTAGATAGATAAATTTATATTTTAGGGACACTTTCCCCCCTCTTTATTTTTTGGTTCTGTATCTTTTATATCTTTGAAATTTGATTTCTAAATATTTTTCAGATAAATTAATGGATTATTGAGTTCTTGTGTTACTGCTTGCAGAAATAATCCTTTTGACTTTATTTAGACATTATTTAGAGTTCATACAGTATTGGTTTAATTACACAGGGAATTCGTTGTACTTGTGTGCAATGCATTTGATGAATACTGTATACTAAGTACAGTAAGATCTTGTATTTCTCAAGTAATATAAACTGGTAAAATTGCGCCAAATTCAAATTCGCCAAATGCAAATACAAGATACATAAACTTATGGGAAAAATAACAATATACAGTAGACTGGCCACTCTACATCAACCTCTGATTTTCCCATTTATAACCTCCAAATTATACAAATTGTGCCTCTATTGACTTGATTGTGCTTTTTGGAAACTAGTTTTTAGGCCTCCCTCAAGTAACTTAATCATACGCTGCTTATCCTGCATCGAGTACTTGGCAAACTTAACTCCCTTATGATAGTCCCGCTTCTCCTTTTCCTTATTTGGCCGCTTAGGTGGGTCTGTCCCACCCCCATCAGCACCAGTAGGACCCCCATTAGAGGTAGAGGCCATCATCTTGACTCGACAGGTGGTAGCACCACCCAAAAAAGCACACAATAACAGCCCGGGCGGTCGCTAGGATGGCGCAGGCTACAACGCGATAGTTGCGTTCTTGTCAACCTCTTTTATGTTCACCATTGGCAATTCGATCACCAGAACACTTCTTGGAAACATTCTTCTTACCTTGTCTTTCCGTATTCATCGCTAACACAACAAATTTGGAGAAAATAGCGAAAATCACGGAGTAATTGACAGAAACCGCGCGATTCAACTGATCACGTGATGTAAACAGAGAGCACTCGAGTAAACCGTTATTAGTCCTCACTGTGAAACATTCTTTTTACTTATTCTTTTCATACAGTATTTATGGGTAACAGCTAAATTTGAAAAAATAAACTAAAAAATTTACAGAGTACCTCTCAAAAATCACTTCACAGACAAAAGATACAAATCAATTGAACATGTGATGTCGAATGTGAACTTCAAACATTGCATAGCCCCGCGCCACGCTTAAAACATTGAGGGTGGAATCGCGCTATAGCCAACATTTGTATGCAAAAGTTTGCGTTTTACAAACAGCGTTCCCCTGTTCATCAATCGCGTTGCAACCAATTCGTGTTGACAAAACACTCGTTGTAGCAGATATGACTGTAACTGGTATGAGGGCTGTGATGTCATTCAAGACGGTGGCCAGCATTCAGCTTGATGGATCTCGCTTTCAGCTGGCTGGATTTCGCGAAATTCACGATATTTTACGCCAAATATAAGACTTTGTTACATTAGGTAGTGCTCGCGAAATTCAAAAACGTGAAATGAAATTGTGCGAAATATGAGATTTTACTGTGCAGTACTTCTAGTACTACCGACTCCCATTGTATATTATATCTGGCTCCAGTTCCATGAGTTACTCAGTGGAGGGCATCATGATACAAATAAAGGATTGATTCTGAATTTCCACTTTATAACTGAGCTCATGCTTAAGTGACTCGTATCCCTCCTTCCTCCCAGTGTGTAGGCATCTAGCTGGAGATGGAGGATTGACCCTGAAATCCAGTATGGTCATTCATGAGGGTCATGGAACGTACTAGTATAATGTCATGACTTGTTAACTTTCTACTTTAGATGGTGACTGTTGATTGTTATCTTCCTTTTTAAGGTTTATCATTTTAATTGGGAGGTAAACTAAATAAGATATTAGTTCCCAGCCATCAGTGACAGGGGTGTCTTGGGTCTCAGGTTCTTAGACTTGGTGTACAGATTACATAGGTTGCTTTGTTATAGTCTGGGTTAAAAATGGGATTTCCATATCACTCCTCCATTTATGGTTTTATTTTTTTATTTTTTTCAGTGGCTTGTTTTATGAGAAGCATTTAAAGCAGATACACCTAAATGATGCCTACGTACCATTTTCCAAAATGAATCTTACTTACTTGCTGAAGGTATGTTTTTTGATACTGTATTTACTGATATAAATTTAAACAGTGATAGTGTTTGTGTATGTTCTATGTCATTACTTGCGTTTAATGATTATTTAGAATAGTAAATTCAAGTACTGTACAGTGGCCTATAAATTATCTACCAAGCAACTGTCTTATGTTGTCGAGAATCCAGTTAATGTAGAGTAACTCACTTATTCACATCCATACTGTTGTAGAAGTAGTGTTTTTTCATGGTCTTCTCCTTTCACAAGTGGCCAAATCTGGTACAGGGTGTATATGTTTGTTACTTCAGACAAACCAGCAGTACATCCTTCCTTAAAAGTCAGTCAATGCCATGCACTGCATGCCACTCACATTACTGCCAGCTGGATGTCCATTTTTCTTACTGTTAGTGCTTCCTACACCCCATTTCCATCTGCTTATATGAATTATATATTCTTATATACAGTACTGTATATAATTGTTTACAAAAATATTATTTAATAACATTATTGTTACTAATGAAGATATGAATGAGGTGATCACTGATAATATTGGGGTCCATATACTTGTACAGTATTTACTATTTTGATGATTGTGTTTCCTTTTTGACCATCAGGAGCAGTATGATCCAGTGTTTGAGCAGCAAGTTCAGTCCAGTCAGGTGGTGTCCATCATTGATATAAAAAGTGATCGTTTAACTAAGGGTAACACTTACAGACTTATATATCACACTAAAGATAACTTCAAGAAGATGACAAAAGCCCTTGGCCTTATGGATGACTTCAAGGTAAGATTTTAGATTTACAGTTTATAAAGAAGTATTTAAGGTTTTAGATATTCAAGTGTCAGCCTTAATAGGGATAACTTAGTGTTTTTGCTCTGTTTGTCATTTTTTCCTTTCATTTCAGTCAATATTTCATTCCTCCTATATTACATGATGCAGGATAATGTCCTTTAGAGTCAGGACGCCTACCAAAGGATAGATGTACTATCCTCACTTTGATTTCAGCGTGAGGCTACAGCAAACTCAAACCCAAAGTTGTATATCTTATCTGCAGTCTGACTTTCACTTCCAAGTGAAAGTATTTTGATGCTCAGTGTAGCATTTCCATTGTCAACAGCATAATAAATGTTCATATTGAATATGAATTTGTTTTAATAAAAATTATATCACACTTTCTACAGTAAGTTGAATTACTATTGGAAATGCTTTGGTCTACCATGTAAATATATACATGTACAGTAAATGCATTTGTCCTGGAAGGTTCTTTAGACAGTGACTTGTTTAGGTGGCCGTTTGATATGCAGCACTATACAGTGGTCCCTCGGTTAACGAGCGCCTCGGTTAACGAGATTTCGGTTCACGAGTTACCTTCCATAAGATTCTTAACTTCGGTTAACGAGCAATCCCTCGATTAACGAGTTTCTTACGAGCCGACCTCCACATGTTTTAGCTTGCATTTGGCGGTCCACCAACTGTAGTATTAGTCCGCCAATACAGTAATCGGTTCTAGGGCTTAAATTCCGTACCCTTTTAGTAAATATCAAGAAGTTTATACTATTCAATAATTTTAAAAGTTTAATATTAAATTTTTTAGTCATTTTAACAATTATTGAACATAATTGAAGGTAGGGTCACTAGTTTGTGGCACGCCATCCAGCCTGCCAACACAGCATACAGGCGTCAGTCTTTGTGTCTTTTCAGTGGAGGTAACATCTTGCTTGAGACTCTCTTCAACTAAACGCTATTTTTCTGTGTTTACAAGCAAATTATTGGTCATTTTGAAATTTATTTTACATATTGACAATATATAATGCAGTGCAGTGTTGATTTAAAGAAAATAATCTTGAATTACACCAAGAGAACTAAAATTTTATGGGTGAAATGGCGCCATGGGGTGACTTCTCTTCCACCCCAATGCCTTCTCTTCTCCCTTTTCCTCCACCCCCATTCTAATTCCCATCATCACCATCATCATCCAGGAGCTTTCTACATACACACCTCAAAGTAAGTGTACTTTTCTACCTTTTTTTGTTGAATTTAGGCAATTTTCGGTGAACTGTAACCAATTACCCAAAAACCCATTGAAACAATGGTTTCGGTTAACGAGTTTTTCGGTTAACGAGTAGCCTTCTAGAACGGATTGTGCTCGTTAACCGAGGGACCACTGTATTCCCAAACTCTTATCACCTATTAGTAACATATAGCCTGTGTTTTTACATTAAATACTTATGCAAATTTACTTTTTTATTTTTTATATTCTTTTAGGCTGGAGTACCAAGAACTGGATATAAGGGTGTTATTACATTCTTCTACGGAGGCCTCAGAATTTTTCTATCTCCAAGTAATAACTGGAAAGGATACAACCCTTCCTGGAGCTAGCAGCATCATATGAAGTAGACTCAAGTTATCGGGGCACATGGAGAAGTTTTGGTATTTAAGTCCCCTTTATCTTAAAATAGACAAAGTAAATATTGTAAATTGATAGATACTATTTATGTTACATGAGCCAGGTAAAGTTTATGTTATTGTTTTATGAGCTTAAAGTTTTTATTTAACAGTTCACTTTTTACTGTGATTAAATATCATTTTCATTGGGTTGTCATCTATTGAAGTTATCATGTATCACATATCTGGATGACATCCTTCATTATCACTCAGAATAAGGACCTTCTCACCTACACATCATGTGCATTATAATTATTACTGGTATGAATTTTTTATGAAAATTATATGTTTGTATTTGAACTGACCCTTAACCTAAACAACAACAAAAAATGCCACACACAATACATGAACTGATGATGATTCTTTTATATTAGTTACTTTGGTTGCATTGCTACTTTTATTTCCTTCTCTAAGGTACTTGTACTATATAAACTAAAGTAAAGTCCATAAATATCCAGTAGGTGATGACAGCCTCCTAACATTAAAAGCTAGAGCTATTGTGAATGGTGCAGACCCTGACCAAATATAGCTCAAACCCTAAAATTATTTGGACAAGCAGTGTCTACAGCTAATATTTGGAAGTAATTTACATTAACCTCCCAATAGTCAGGCATTATTAGTTCCAGAAGCATTCTGGAATTGGGAATTTTCTGGACTATTGGGTTCCCTCCTACAACAAGCATTACTGGTGCCCATGGAAAGTTAAAATCTTGTAAAAGACAGCACCGGTGTTGCTACCCATCTTTTTCAGAACACTTAGACCAAGTTAAAAAAATTGGTAAGAGCTTCAGTCATTGGCTGTCCAATTCTCTCATCATTAGTCATTACAATATACTGTACAGTATGTACCGTTACTGGGATCAATATTCGTGGCATACATCATGTGATGGTGATGCAGGATCTTTTACTGGTATAAAATCATTGGAAAAACACAGAATGTATTTGTGAAGTTATTGCAACAGTGTGATGTGAAGCCTAACTCAGTATGGTTGGGAAGTGGCATGCTGACTTTTTCTGCTAAGTACAAGGTAGCATTACCAGAGGGAGGCTTCAGCCAATCAGAGGCTGAAGAATTTCATTCCACAGGAAGTGTGGCATGGCTGAGTTACTAAAGACCGGATGAAGATTAATAATTATAATTGTTATGTATTTGTTGTAGCGTTGGACTTTAGAGTGAGCTGCCGGGTGATAAGTGGCATATCCACAATTGAAAAATGCCAGACTATTGGTTGCAGATGTACCAGTATGCTGGACCATTGAAAAGGTAGTGCTCCTACTAATTACTACCAAGTACCTTCTTATATATGATATATTGAAAGGCCTGCACATTTATCCAGCACTAATCAGATACTGACTAATCCAAGTTAGTACATGTGTGATTACCTCACCAGGTGTATGTGGGGGAGCCAGTCCTGTTCTTGTCAAGACTTTTAATTTATCATCATTTGCTACATTAAAATTCAAATCGGTCTATATTGAAGACAAAATCTGTTTGAAATGGATAAATTGTTGAATTAAACTGGCATGATGCATTTTGGATGACTTTATGTAGTGAGTGGTATAGGATTTTTAGAGAAGTGTTTCGGAGTTGAGGTTGTGTTGAGATACTTGAGGTTGGCAATAATTCATTATGCAAAGTGTATTCAGAGCTATGAAGAGGTTTTTAAATACTGGAGAGCAAATGGAAGAGTAATTGCATGTTTTAGATGTATGGAAAAAGTGTTTTAAGCGTTGGAGATGCAGTGAGACTGTTATAAGTTGGATGATTTTAAAATGTTATAAGTATAAAGAGAAGTCAGGTAACTGTACTTGGAGTTGGTTGAAAAAAAAAAAGGAAAACTGTTGGGGCAAGATTATGATAGGTTTAAAAGGTGATGAGGAAATGTTGACATTTTGCAGATGTGACAATGTACAGTACAGCATTGGAGGAGGACACTTGGAATGTATTGTAGACACATTCAAGTAGTGGTTGTAAATTGCATGAGCATGTGGATTATTTCTGTTTTGGAGGAATATGAAAAATATTTGCTATACTGTACCTGTAATTGGAAGAGTACTGTATTGGAGTAATTTTGATTTCTTGAAAATGGAGGTATAAAAATGGTTGGATGCATTAAATATTATAGAGTGATAGGAATACAGGTATACCTTGCTATATGTTGTTTCATGTTTATACGTTATTGAGGAATTAGAGAAAAATACATATTTTCCAAAAATGAAAAAAAATCATTCGACAACAAGAGACTATTTTGGGTAGCCTTAGAATGCCGAATAACCATTGAATTCATCTGTTGCATCCCCACCCTAACATCATTTTGTGCATTAGTGCCACATTTGCTTGATCTTGTCTGTTTACAGTGAGTTAAACCTTACCCAAATCCTGGAAAATGTCTAGGAAGTCATATTTTTGCCTCTGGTAAGAAAAAAAAAGGGAAATATTTTAATCTAAGTGTTAAATTAGATGTTTTAAGGTGCTTTAAAACTGCCAAATGAGTAGTTGACATCACCAGAGTGCTTGGCCCACCTGGCATCTTCAGTGATTCTGATCCAAACAGAGAAGGTATCTCTACAGATAACAAGTTAATAACCAATGACATTAATTGCTACAGGGAGCTGTACAAACAAAAGAAGAGAGCTGTCCAGCTGTCCTTGGACCAATATTTTAGACGTTCATCCTCAGATGAAGAGGCAGACAATCCTGCAGTTTCATCTCTGTAATTCTACCATTGCCTACCCCAGATGGCCTCTATAGTGTATGCAGTTTCTGTAACCAACTCGGGTAAATGTTATCTTATTGACATATATTTTATATCTAAATATTTATTTTAATTTATAATAATATAGTTGGGTATCTAACTAATTAATATTTTGGTGAGAAAATTTTGGCCAGAAATGTTCCCTCGGAACATAACCCCGATTTACAATATTGGGTTAATGGTAAACTTTTATTCACTGTGTTATTTAACTTAATGTCACACCTTTCTAGAATGCATGTGTGATGTATAGCGAGGTATACCTGAACTGTATGAGAAATGTGCTGGATTGCTTAAGGGTGAAGAATGCAATGGGTGCATTTAAAGAAAACTTGAAGCCTACTTTCATTTTGAGTACAGTACAGTACAAACAGGTAAAGTAGAAAGTGTATTTTGTGTGAGAGCCAAAGTTGCATTTGTTTGCAAAAGCTACTATTCAGTTTTATTTGAGTTAGAAAATGGTAATATATTAGGTAATACTGTATTAGCCAGCAGATCTAAAGCTTGCATTTTGCTAAACCCTGGAAATGAGCTTTTTTTAAATACCAGTACTGTATACCATACTTTATTGTATTGGTTCATAAAGTAATGTTAGACAGTGGATTACCAGAAATGAGAGAAGGTTGCCAGATTCATTGTGCACTAGAACCCTTTAGGTTCCTGTACAGTGCTGCAGTATAGAAATTTGGGTCATGCAAACACTGAAATACAGTGCAGTATACTGGTAAGTGAGAATAATTACATAACATTTCCAAAGACACTTGAACCTACAGCATGTTCTCTTCCTAAATATTAATATAAACACACAGTGCAGTACTGTACTGTCTTTTGTCACTGAAAAAATAACTTAGAAATATGAGAAGAATGCAATTTAAAATTAAAAAAATTAAAGAAACAAGCAAATTCAGCTCATTGGAGATGGTGGTGGACGGTCTAGTTGTGGTGGCAGTTGATCCGGGTGTTTGGTGGGCAGACAGTTTTCTTAGTATTTAGTTTGAAATATGCTCTTATTTTTGTGCTAGCTGCAGCATCTCCAGAAAGCTGCATAGGGTGCTTAGGAATTATTATAAATCCCCCAGAAATAATACATAAAAGGTACAAATACAAGACTTATTATAGCATGTGGTGCACCGAGTACAGGAACACAGTCAAGTAATGCAAGAGATGTGTGGTTACTGATGCGGTTTCTACTTACCAGGCACATTCAGGATGGCAGACACGTCAGTATACGCACCATCCACATTGAGTGACGAGTGAGCTAGCCTTGCTAACCATGTTGTATAATGATCCCCTTTGCATGGTAGCTTTCTTTATTGTGATAGCCAGTTGTATGTGTTGATCATCACACCTCACCCTCACCTGACAGTTGCAGGCTGCTCTTATAATGGGTCATCTCTCCCTTTTAAAGTTTAAGAAGAAAAGTACAGTAGATAGTGTAAAGGTTGCTCTCTGGAGGTAGAAGGTCTGGTTAAAGTTGAACTATTTAGTTAATACTTGTGCTACTGCTATGGGCCACCATCTTTGATTTTTAGGCCAATCCACCATCTTGCTCCAGTCCCCACCCAGCCAACACTCCTGGAGAGCAATAATGCCTGCTTGACTCTTAACAAAAGCTAAGTGTCCACCCCATTACAACACTTCAGGTATAGTTATCAGGAATTATACTAAGCAAAAATTTAGTATGAACTTATGATTGAATTTTGTCTTTCTGATATAATTTCATAAGGGTGTTAACAAAATGGCTTCCTCTCAGAGTCTGAGCTGTTGAAATTGACTAGCATCTTTGGACCTGAGGTAATAATGGACAGTACTTAGAGGGTGGAACGAGTAGTCTGTGGGTAGATCTGGATGTGTACTGGCTTCGGGAAAACAATTAGATGGCTATGGTATAGGGGTACTCGGCACAACCCCCATGAGGATTAAATATTGCAGCACATAAAATCCCCTTCCCATGTATACCATAGAAATTTTGTTTGTTTGTACTGTATCTGCAACTTTCATAGTTAATCATACAAAAACCCTTCAGAAGTTTTCAACCTAGCTTGTAATATGTTAGGGTTGGGTAATAAGTGCAGTTTTGCTTGGGGTGATCTTTGAAATTCCCCGTCTTATCCACTAAATCTCAGGTACATCCCACAGTTGTACAGCTACTGCATATCTATGGGACATAATATGACAAGGCATCATCAAGCATTTTGCACCTGGATAACATGAACTTTGCCTGTGCTTTAGAAACAGCACTCATTGAATATAACAATCTTATAATTCAATATTACAGAGCCCTATAATTACACTCCTTAATGTTGTGGCTGTGAAAACCCTTCCCTTTTGTTATTTTTCTGGATTATAATTATGACCAAGGTTCTAATTTATTATATTTTTTTTTCCAAGTAAATGGCATTGTACTTAGTGAAAGTCAAGTCTTGGTGTATTATGTGGCCTGACTTTTAGGATTCAAACTGGAGGTAGGGAAGTGGAGTGGTTAATGTAATAAGGAAATCTGGCTAATTATGAAGGCTTGATGTGTTGACACCATTTTGATATTTCATCTTGGCAAAACTTTTATTTTTTTTATTTGAGGTCTCCAGGTTTGTTTCTGTATTATAATCTTATGCCTTTTGAGACACAGGAAGACTTAAGGCCTAATCCCCCCTTGCTTACTGCTCGCTATATTGTTTTCCACAATTTTATGTTTTGTATGATGTTTGGTTCTCTGAAGAGACTTACAGACCCTCACAACCCAGGCCCCTCATTGGCTGTGCACATGACTTCACGTCATTGCTCACCACTGACTGGCTGTGCTTGTTGTTAATATGCCAGTACGGTATTCCCCCAGCCTAGGGAGCTATCGCGTGCAAGGGCGAAATTCCTATATTTTTCCAAGGCATATCTACCTTCCAAAACATATCTAGTTTTATAGAGATTCCTCTGGCAAAACATTGAAATAATGATCTTCTTTTTCCATGGTTGGTCAGTAAGTTGCTCTTCCACCGAGTACCTCATATGAATTACTGGGTAGGTAGGTAGGTTGGTTCTTGTTAGACTTCTTTTTTCCAGAGGGTAACCTTTGCATGTACTGTAATCCCTTTGTTTTGAAGGTGATGGTTGTGATAGAGAGGAATGGGTAATTGATTGTAAGATAAGCTAGACCCTGACAATTGCTTAGCACACAGTCAGCGAGAGAATTGGAATCTAGGATCATTCCACCATTTATATGCTTGTTATAGAAATATTCCATTCTCTGGTACAAATTTCTAATATACCCGGTATATACTGTAAAGTGTAAGCTGACTAATGCTCCTTATCAAGAAATTATATACAGAAGTTTAGCATTGTGTTATACTTTACATTGTTTGTTTCACTCTACTACAGTTAGGATCTTCATTTTGAGATATAGTTTGCTCAGTAATTCTAAAAAGTACTTGTTTGACTCTGTAGTTGACCATGTAATGTCATGATTATCAGTTGTTATCTGCTTTTTATTTCATATTGTGTAGTAAATATAACAACTTCATTTGTTGGTATTTCTTTACTGTATCAGAAGGAGTCAAACTACCTTCAAGCAGTGTTTCCAATAATTAACTCATTTAAAAGAAACCAAACCTCTCCAAGGATGATGTGTCAAGTGTTTCTCCGGATGTAATAGACAGCGTTTTTTTTACTGTCATTCAAAGACATAAAGATTACTGTATAAAAATGAGCAGGTTGCATTAGTTAAAAAGAAAATAATTCTTTTATAGATGAAAATATTAACCTGAATACTTAGGACTTATTTTGGAGATGGATTTTGTGTAAGAATAATCGTCACATATATTTTCTTGGTGTACAGTATATAACAGATATTATGAGAGATTTATTGTTTCATGTAATATATTCCTACAGTGATAATATAATACAGTAGCAGTTGTTACATGATATTTTTTGTTGGTAACTGGGAAAGCAGGTTTTTAAATAGTTGCACAGCAGATTTTCTTTCACAGATCTTCAACATACCTCCTGATTAATATGGAAACTTTTACTTTAGCTTTAAAGAAAGGTGATGCAGAAAGTGTTGTGCAAATCTTACTAAGCTGCTTAATCAGGTATTATTTCTTGCACTATCTCAGTTTAAAATTATTCAGTTAGCTCTGACCATTGGATAAAAGCCACATTTAATTTTGTTCATTAGTCGGAAAATAAAATTATTGTATGTTATTTTATAACCATGTTGCACATGTTAGGCAAAAAAATATGTGAAAAGGACACTGCCTTAAAATAGAAGTGGGGCACAGTTCAATGGCTGATTGTTTATTTATTTTTTCCAAGGGACATCACAGGCAGTTAGAGGGTAATGGTAATTATTATGACCATTAAATTCCAATCCTATTATTTACATGACCCTTCTAATTATATATTCTATATACTCTGACTTCAGAGCCATTTGGCAATAATAATTTTAGTTAATCACTTACATTTTGTTTTTTCTTTTTGCATAAATATATAACTAGAACTGCACATATGAGCCGTTGCAAACATTAAATGTGACCTTGACATGTATGTCGAAATCCATTTTCTGTAGTAACTATTATTTCCAGTCTGTAGAGGAGAGTTAACGTTATCACAAGATGCGAGGCTGTCATCAGTATTGGAAAAATTTGACATATTTGAAGGGGTGTATATTTGGTGAGTGCTGGAGCCACATGTTATGCTCATTGGCCCAGCCACCTGCTCGGGTTGTCGCTGATATTTGCCCAGCCAACAGCAATATTTAGCCCTTCAAATAAGTCTAATTTCCCTTATACCACCTTGGCAATTTGTGATAACGTTAACTCCTCTACAGACTGGAGATAATTGTTACTACCGAAAATGGATTTCCACATACATGTCGAGGTCACATGTGTCAAAGTCGTAACTAATGTCCGCTACACCTCATATACAGGATAACATGAATAACAAATTTTAGAATACCGGTACATCTGTATTTTCATTATAATTGTTATGTTTTTATATTACTAGAGTAGTAGTATTAATTTCAGGAGGAGTATTATTATTACTTTCTCTGTTACTCAAGGAAAATTTGCTGTTGATAAGTAAATTATGTTCATGAGATCTGAACTTAGTTATTTACTAATGCTGAGAGCTTTTGCCATCAAACTTTATGATGAGTTTCATGATGTTTAACCCTGGAAGCTCATGATTTTAGATTGAGATCAGTCAGAGATCAATTGCAAGATATAATTCTTGTTGACCATTGAGGTTGGTATATCATTGAAGAGGATTATTGCTCTAGCGATTTAACACCATGTATTTGTCTTCATATTTTCTTTTGAGATTCCTGAGGGTAGTCCATATTAGTTTTGCTTTCAACCAAAATTTTCAGTTTGTTTATAATAGCAACATGAAATGGCAAGGCTCCCCTGCATGGGGTGGATTAAGACCAGTATACAACATCTTTAACTTTGGCAGATTAATCAACTAGTTTCATTTATCAAATTCAGTCTGCTAAGTTAAATGAAATACACAAAAGTTATTTACAAATTTAAGGTATGCCAAGTTGATGGGGAATTGTTATTGCCTTGATGTCACCCCAGAGTGAATAAACATCCATGAGAGCATAGATTTCCACACTAAAAATAAATAACTACAACTTTAAATCCTGATAATAATTATCAGCAACATCATATCTGAAGATGTTCTGGATATTTTTTCATGAAATTAGGTTTGGAACTTGTCTGTGCCGTATTAGTTATTTAAAGAAATACTACTGGCTGTTCATTATTGCCATATACAGGTGTATATATATTTTATTATTTTTTTTCTTAAGCAGCATAATGCCTAAAAAAAATTTAAAGTACAGTACTAAATGGATGGATTTTAGGTATATATTCTAACTTGTGAAAGCTAAGGGTAATGTAACATGTTTTCACATGGTAAAATTCTGATACCTTTTTTGCTTTGTTTGCATGAACATTTTATATTAACAAGAATGTGCCAAATTTACTTAAGAATGTACACAAAATGCATATTGACTTGAAAGATCAGTGTTCTGTATCCTGAAATCTTTAAAAATGTCGAGTATCAGTACCATAGAGGACTATAATAGTGTTGTATGTAAACCAGGACTTGACATAATTTTGGGGAGTTTTGAGCAGATACTTGGACTTCATTTAACAAAGGTGTGTGACTTTTTTTCACTTGTATATTCCACTCTATGCTAGTAGAAAATAATATTAACAAATGCATAACTGAATTTTAAGACATTATTCCTGATATTATATATTTTTTTGTAACAGCCTTGACATTATTATATACACTTATTACTTGAGGTTGATACAGGTATATTTAGCTTAAGTCTGGGATCAGGGATATTGATAGTTTGAAAGGTTGAGACAAATTGCACAGTGTGTTCTGGTTTGTTTTGCTGCAAAACATTCTCCTGATATCTAGGAGAATGGTAATGAATCACAGATAAACAGATGCCTTGGCATTGCCATAAGTTTAATGAATATACTCCTGCAAAATTAATGGGATAAATATCTTCAGAGTATCTTTATGAGATTGACATTGAATCTCAAATTAGTTAAGACATTGAATAAGAATACTAACTAAGAAAGTTAAGCTCCCTTAGCACTTAATGCTAAAGTTTTATGAAGATGCTTTCAGTGTTTATTAAAAAAAATAAATAAAAAAATCAAAGGCACCTGCTGACCTTTGCGATCTACTCTCAATTCTTGTAAGAAAGATAGAGGTGATCAGAGGATTATCAAACTAGAGAATCCTGTGTTCATCTCAGAAGAACCTTGTAGTAACTAGACTCAGCATTACCAATTACAGCAAGAGGACTATATGTCTGGATGATTTTTCATTTATTGATCCTGCTTACAAGAACTTATATCTAGAGGGATGATCAAAATTGCAAAGATGATTACTAGGAAGTTTTTCCAAAGTGAACCCAGGTGTGGAATTCAGCATGTGTTGCAATACCAGACTTGTGTGCTTGCAAATGTGAACAGTGAAAAGAAATTGAAGCACAATATACTCACGAAAAGTAAGTTACATAATACTGTACTCATGTATTAGGAAAAATGTCTCATATGAATAATGTGTTTTGGGGTGAGGGTGTGTGTGTGTATTTTGGCAGGTATTACTTTCTTTTTTTTGCACAGACTTAAGGACTTGGTGTTGGTGTGTGGGGCCACATTTTTAACCTTTGGCAAAAGATCTGAAGCTTCTTGGAAGCTCTTTACACTTTGTAAATAAAATGTTTCTGTGACCCCATTGTTCAGGGTGGATAGAAACAGAACCCTTTTAAGTGTTGCTTCTCCATGCTTAAAATACATGTAGGAGGTAAACTTTCATTAATCTTTGTAGTTTATTACTCTGTCCTATTACTACTGAATCTTGCAGAGATGTTTCACTTTAATATGAATGTCTTTGTATGTGTAAATTCCCCTTGGATGAATCGAGTGATTTTGCATTTTTGATAGTAAAGGGACGACTTTTCATTGTCCACAACAGTGCATTTCAAGCAGTTGATACACAAACATTTTTTATAGCAACTCATCAACAGGTGTATACTTATTTGCTGACTTTGTCAGTTATACATGTTTTTCTGTTAAAGGTAAATGGATCATGTTATTTGCATCAGGTCAAAAGCAAATGCATTTTTTTTATATGGAATTTGTGTATTCTGATAAGTATCATTCCTATTTTAATCTCAGTACTGTATAGTGTAATTCATTCATTCATGCATTATTTCAAATGTCATAAATACCACAATAAAATAAATTGTTAACGTTATGAATTGTATATACTTATCATAAAAAAAAAGTATAAAATGTATCCTGTAATCCACTTATTGCATGTAAAGCACCATTTTTTTGTCATGGACCCACAATCATAGTTTTGAATTGGGAAGTACTGTAAGATGGTTTAACTGTGACAAGAAGTGAAGCAGTTACCTGTACTGTACTGTACAGCATAAGCATACAAGAAAATATTGAAGACTGGGAACCTTGGTTGTCAAACCACACTTTTTAATTGGAAGTAAGTTGCATGTTTCAATCGGAAAAATAAATCATTATACCTGTACAGTAATCCCAGAATACCTAGTCTTTCCATTCTACCTACATTTTTTTTCATGCAATCACATTTCCTTTCAAATTTATATACTTTTCATTATAAATCCATTCTTCTGAGCTGTAGGTCTAATACCAATTCCTTCATCAGTCTCAGAACTTTCATCATTGTCAAGAATGATTCACGGTCATTTTGTGGGTGATCAAATATAATTACTTAAATGCAGTCCCCGACTTATGATAGGGATATGTTCCTGGACCTCGATTGTAAGTCGATTTGTTCATAAATCAGAACGGTGTTAATTCCATAGATTAGGCTAGGTTAAAAAACAAATGTGTCCATACAAAACAATAATAATATCCCATGCATATCAAATCCTGTAAATAAAGTTAGTGAACCCTCACTTTACGCGGTTAATTCAACCCACGGCGGCCCGCGTAAAGTGAACAACATAACATATGGGATTAATTGAAATAGAGACCGGGCCGACCCCCAAACTCCACTTTTTCCGACACAATACGTACGTTGTAGTAAAAATAACTTCTTAATTTTATGATGGTATGCACACACAATTAATAATTAAGAGAAATATCAATAATATTAGGTTTTTTAACACTTACATTAGTAGAAAAGATGGCTGGGTATGGGGGGGTTGGTTCCGAGGCAGAGGGCAGATTATTGGCCCTCACCTGTATCACTTGTATCAATTGTATAACTATCCACCACAGAGGCTTGCAGGGCCTCTTTGTCAAACCCCTCAAAGTCCATATAAGTCCATGTCCTCACTATCATTATCACTATCACTGACTTGGGCCGGCTGTGGTGGATGGCGGGTGAAGAACTCGGTAATGTTTTGATGACTGGGCGACCTTGTGCGCACCCTGCTCGCGCCTCTCTCCGCCTAAAAGGGTACACACACCGCAGAACGTGAGCATTCCGGTTTCGGCAGGGTACAGCGTAAATGTGGAAACGCGTAAAGTGGGACCGCGTAAAGCGAGGGTTGACTGTATGTTATATAATAAAATACAATGAAAAGGTGTAAAAAAATGGGATTTTAATTAAAAAAATTTGCAATAAATGTACACCCACTAAAAAACTATTCGGCATACTTACGGCTTGATACAATATGACACGGGTGCCGAATAATTTTTTAGTGGGTGTACACTGGGATCCCATTTGTAAGTGCGGCTGATTGTAAGTTGGGCGGTCATAACTCGGAGACTGCCTGTATTTTAAAAGAGCCTTTTTCTCTTTACAATATTTGAACCTCCAAAGATATACGAGACATTGATTAATGCAAGGGCAAACTCGCCACCCGAGCGAAAATGCGATTTTTGTACCAATCATTTCAGAAAGTTTATTATACTATGACAAGATGGTATGACGAGTTCGCCTTTGGTTTACTGGCAAAATCCCATTGAATCATATAGTGTAAAACTCCCGGCATCTCTGCGCTGCCTGTGGTAATTTCAGTGTCTGGCAAGAGTAAAGCAATCACAGCCTGCCTTACTCCCCGAGCTAATCAGCATGTCAGGAAGGAGCATGCCGACCAATGAGAAGTCTGCTACATTCTATTTTCGGTGTTCCAGAGGAGGAAGATGTATCTGATGATGCTCAGACTACTAGCCACCTACCCTCCCCCCTGCTACCAAGTTCTTCAGTGGAACATAATCATCATCTAGAGTGAGTGTTACCATTATTTTCATGAATGTTAATTTCACACCATTTCATTATTTGACATCAATGTGCACCAAAATCATACATCACACTTCATTTATTACAAGGATCATATTCTGCAATAAACCGAATTAATAAATTTTTGGAGATTGTATAACGTTTTGAATATATGGGCAAACTTTAAACGTGGTTTTCAGGTGTTCGCCCTTGCATTAATCATTGCCTCATTTATTATATGATTAGATTTTCTTTCACACAAATATCTATATCTGCTTAATATTTGTGTCTTAAAAATCCATGAACACATTTTTACCGGTCTCTGTCTCTGGGTATGTTTCCGTTACTACTTAAAATGAGATTTTAGAGGGTAAAGTGATAATGTTTAAGTAAAACCAGTGCATTCCATATAAAATTGGCTTTTATTGGTCACTGATTTTTTCCTGAAGAAATGGGTGTTTTACCGTCTCCATCTGAAAGTGAAAATGTAGTTGAGCAACTTGGTATGTACGGTATTTGTTTAGCACTACAACTAATGAAATGAATAAACATGTTTTTACATTCAAATTTTAACCAAAGATAATTTTTTTTAACAGTTTTTCCATTTATCTTTAAGAACTAGCTGTTTCATTACTCACATCTTCAGAATTTTATCCTTCCCTCCACTAACAACCCTCTGGCCGTCGGGGGACCAGTCCACTGTAAACACCTCATCTGCATGACCAGGAAGATCCATTTCTATTTTCTTTGTTGACATGTTCCAAACTGAAAGAGAGTACAGTACAGCAATTCAACAAATTAAATAAAAATTATCAATGAACATTTCAGGTGCTTTGGGTATCAACCTGCCAATATTGTTTCTCTTTTCCCTGTGTGATTTTATCAAGATTTATCTTATCCACATTTTCATTGTGGATCTACATGATATATATATATATATACAGTATATCCCCCATCCTTCCTCTATCCCGTGGGCAAGTCAGGAAGCACATTGTTCATTTATAACTATGGTTGAAAGTCTGTCAATACTGTTTTCTATCATCTTTAATCACCCAAAAAAATCCTGTTGCCTCTCATCCTGAACCACGAACCCCGAGATTCAGACTCGTGAACCCGGAGCAGTAGACACTGTTACATTATTCTGCCCGTAAATGCTTCGGATTCAAGAGTCTGAATCTCGGGGTTCATGGTTCAGGATGAGAGGAGACAGGACTTTTTTGGGTGACTGTACATTATGGAAGGAAAAAATCATTACTGATTCAAAAGGAATGATATCTTGTAAGTTGACAAAGGTAACTGTACTTTTCTTAATTTTTTTAATTTTGGTGCCTGGCAGCTTGTGGTCCAAAGCATCTCATTTGTCACATTCGGTAATGTGGCTGAAGAATTAAAAGCTACTTGTTATTATCAACAACAGTAATAGGTTGGTGGAATAACGTCATTTTCACCTTAGGAAGCAAATTTTATTTTATTAAAAAGAATCATGGGCTTTGAAATCAAAATTTGACAAGAAAAATAAATTAACCCAACACCATCTTTTCTACAACTACAGTAATGTTCTGTCGAACAGCTATTGGAAGGTTTCATCACTTGAGTTTCACAACTTCTCAATTGTCATCCTCCTTGCTCTTACATTAATATTCCTTTGCTTTGGTCACCCTGAGAATAATATTAGCCAAAAAAATATGTCACACAAACTTCCCCTTAAACCTCTTAATGACCGACAGTATTATCTTGTGAGGAATCATATTCTCTCACAAACTGGTTCTTCATGAATATTCCTCCAAGAACTCCAATGTTTCCTGCTGTTATTTCATGTTCTACTCTCTCTCCAAGCCATTCATACACATTATCTTTATCAGTCAGTTTATAAGATCCACCTTGTCTCTAAGGTGTCTTCTCCAACTTAAAATTTCCACCTAACTCAATTTTAGGTATGTATCCAAGTAATAAATTTTTTCTGTTGCCTTTACATTTTCTTTTCAATCTTGCAAGCCTTTTCCTCCCACAGTGCTAAGTGGCTAGAAGGAAGATCAACAAAGACATCCCCCTAACTTGTTATCATTCACTCTAATTGCATTACCAGATGTATATATATATATATATTCACTCTTAACTGCATTATTAAGTGTTTTCAGCTATGGTTTCATTCTCATAATAAGGCCCTAGATATCCCCCTGATTTACCTTTGTTGCTTCATACACCACTCCAGCTTATGTCTTTTTAAGCAAATTCCTACAGCACAACATTGGTTTATTGTATTTTTAACAATAGTCTGTGACTCTGAACTGCAACTTACCTTTAAGTGTTGAATCTTTACTGCCACTAACAAGAAGTCTGGAGTCAGCAGACCATGCTATTTGGTACACACCATTGACATGTCCTCGTAAGACAGCTATAAACCTGAAATGTATATGATTCAGTCCTTTGTTGTTGTTAAATAGCAAGTACACCTGTACCAGTATTACATATATAATATATATCTAATACAGTTCAATATATGGTACAGGGTATTTATTTGTGTAATACAGTACTGTACTTCAATTTTAGTGAACTGAAAGCTGATCATCCAGACTAAAGTCTCAAGTTTATCTGCTATTTTGGCTTCTCAAAATCTTCTAAACCGTAAAGAATACTTGAGTACAGTATATATGTGGGGTTAAAATACTAAATACAAAGAATTTGTTTGCCATACTTTCCAGTAAATCCATTCCACAATCTTATGCTCTTATCAAACGACGCCGATGCTATGATACGGGTGTTAGGTGAGAACTTGACATCATTCACCAGCTGTTGGTGCCCAGTCATACGCTCTGAAAACGTTAAGTTTTATGAATAAGATCATATCCACCTATAAAACAGATATCAGATTTATACTACACTTTGTTTAATTTTAACAATGTATTTAGTCAATTATGAGTCTGAAATATCACTGTTAGTCTGTCAAGAGACACCCATTCTGGAAGGCTTTACATTTTTATGTTTGACTACAAAGTTGAAATCCATTTAAACTGTCATATTCCTATGGGAGAACCAGTCTACACTTACAGTATTATCAACAAATATGATTGCTTTTTAATCAGAAAAAGAAAGCAAAGTTACCAATTGGTTTGCGATCCTTAGCAGGTTCCCAGAGAAATATTGTAAAATCATCAGAGCCAGATGCTAACCGCTCAACTCCGCCAGCAACTGCTAGAACTTCTTTGTAACGTTTTTCAGCATATGATAGTCTTTTCTCAGCTGAAAGGACAGTAATAAAAAAAAAGAAAAAAGCTTTAAATAATTAATTCTTTAAGGCTATTCATATGATTTCCTTAAATTCCATTTTAATAGGAAATAAAGGAGATAAATTTATAACAGACGAAGCAAAAAAAAAAAACTGGGAAAAAATAGTTTGGGCAACTGCTTTTTGTACCAGATGAGAGGGAGGTAGATTATATCAGGTTTGGGATGTGGAGAAATGAAGAGCACCAGAGTGAAAGAGGAAAAAATAATAAGAAAATTAAGAAAGGCTATGAGTATGCTTAAAATATTAAGGGGTCATTGGCGGATAGAATTGCTCTGGAAATGTTAAGGATTTGAGATGGAAAAGTGACAGAAAGGGATAATGAGTGTACGTACAGGGCCCCCCAAAAAAATTTGCGGGGGGACTTGAGGGTAGACTCACATTTTTAATAAATTTGTTTCTGATTATTTGTGAAAGTATTTTCCCATTATTATTTATTTGTATGTGTTTTGCATGTGTGTGTCTACACACACACACACACATATTTACAATGCAGGTAAAGGAAATTACTGTCTCTAGAACGAATGGCTCCCTGTCCCAGTCCCAAAAATGACGGCAACTTTTACAACTACCCACAGACATTCTTGGGTACATCCAGGGTGTCATCAGCGAATAATAGAGGACCGCGAACTTGAGGGGCCCCTGTACAGTACTGGTTATGTATGACAGGAAACCATGACAAAGAGTGGGTGGAGCCTAAATATTGTAAATAAGATACACAATAATATCCCAAAATACCTCAGGAGTTATAGGTCAGAAAAATACACAGATAAATATTTCAGATAAGTCAACAATATCTATAGGCACAGTATTCTGTTGATGTGTTAATATCTGTGTAAATAAATGTGGCAAACAAATTAATAGTAATAAAGTACTGTAACATAGACAATACAAATACAGTATAGTACTGTACTAAAAACAAAATTGGTTAATAAAAACTTACGAGCAGTCACTTCAGGTGAGGGCTTCATTAATGCCTGAGGATCACATGCCCCAGTTCTCAGAACATAGTCGGTATTGAGGGCTAATGTATTTACCCAATGGCCATGTCCTTGTAATGTCCGGCACATTACACCCTAAAAACACAAATAATATCATTCTTCACTTGTACAAATATTTTTGGATAATTACATAATATTGATGAATTTGATCCTAAACTCCCATTATATAATTGATAGGGATGAGTAACTTGATATAACCATGAAGTTTAGGGGGAATAAATCCCGAAGGCCCTTGTCGAAAATTTCACCTGTCCAATGGTGATTGGAAGCAGGCAGTTGAGTTGTTGAGTGCAATTGAACTATCATCATCTAAGAGAAAATCCAAGGAATAATTAATATAATTCTTTATACAGTATAGTCTTCATTTACGCGGTCAATTGAACCCGTGGAGGTTCGCGTAAAACGAGAAACGCGTAAATGAAATAACAGAACATATGGGATTAATTGAAATAGAGACTGGGCCGACCCCCAAACTATACTTTTTCCGACACAATACGTACATGGGTGGGCTAGCTGCTTGGTTAACTAAGGCTTGCATGCTTAGTTCATATTCTGCTGCAACTGTACAAGGTTGTTCCCTCACTAGCTGCTGTTTTTGCATACAATTTGTGTTGTGCAGTACACTGGGTGTGTTTTCGAAAAGTGGCTGTATCGAGAATTTCAATAACGCGAATAATTTTTCCCATTTACTCCCATGTTAAAAGTGAAGATGCATTCATACTAAAAAAAATTTGGTCAACACAGCAATAAAAACACATATAAATGGAGATATACTGTACATTCTGAACACATATCAATCATAATTTAGACATTTTATAATATTACTTGCCACAAATAATAGTAAATACATAAAATTCATAAGGAATTGTCTTCTGCACTGTATAAAAGGTGACTGGAAGATTCCATTCACAAGTCAGAGCCCTGGGACCAGGTATTTTGACCCATACAGACGCTGGCTATGCAGAGTTGCTCATTCAACATGTAAAGCTATAATATTTCATAACCTATTAAAGCAGACTAGAATTCAAGTCCTTAAAGAACATAATGCATTAACACACTGTAGATTTCACATCATTCTCAAATTTCTACTTACATCTGAAGCTCTCCAGACTTTTATGGTTCTATCTTGGGAGGCAGAGTATAGAAGACCTTCACCACTCCAACGTAAAGCTGTCACACTTTGAAGGTGGTTTGTTAGCACCTGGAGTGAGCAAAAATTTTTATACAACTACTGCACCTCCCTGAAATCTATAATTCTTCAAGAAAATATGTTTATTCAAATAATCAATACAGACATCAAATTAAGTAATTACTATAATACCAATAATTGTATAATCACAAACTTAACTGTCACTGAAAATGATGTATGCCATAGCCAAATTTCTGAGTTGTGCTAGGGTCATAGCTCCCATAAATAAAGATGACAAATAGTAGACAAGGAATGCACCCTGGAAGTTTATTATATAAATCTGTACACCCAGTGATCAAAATGTTAATGCTTATCAGATTCACTACAGAATTGCACTAAAGATGGGTATAATTGGACAAATGTCATTACTGCCCTGAAAATTGACTAATGGTCTTATAATCCTGGTTAAAATTAAGACTCATGCAAACTTGGTTACTTATTTTGTCATTGTGTCTTGTATGTGCTTTAATCCTTGACTTGCAATGCATATCTTTATTTTCATAAGACGAAAATAAGTTGTTTAAGAATGTATGATAGATTTTTTGTGAAAACAGCAAGACACAGCTGAAGGGTTAAAATTATATACATAGTGTCTCACAGGTTATGCACCTTAAGAGAAGTAATGTTCTAGTCCTTGATTTTTTTTTCAGGTGAGGGAATTATTATAAATCATTGAAGATTTGGTGATGAGGACTAATAAAATGGATTCCACGGTGTCTGGGACTTATGCCTCCCAATTTCTTCCTCTGGGGTCACCTAAATGGTTCTCGTAAAGTCTTGGTAAATGACAAATCTTAGGTGAGCTCAGAGGAAGAAATTGAGAGGTGTGAGGTTTGGAGACCTTAGCAATTTGATTGGTTCTAGGTTACCAATCTTTACTGCTTTATGATTCCCTGGTCCTGGAGAGAGAGAGAGGGATTCCTTTGATGAGTGCCCTATGAGATACTCTAGATATCCTTGTTCTCCTAGTTAATACTAGCTAACCTATGCATGCATGGAAAATGGCCTTAAAACATTATTTATTATAAAGACTGGATTATGCCCATTAATGAAGCCTTTGGAGAGACCACTATTCCTACTACATTTTAAGAATTCAATTTACCGTACTCCCTTAAAATACTGTGTTCACATGTAGGACAAGCCATGGAGGTGCATTCAATTGTGCAGTACTCACTGAACATGGTCGAGAATATAACCTGTACAGTGATAGCTCCGTTAGCCGGAACAAATGGCCCAGAGCACCTCTGGGAATGAGAGATTTCCAGGTACCAAGACGACTCTCTCAAAGCCGGAAAAATATCCCTCATCACCAGAAATTTCCGGATTACGAAAAGTTCCAGAAATTGCCCAATACATTATCTCTCGAACCCAGAAAAACATCCCCGTCCTCGGAATTTTCCGGGTATCAGGAAAATTTTCTTGGAATTTTCCAGAAAACGTGCCCCTTGGAAAATCATTCGCAAAGCTGTAATTTTCTGAAAAATTCTGAATTTGGGAACTATTTTCTGAGAAAATTTCAATTCCAACTATCGGAGAGTTCCGGGTTTGAGGGATTCTGGCTAACGGAGATATTACTATTTAAGAGGTTTTTTTATCAAATCAACTTAACATTCGTATAATCTCACCTTTTCACAAGAGCTAAGTATAGTATTCCATATTCTGACATCTCCATCCTTTCCAGCTGATGCTAATCTTGTGCTCTCACCATTGTTGGTCAAATGGAGAGGTTCCCAGCACAGTGCCGTAACCCACTGCTTGTGGCCAGTTAGTGCCCGACCTGTCTGCTTGGCAGTGAAGCAAGAAATATAATTCATTACTAAAATAATAAAATATGTCAGTGTAGAACTGTACTACCTCTTTTGTAATTGATAATTAATTTGCATGGTGGTTTGTTTAAAATACTGTATGCATAAAACTAGCATTCATTTCTTAATAAATGAAATAAGATATGGGTGAAACGACAAAAGCATTAACAAAGGCAGTGATAAATACTACAACCAATTGACCTTTTCTCTCCCTGGAATGTAACCCCAATAATAATGAGGGCTCTATTATTTGATATCCGTTTTTTCACTTACTGAATGGAATTCCAAAAACGTAAATTAGGAAATATCAGCATACAGTAAATTCAACTTACACCCACTAAATTACCTGTATATGAAGACTACAAGTACAGGTTTAATTATTTGTATATTTTTTCTTTCCAATTCTCTTCTGAAGTTTTTACCTAACTCAAAAATATATAATAATTTTGGTATTTAAAAAAAATAAATGAGGAAATATGGGATGAACACAGAGTTTATGAGATTATCACTCAGACAAGTGTAACAGTGACAGACCAATAAGATGTTAAATGTTAATACAGGGTATGTCCAGAGCTGTGCTCTCTATTACGTATAAGGAAGTTATAGATAACAATATCCAGTAACTTCACACACTACAAAATAAATTTTTTTGTAGAACACTGCAACTATTTCTTTAAGTCACCATGTTGACAAGTGTTCTTTAATAAACCTCACCTGTTTTCCTGTTTTGGGGTCCCAAATGAAGATTTGTCCAGATTTACATCCAGAAGCTAAACGTTCACCATCAGGGGACCATGCTGTGACCAACACCCAATGCCGATGGCCTGTAATCCAAACCATATTTATATTGTACAGTATATACAGTACAAGGAAAACAGATTGTAACCTCCACGGATGACTCAATGTTACTACTTTGACCCAATCAATAATATAATGAACAAACCTATAAGTCACCTTGAAGCAACAGAAAGATTGCTAAAAATGGCTTCCCTTATGTATGTCTGTGGTCCCATTTATCTAATAAATATTACCTTGGCAACAGGAGTTACCATCTAAGGCTGATAGTAATTCAAGTCTGACATGTCATGGTGTGCAGTACAAAAAGCCCGAGTATATCAGAGCCACAAATATTATGATTCGCACAGAGGCCTATAATAGTCAAAGTCATGCCTAAAGTCAAATGAACTACCTCCAAAAATTTACCTTTGCATGTGAAGTGTGGTGTTTCAGTGTTAATATCCCAGAAGCGCACAGTGGTGTCCCCAGAACCAGAGGCCAAATGTTGTCCATCGGGACTAAAAGATGCCGAGAGAACAGCTTCTGCATGACCGGGTAAGGAGGAGGTACACCTAGATGAGAAAATTTGCACGTACATTAAGACACAAATAAAATAAAAGCACAATGTTTTTTTATTCAAAGTTACAGAGAAAAAAGCAGAAAGTTTTGCCAAAGCAATGACAGCAACAACAATGCCCAGGTAGTGATAACTCTAAAGGCTTCTTTGAAAACATAAGCTAAAAATAATGTATATTTTATATCAAGAAACCTCCATGACTCCTTATCTTTATCAACTATTCTTATATTATGTCCTATCAAATACAGTATTGTACTTCAGTACTTGCCAAACGGTTGTACCGTAAAGGAATGAAATCTCATATTTGGGGCTATACCAAAATTTAACTGTATTATGTAACCAGCGACATCTCTAAGGCTGAAATCTTAAATCATCCACATTACGGGCTGAGACTAATCAAAATAACATCAAGGTCTTCCAGCTAAAACCAGTGACCCAGTGCCCCCCCCCCACTCTTACAGGAAAAAAGAATGTAACAAAAGATTGATAAATTCATCAAGGCTTGACTTAACATAAATTAAAACAAAAAGACTGAACATACGAAACACAAATCTGAAAAGCCTTGTAGCCCTTTTACTTTGAAAATCAAATTTTTAAAGACTATGACTGCTAAATATCCAATTAATTATTGAAACTATTCTGTGATTGTTTATTGGAAACTAAGAGGAAAGAAGCAAAATAACTCACATGGGGTTAACATGGCCATGAACATGTTTGTGAGACCTAAATGAACATTACAACTCTTACACTATAACTGTAGCAAGATACATAAAGACCTAATTAATAGAATTCACAATGTTGTAACTAAGATCTACACCATCAGGTGATCAGTGATATGTTGTTGCTCACCTGGTAACAGCTCGTACTCTGAACACTGCCTGAGGCTGGTAAAGAATGGTCATCACTTTCTCCTCACTTGTTGACGAGTTCACCACTCCATTAAGATCAGTGGTCACTTCTTTTTCATTAACATAAAAGCTGTATGGGGTGTGGTCCTCCTGGAAAAAAAGAATTTCTTTATACACATACATTTACAACGATCCAATTTATGAAAATCCAAAGTTATGACTTTTTATCTACAGTACGTATTGTATTTTCATAATTTTTTAATAGCATCGGAAGATGTTGAGGTGCTGACACCTGTAGGCATTTGTTCGTATGATCTTATATAATTTTTTTAATTATTATACAGGGCGAGTGTTTCATTCGAGAACCCTAAATAATACCCACACATTAAAAACTATGTCAGTTAGAAACCTAACATTTTGTGAAACTGTAGCCTAATGTTACAGAAAGATGTGACATGGTCCATACAATTGATTACTTTAAATGAACAGCTGGAAGTGTCCACTACCATGTTGCTTCCATTTTTTCCTACACTTCATCCACTTTTTCTGCTGTAATAACACTTGGCTGGCGCAAGTGTTTTTTAACTTTCAAGCAGTCGATTTCTCTGAACTGCTTCCCCAGTTTCCATATCATTGATTTTGAAGGTTCTGTACAACCACCAAGAGACTTTTAAATGTAATTTGACATTCCCTAAAGGATGCATTCTTGATATAATGTTTGACGAGAAACATATGTTCTTCCACAGTGAGCGTTATGGCGTGATTGCATGAAAACTGTTTAACACCACTGACGGGTCACACGACAAATCACATGACACCTGATAACTCTCAGGATCATGTTACATCTTTTTGTAACATTAGGCTACATTTACACAAAACATTAGGTTCCCAACTGATATAGTTTTTAGTGTATGGAATTATATAGAGCTCTTGAATAAAAAAAATCACCCTATGGTTAAAATTGCCACGGGTTAATAATTACTACAGATATTGGCTTAGCATTTCGTAGTATACAGTATTCCCATTGTTTCTCGTCACATACTCTCAGCATCCTCGAGCTGGTCGTTGAGAGCATGCAAAATTTATTTCTCACATTCTTTGGATTATTTTCTTGCCGAACTCCAAAATGACAGGTAAGCCAAGTACGTAGTGGACAGTCTAAGAATGCTAGGAAAGAGATTAATTTGGAAATTAAATTGGAAATCCTACATAAATTTGATCAGGGAGTGCAATTCAGAGGAATGTCAAACTCATCAACTTAAAATTTGTACTGTACTGCATGGGTTATAATCATTGTGTACACTAAAAATTTTCATTAAAACCCTGTTTTGTAGCATTTTAAGACATTTTGGGGAAGGTATCTTTGTTGGAACTTATTTCAGGTTATATAGTAGGAGTCTAAAGGAAAATGGGATCTGATTTTTGAGTGTTTCAGGAATAGAACTCTTCTATATACCAAAATGTACCTTTCTTTATTTACAGTTAGAAGAATGGGTTCCAAACTTGATTTAACCTCTGGGCTCAATAGATTTACTGTACACTTATCTGTACTATACAATGATACCATAAAGAAAAACACACAAGGGTAATATATTTTAAGAAGAAAGATGTTTTATTAAGCTTAAACTTTTTAATACTTCAAGAATGATATTCAAATGAGGAAAACTTGTACCACGTTCACAATTTATCATTATGGCAATCTTAAGTCTTCAAATACTGTACTCTGTTGGTGGCTTACACATACCTGCTTTAGAAGTACATTAAGAATTTGCTGAAGTTTATCACGAGCCAGCGTCAGAGGCAACTCTATTGGGGGCCCAGCTGTATCACCAGACTCTGATTGGAACTGAGCAAGGACATTGGCTCTATTTTCATTACTGAAAGACAATATATAATATTTCATTAGTTAACTCCATATGCTTTCAAGTAAAGTTAAGCTTCCAGATGATAAATGCTTGAAAAGCTTTAAGTTCTCTATTTTTTAGTCGATTACTTCAAGCTATGTCTGGATTAGAAATCTACTGAAATATGATACAGTAGTTTGAAAACAGGATACCTGCAAGTGTTTGTGAGTTCTATTTAATAACATCTGAGTGATTCGGGGGCAATAACATTAATGGAAATGCAAGACGATGCTACAAATCAATTATAATAACAAATAAGTAAAGGATTTCTTAAATTTAACACTTTAAAAAACTTAAAACTTGAACATGAATGAGACTGACGACAATCACCAAGATGCTGGGAATATGGCATAAGCCTGTAGATGAAGGATATGAGAAATGGCGTACAGTTGAATGTCAAATTACTTGACACTTGTATGTCTAGAACATTGTAAAACTGGTTAACAACAACAACAGGGCTCCCTAGTCAGATATATTACTACAATACTGTACAGCATGTGAACTTCTAACTTATGGCAGTGAAGAATGAGCTTGGAATGAAGCAGGTTATAAAAAAAGTATTACCTGAAGCTGCATAAGGGATTACCAGAATGCAAGGGGTAAGAAATAATGACGTATGAAGGGTGTTTGGAATAGTAAAGAAGACAGAAGGTGTCAATTGAGGGACTAGTGGAATAGGTGAACAGAGTTTGCTGATATGGTATGGATATGTGAGAAGATGCAAGAGGAGAGGAGACTAAAAAGGTATACTGTACAGTACTGTATAAGTATTACTTAGCAGTAGCAATAAACCTAGGAAGATTGCCATCAGGAGAGGGAAAAGTGGAATAATTCATAAGGGAAGAAACAGAGAGTAAGGGATACGTGAGGCATCATAGCTGAGGTCAATGTTGGAGCATGGGAGTTAAGTTTACATGTGTATAATCATCACAGTTATACCTCTCCACAGTATCTGTAGCATCCATTCTCATGATCTTTTCAGGTACAGAGTGGCCATCTTCTTCACAATCCCGTTTGCTCCCTTCCCTGAAAAAATGGAAACACAAATTACATACTGTACAAATGTAGCTGAGACAAGACAGTAACACAGAATTAAATTTTTCAATAAGGGAACAATATCGGTAACATCTGATATAGAACTTTCAGATACAGGCAGACTCCAGTTTGTGGAAGTGTTCCATTCCTGAAAACATTTTGTAAACTGAAGCACATTTTCCCATAAACACCCATTATATATAAAAAAATAATAAATTAACATTGAACAGGTTTTAATGATTCTGTGTGTATAATGTGTTATATATCCAATTACATGCAATACTGTAACTTCAATACAGATTAAGTATACTGTACTGTACTTGTGATAAACCAGATTGCTGACACATGTGATGGTGCAGCTGGAGCATGGTGTGTGGTGCTACTGGCTTATTTAGGCATAGCACCAACACCACAAATCACTTGAAATACATTTACAAGTCATTCTGGACATGAAGGCACAATAAAATCCAATCAAATGTTGAAAGTAAGAAGTGGGTACTGAACCAGGTTGGACGGTAAAATAGCTCAAGGGCTATTGATCCCAGTCACCTAGTTCACAAACAGGTAAGGTTATTAAAGGCTTGCTTGGTTTTATTTTAAGTAATTTACCTCACATTTTCCCTCTACTTCAGTTGAATTTTTGCAAGATTCACAATATACTTGAAATATTTAAATGCTCTCATCTACTCTTTGTCCCATTTTAATTGTAATAATCAATATAATAACTTATATATTCATCACATTTGATTTTAGTCATTTATGGATGTGTGGCATTTAAGGAATTCTTAACTTCTTTCAGGGTAACTTTACTATCGACTATTTAATAGATTGCTGAACTCATCTGTAATTTGATCTAATTTACGACAAGAAACAATACTTACTCCATGACTATAGTGCCCAATTTGTTAATGTAATCAGTTGTCTCTTCACTACACACGTCTCTCCTTCTCCTCGCTGTTGTGTTTGTGTCGGACAACAGCTGACTGTCTTGGCCATGCTACATTTATTATTTTAGTGGATATAATCGTTTTACGGGAATAAGCCTGTATATTAATAAAATGAAATATATAATAATAATAATAATAATAATAATAATAATATAATTTGAAAAATTCCAATTTATTTCATATAAGGTCAAATATTAGTGAAAAGGTGTTTTGTTAAAATGTTTCTACTAGCTGTTATTCACACAGAAGTTATTATGTATATCCTTTCACTGTTTATTTGTTTTATCTATATTTGCAATATTTATATACATTAAATAAATTTTTATCTAATATTATTAAAAAATATCCCGACTTTAATCAATATATTGTATTAATTGTTGTTATTTGTGGGCATTAGCTTTCTTGACACGTTGGTTAAAATAACCAATAACAAATTACACGTGAAGTAAAGTTGGTCGGCGACAACACTGACGAGGGACGCAGTAAAGGCAGACAAATGAGAAGTATTCAGAGGTTGTGGTGAAGAAGATGGTCAAGGCAGAGAAGCTCACGGCTGATGCCCGACTCAAGACTTTAATAGACAACGGCGTCAAACTTGGCCATAGAGAGTTACTGGTGGCTCTCGGTAATAATGTGAAGGAACAGGTGAGACTCTTAATGTTTGTACTTGGCTGTGAGTGGCGTAGCTAGTGTGTGTGTGCCGCCCCCCCCCCCGTGCCCCCACAAAAAATACATATTGTACAGTGACTCACCCTTATATATATTAAATAGTTTGTGTACCATTATAATATTACTGTACTTTCACATACTCAAATATAGTATGCTTTAAATACACACCAAACATACTTAAACTTAATATTTAATCTTAATATTTAATCTCAGTACCGCAGCAAAAGTCACATTAATATTTTTTAACCAATACTTTAATATTTCTTACCTTATAGTATTATGTCTTCCAACGAAGTAAATAACTGGATCGAAAACACAAGAGAACTTAAAAGTCGTCTAGCCTCCCCTCGTCTTGTCACGATGGAGACTTGTGCAGAACTGAAGTGAATTGCTTGTAACTGGTGGATTGGTCGGCTGTACATGAACTGATATGACCCGAGACTGCATGGTTTTGCAGCTACTGGAGACGTTAATCCTTCCCTTTGTATCGGCGGCAAGTTAATCCTCGTCGTGTCTGACCTAACACCTGACCCACACCACATGAGCTCACTGGCGTACTTGTTTGAAGTTGTTTCCTTAATCCTCAACAGGTTACAGGTTGTGTGTGTGGCGGGGGGCGCATAGCAAGGGTGTAGCTCATGACGTGGCCGTGATGATGTGGGTCAGGTGTTAGGTCAGACACGACAAGGATTAACTTGCCGCCGATACAAAGGGATGGATTAACGTCTCCAGTAGCTGCAGATATGGGTGATGAGCAGACTCAAAAGTGCCGCCGGGGACGCCCCCCCCCCCCTAGCTACGCTAGTGTTGGCTGTGAAGCTATGTTCATGAGATTAACAATTACTGTCCATGTATAGGTTAATAGTGGGGCAGCCGGTTAGCGCCAGGAGTAGTTTGTGGAATTTGCTCATAAAATTAACTCGTAAAAGTGATACAGCTTTTGGTAATTAAAAAGGACTAACCCGCGGCCGAAATTGATTGAAAACGATTATAAAAACTCCGGATTTTCACTGTTATTTTATAGTGGACACTGTTTTAGTTTGTGCAAATGTGTTAAAAAAGGGATATTTTTAAAATACACGTTACTTAACATTAGTGGGTATGAAGAACAGACCTAACCAACCAAACCAAACAACCTACCGAACCTTACCTAACATTCTCATCGCCCCCTGGAACCCCCCCCACCGGTGTGTTAAACGGAAAGAAATTACTATGATATGTTGAAATTTGAGGCATTTTCTGGATGTGAGATGTATCGGCGCCTACTGAGCCCGGGCAGCGGAGGGATTTGTTATTTTGTTATTAGATAGCGGGAAACGATGGATGATTGTTTCCAAATAACGACTGACTTAGCACACAAACCCAGTTCTATTTCACAGTTTTGCTGTGAACAATACTTTCTACTTTAAGGAACGATGTTGTTTTCTTTTAAAAACTTTAGGGTCTCGTCTTTAACGCGAATCATCCTCCCAAATTCTGAAATAAATATGTTAGGCCTCACCATTTCCTCCAATATGTCCTGGAAATCACACATCCTTAGTATAACTAAAGCTGCCTCCTGAAAGTTGGGAATGCTGTACAGATGCCGCAGCTCCTTCACTCCTGAGCAGTTGCTCCAAGTATATAAGGGATTCATTTGTCCTAACTTGGAGTACTGCTCTCATATCTGGGGTGGCTCTTCTTCTGTCCAACTATTAGATAGGGTGGAATCAAAGGCATTTCGTCTTATTAACTCTCTTCCTTTAGTCGACAATCTCTCTTCCCTTTTTCCTCCGCAATATTGCTTCACTCTCTTTCTTTTACAGGTACTTTAATGGGCAATGTTCAGTAGATTTGGCATCCTGTGTACCACCGGCAAGGCCGTGGGTTCGTAACACACGTCTTGCCCGCGGTGCCCACCATTTCTCTGTGGATGTCGGTCACACGAAAATAACCCGTATAGTACCTCCTTCTTTCCTCACACAGCCAAACTGTGGAATGCTCTGCCTTCTTCTGTGTTTCCATGCTCTTATAATCTGTCTCACTTTGAAAAGCTGGTTTTCCGGCATCTTCGTGTGTAGATTAATGCAGTATAACCTTTTTTTCTATATTTACAATTTCTTTCCGTTCTTTTTTTTTCGCCCCCCCCAGGCTCCGTTGTGGGTCGTTTGACCTGTGCCCGGGTGGGCTAATTCCCGTAAAAAAAATAAAAAAATAAGACCGGCGACAACCGTCGCACGTCATGCTGAAAATGAAACTGCCTCGGGGAAGAGACGAGACTTCTCTCTTGTGTGCTGCCTTATTACAGCTGGCAAGACACGCAAGACAAACTAGTGCGCGCCTAGATGCCCAATTATCCATGAAACGACCAATTTCCACAAGAAATGGTTATCATATCACAACTCACGAATGAAAATAAACAGTAATGAAAATAACTCGTCGGCGGGTTAGTTCTGTATATTAACCGAAAGAACTTACTATGATATGGTGAAATTTTATGCATTTTCTGGACATGAGATGATACGGCTGCATCAGCGCGATGCAGCCTTAGCGGCGTAGTGATTTATTGTGATGGCGGGAAACGTCGAGCCATGGCGTTGAGGAAGTAATGAACAAATTTCTTTCCAGTCTGAAAGCACAGGAATTTCTGCAGTGTGGACAGTCTCTATTGAAAGGAACAACGCCCTGTTCTTTGAACAATTGAAGGATCTCACAAATTACATACATGCCGGCGACAACCTTCACACGACATGCTGAAAAACAAACTGCCCCGGGCGCAGTAAAAGCGCCTGCAAGACAAATTAATGCACACCTAGGCACCTATTTATCTATGAAACGAACAATTTCCACAATGAATGATTATTATATCAGAACTCAGTGATGAAAATAATGTAAGAAAATGAACATTAATAAATATAACTCGTCCGCAGGTTAGTCCTATATATTAACCTTTTATGGTATTATTATCGTTTCGGTCATCCAGCGAATTTTTAAATTTTAGGGTGAGGTTAGGTTGAAATTATGTTTTTCCGATGGAGTTTGATGTGTTTTGAACGAGTGTGATTTAATGACCGAAACGATAATCTTACCCTTTTCTTTTAATTATGAATATTTATATTTAGTTTTCTCTATCTATGATCGTAAATCACCTGTAGTGGGCAGGGCATGAAGGATGAGGGAAATTGCAGGGTAAAACATGGTGAAAAACTGATTATATAACGCTAAAAATCATGTCTCTACCGTTATGTGCTTTTTACACGAAGAAAATTATTTACTGTAGACATTCCACCAACAATTTTACCATGGCGATGAATACTGATGTCCACTCTTAAACTAATAAATTCAGAATCTGGTTTCGCTTAGCTTGTAAATAAACGACAAAGCCGCACATGGTGGGGTCTATTACGATAAATATAAGCTTGATTGTCTTTTTTTTTATATAGGCTTCACTATCCAGATTCCTGAGTATTGTATGTGCAAATCCCTTGTTTTTGGCACATTAGGTTTTTAAACCTATTTTATGTATAAATGATGAGCATCATCTTGTTGGAATCAAATTGCCTACCAGTATTATGGGTTTTGATATATTTCCAATTTCTTCTGAGTAGCATTGGATTCTAAGTGAACTGTATGTTTGTATACTTATTACTATTCTTCAAGGAGGAGGACTGATGGAGAAGATATCCATATTGTTTTTCAATGGCAGAGAACTGACAGTAAAGAATTAATATGTGTTTCAGTGCAAAAAATGGTCATATTTTCATGTCCACAAAAAATGTAAAATTCCACCATGCCTCATCAAGAAAATTTCTTTCATTGGTACCATATATCAGAGTACAGTATACTGTAATTTATTATCATATTCTCTAATAAAACTTTAGGAGTGTGAAGCAATGACACTGCTATAGTATGAATAAGACTTCTCGTAAATTTGTAAACTTTTCTTGCTTCAGGTAATGGTCATCCATCATTTAATCTCCAAATCATCCGGTGAGCGGCCTTCCATCCTTTGGTGCCACAAGAAAGACTCTGATGTTCCGAGGTCGGTAATATTCATATACAGTACTGTTTTTCTATCTTGTATTGCTCTTGCTTAGAGAAACGCCCAGTAATCAGAATTACTGTAGGAAATAGCATATCTCTTTTGCACTCCTTAGTGGGGTTTGTGACATGTAATGCATTTCTTCCTTCTTTCATTACTGTCTACTAATGTTTTTGTATCCTTTTTTCCTCTTCAACTCATGCCATCTAACTTTCCATTTTTAATTTTTCTTGTTTTTTGGTACCGTATTAGGATCTTTCACTCACATATCACTGCTGCACTCGTAAATTTGCACCAGTGTTCTTCAACCCCTCCCAATTCATTATTATATATGTGTAAATTTCCTCTTAATAATTCTTTTAAATCTCTTAGCCATATCCTCTTTCTTTTTTTCTTTAACCTTTATAAATGTCAATTCTTAGTATCTTTCATCCTAAATTTTTCAATCAGACATTGCATAGCTCTTCTCAGTACATCTTATTAAAGATCCTTAACCCTCAAACTGTGATGCCTCTCTTATGTGACATATCGCAAATGAGAACAGCCATTTTTTCGAATTGCACGCCAATTTTAGCATTCATAATGTGTATCATGTGCCCCAATGATCTCCTCACAGTACCCACACCTCAATTGAGCTCTCAGTTGCCTTAGTCATCACGGGAAATGCACATTCGTTTCTGTTAATGACAGTCTGCCCCAAGAGTGTTTAGTTTTCATGTTTATTGTACATACTGCAGTAAGGCAATTTTTCAAGGGGGTAAAGGGTTATTGGTTTTCATCAATTTTTCATTTCATAAGTTTTGATTAACCTTTAACTGTAAGTTTTTTTTTTTTTTTTTTCCACAGACAAAGTCGGAAACACCTGAAGAAACTGGAAAAAAATTTGAAATCTGGTAAATGTGACATCTCGAAAGAAAATGCATTTGATCTTTTTCTGTTGTCAACACCAGTAAGGTACTGCCCTCTATCTGACACACAAAGGATACTAGGAAACACTTATGGAATGTGTGTCATACAGGTAAAGAAATTGTAAAACTGTATATATGTTAATCCACTTGGTATACTCATGCACAACATTTATTATTGCTTAGTACAGTGTTGGAAAATTGAGGGAAGCTATTTAATGCTTGGAAGTTCACTATGAATTGTTTAAATGTACATAAATCACAATTCACTTCATCTTAATTATTAGTAGATATATAATAGATTACTGTAATTGGTTCTAAGGAGGTGACTGTAGATGCAACTCTCCTGGATGAATTTGGAGTAGGACATTCTAATTATAGCTTGACTAACTGGAGTTCTCTGAATTTTATACCCTAGTGTGGCAGCCGAAGGGTCTGTGTTAATGTTGTAGTGTTGCCTGGGTTTTGAGCATCATTTTTGCTTAGATTAGGCTATGTACAGTACTGCTATATTTTGATATTTATTATAAATTTTTAGTTCTCTGTCAGTTTTAGTTTCTTTTATAATTTTTTGAATTTGATGTTACTGTACTGTAACTGCAGCCTGCATCTTTTTTTTTTTTCCTCAGGATTTTGAAGGTTTGACCCCTAACACACTATGTCGTGTTGTGGAGACTGTAGCAGGTGGTGGAGCTGTCATCTTTTTGATGTCATGCATGCAGTCAATGCGTCAGCTCTTTACCCTTTCCATGGATGTTCATAGCAAGTTGAAGACACATTCACACCCTTGTGTCACACCCTTGTTTAATGAGAGGTAAGTTAAAGGATTTTTTAAGATGGATATGGCTTCGTTTATCTTTTACTTTTTGCAATATATATAATTATCACTGATGCCTTGTTACATCTACAGTATATATTAAAAACAAAAATTAGTGACACATAATAAACATTCAGTACTGTACTTATACATGCTTGAATTGTTTACTGGGCACACACTAAAATAAAACCCCATACCACAAATATTCTGTCTTAGATTCTGGCAGGAAAAGATAGAAATTATAGCTGTTAACCTTTGTGTCTCACATGTAAGAAAAACTGAAACATGAATACCTGTAATGTATTGGTTTAGCATTGTGTTTGAGACCCATAGAGCTATAGAAGCATGGAGTTCCTAGTGACAAGAAATAAGCTGATTATAGTTGTTGATGCTTAACATGAAAGGAAAAATGAATGCATGACTGTAAGCTCTAACAGTGTATTTCTCTTCTGTTGAGCCCAAAAATTATATATTGTGCTTGTTATTTTACTTTATAATAACTTTGATCTTGATTTGATATTTTGTGTCAGATTTTATCTGCATATTTCCTCTGCTGTATGGAAACCTGTTGGTGAACTTTAATTTTGATAAAATAAAATAGGGTTATGTATTTTATAATTTTCCTGACAGGTTTGTGCTTTCACTGGGTTGGTGCAAATCATGTTTGATCTTGAATGACCAACTTCAGGTTGTCCCTGAGTTGCCATCTCTTAGTGGCCCAGTTCATCCAGTGGGTCCCACACGTCTGGAAGAGGTAGAGGCATCTCAAGGTGCATTGAGTGATCTACAGAAGAGCCTAGAGGATGGTGACAAGCCTCTTCCTCAATTAGTGGGCTGCTGTAAGACACTTGATCAGGTAAGCACATGCCATTATTATATTTGCTGTAACTGCAGAGAGAATATTACTATACAGGTATACTGTATTGGAAATATCTTGCATTTTTCTGCAGGTATTCATAGCCTAATGTCCTCCACTAAGTGACTCTTGTAATGTCCTGCAGTCGCACCAAACGAGTCGAATCTTGGTGTGAGCTGTGAGGTTTAATTTTTTATTTATTTGAAGGGCTCACCAAATTGTCTCCATTGGGAATGACCAGAAGTGATTAAAATACTGTATCCTCTGTTATAGGTTATTGTGCACTCTTTTATGATCTTGCATTGTGGATTGTAAGTGAATGGTTAAAGGGGCCTGTTGATGTAGTTTGGATATACTGTATATATTTAGGTTGATCACTGAGTGCAACGGGTGGGGAATGATCCAGCCAAGGGACTACTATACTTAGTTCGTCTCACTAACCTGAGGTACGGCCTCTCTATATAGTGTTAGCCCAGAGCAGGGAGGAAATACTGAAGACTGCTTCAACACTTTAAAGTCAGGATTTGTACAGTAGCTGTAACTTGTTATATCATAAGTCATTTAAGTTTAAATCACTTTCATTTGGATTATCTAGTTCTCTGATGTTTTGTTTTGTGAAGATTCATTTTGGATAACATTTTTAGTCTGAAATTTTCTTGATTTTGAGTTGTTTTGTTTTGCCAAGCTACTCTTGTACTGTATACCCAACCTGTTTTAAGAGTAGCTGCTTGGTTATGGGCTCTGCTGCAAAAGAGGATTTAAGAATGAACCCATAAATGTCTAAATGCACCTATGGGTTAGCTAGTTACCTATTGGGTTATTTTTGAGATCTTCTTGTTACATATTTTTTACATATACCTGTATGTAAGATAGAATTTAATATTGTCTTTCAAATCTTTTTTTATTATTTCCTACTCAAATAAGAGCATATACTTTCAGGCAAAAGCTGTATTGAAAATGATTGATGTGATCACGGAGAAAGGTGGACGAGCAACAGTATCAGTAACTGCTGGCCGAGGGCGAGGCAAGTCAGCAGCTTTAGGTCTGGCTGTGGCCGCTGCAGTACACTTTGGTTTGAACAATATTTTCGTCACCAGCCCCTCGCCAAACAACCTCGGCACATTCTTTGAATTTCTTTTAAAAGGTATTGTAATCTATGTCTTGTGAGTGGTATAGAAATTTGGGTAATTAATGGAACTTGTAAGAAGAAAGGGTCACCTTTTATTCTGTATATACAAATTGAGGCTGTAAGCAAGTGTAGTTAGAGTATTTCTCCTTGTCATTTTTGTTATTTTGTATCATTTTCTACACTTGTCTTGCACCAATCTTTTCTATAATTCCCCTCTCCCCTTTTTTTAAGGATTTTATATTTCTTGATGCACCCCTCCAAAAAAAATGAGAGTAGTAAAGGTATGTGAAGGAATGTGATGTGGATGAGGAAATAAAAGACGGTTGGCTATAGTAGTTTGGACAAATAGAAAGATTAGATAGAGGGGGACCTAACAAGCTGAGTGTGTGTGGTTGAGATAGGTACTATGCTAGTGTAATGTTGAATGTGTGGGGGAACACTAAGAGTAGATAGGCAAATAAGGCAGAATTAGTCAGAAGGAATTAATGATATACATCATTAATAATTATTAACGATGTATCATGACAGAGATCTGAAATGATTTTGTAGCATAAGTCAGTCAATTATAAATGGTATGTAGAATGTTAATTAATTGATTTATTTTTCCTATTGATTGCATTTTCTAGATTGTGCTTTCCTATTATACAGTGACCCCTCGGTTAACGAACTCAATCCGTTCCAGAAGGTCGTTCGTTAACCGAAAAGTTCGTTAACCGAAACCATTGTTTCAATGGGTTTTTGGGTAATTGGTTCCAGCTCACCGAAAATTTCCTAAATTCAACAAAAATGGTAGAAAAGTACACTTTCTTTGAGGTGTGTATGTAGAAGGCTCCTGGATGATGATGATGATGATGGGATTTAGAATGGGGGTGGAGGAGAAGGCGGAAGAGAAGGTATTGGGGTGGAAGAGAAGTCACCCCATGGCACCATTTCACACAAAATTTTAGCTCTCTTGGTGTAATTCAAGATTATTTTCTTTAAATCAACACTGCATTGCATTATATATTGTCAATATGTAAAATATATTTCAAAATGACCAATAATTTGCTTGGAAACACAGAAAAAAAGCGTTTAGTTGAAGAGAGTCTCAAGCAAGATGTTACCTCCAGTGAAAACAGAGAGAGACTAACGCCTGTTTGGTGTGTTAAGAGGCTGGATGCCGCGCATTAAACTAGTCACTTTACCTTCAATTATGTTCAATAATTGTTGAAATGACTAAAAAATTGAATTTTAAACTTTTAAAATTATTGAAAAGTATAAACTTCTTGATATTTACTAAAATAGTAAGGAATTTAAGCCCTAGAACCGATTAATGTATTGGCGGACTGATACTAAAGCTGGTTGCCCGGTCAGTGCAAGCGAAAACATGTTGAGGTCGGTTCGTAAGAAATTCGTTAACCGAATTTTTGTTCGTTAACTGAATTGAAGATCCTTATGGAAGGCAGTTCGTTAACCGAAATTTCGTTAACCGAGGCGTTCGTTAAAAGAGGGATCACTGTACTGGTAAAATGTTGGTCTATTTATTAGAGAACAGTCACTTTGTAGATTCTGGTGTTCATGAAATGAGTTTTAGAAGTTAATTTGTGTGAATTATTCTACACAAGTCTAGGAAGCAGCTTTATGTACTTATCAGAAATTGGAAAGCATTAGAGATGGCCATGCCAAGGGAAGGAGGCCAGTGGCTTATGTAGGATCCCTCTACTGTTCTTGATAATTTTGACAACCTTAAAGATAAGGTTTATCCTCCCACAGATTTGTAATTTCTCTACTTCTTTTTAATTTTGTATTTTATTACTACAAAAAAACATGATGCTTGAGTAGAGGTGTTTGGAAGCAGATTATCACTTAACAAGATTACATAACTTTATTTTACTTATAATCTTTTGGATCAATAAGGCTCTATTATGTAGAGCTCTCCTAATGTTTACTGTAGAAAGTCTTTAGATTCTCCTTAAGAAAACAGATACTTGCTCAAGACACACAAGCTAATGAAACTGGCACGGTCAGTTGAAGTCTGACCTTAAAGGGCTCCTAACACTTTTTGTCTTGTCATCCTACCAGATTGTTATTTTTAATGTTAGAAGATATATGAATATTAGATTAAAGTCAAGCTAATATTCTCCCCTCCAGGTTTTGATGTTTTAGGGTATGAGGAACAAAGTGATTATGAAATTATCCAGTCAACCAATGTTGACTTTAATGAAGCAGTAGTGTGTGTCAACATATTCAGGGAATATCGTCAAACCATACAAGTAAGTATCAAGTGAGTACTGTACGATAGTGCATTTGGATGTAAATTTCAACTGAATTTATCACATAGTGTAGGGAGATACATGGCATTATCTGTGATTCAAAAGTTACCTATCAATGGATATCAGGGCTGTGGAGTCGAAGACAAAACCTTCGACTCCGACTCCTCAAATTTTTATGCTTCCGACTCCGACTCCTTGGCCTATTTGTAACAACTATTTCTACCATCCTAATTGTAATTTGTATGTTGTAACCTGCATAGGTAAAAAGTAAAACACCGTGGCTATACTGCTACAGCTTTATTAATGATCTGGACGATATTTAAGAACTACAAAAAGATGATAGGCTTGACTTTCAAAGTTTCAATCAAAAGAAAAATAAATTTATTAAGAATTCAAGATATTAACTAGAAAACACCATTTACATGTATATCTAAAAGTTCGATCTCAGCATATGAATTTTGTTTAAGCTCATAATCTGATGTGGATCTAAATGATGATCCTACAATTCCTTTTAAAGTAAAGTTATATATTTATGTACATTAAAGAAATGAATACCTTATTAAGGAAAATGGATAAACCTTACATGATTAAGTTATTAAATTAAATTTGCCTTAATCTCACCAAAAACAGGTTGTAGCTAATTGTTTTGTAGCTGAGAGCCTCTGTGCAGTTTTCAACGAAACAAAATTTGATATAATTCAAAATTTCAAATGGTAAAGAAGAGACTATCGTCCAAAATTATAGTGCTATACTGTGCCTGCTACAATAAATTCATAATAATGCTTATAAAATGGAAATAAATTCTTTTAATAATTTAAGAAAATTAGTGGGATCAGTGGAATCACTGCAATGAATATGCCTGAGTTCATATATTTGTTCTTAGGAACAGAATAGCTTCAGTCGGAGTCGGAGTCTGGACAATTTTACCGACTCCGACTCCACAAGCCGAAATTTCCTCCGACTCCTCGACTCCGACTCCGACTCCACAAGCCGAAATTTCCTCCGACTCCGACTCCACAGCCCTGATGGATATAACCAGTACTGTACTGGATATGCAAAGTACGTGTTTGGATGCTACAGGAAGTGTCCCATTTTTGTGGGAAAATCAGTAATTTTCTGTGTTGGGGAGTATTTTCTTTGCCTCATTTGATACATACTGTATGTACATTATTGAATTATAAAAGGAAATACAGCCCCCCCCCCCCAAGTTCGCAGATATTTATTGCGCGGTCCTCCATTATTCGCGGATGACACCCTGGATGTACCCAAGAATGGCTCTAGTAAAAATACTAATTCAAATTTGATCACGAAGAAGGATTTAAAATTGAGATGAATGTACTCTACAAAAATTTTAGTATTTGTACTCCTACTTCATATATTGTACTGGGTAAATGATGTGACACAGAAAATTTTAGCTATGATATCTATTTTACTATTTTCTTAGAAAAAGGTGAAGTACTACTGTATACAGTGTCACATTTTTTTGGCAAACATAATATTGATGGCTTTGTAAGTGACGTTGATATTAACTAAGCTGTTTATGCAGTGTTGATTGGTGGACTCGAGAAGTCTTATTGTATTATTTTGTTTTATCACATGTTCTTCATAGCTTGTTTTTGTGTAATGGACTATTTTCTGATACTCTACATGTAAATGATAAATGGAATTTTTCAGTACCTGGACCCTGCTGACTCAGAAAAGCTGACTCAAGCAGAGCTGTTAGTGATAGATGAAGCTGCTGCTATTCCTCTTTCTTATGTCAAATCTCTGATTGGCTCATGCAATGTCATCATGGCATCCACAGTTAATGGGTATGTACTGATCTTACTTTGATGCTTTCATTCTGTCACACTGGGTAGCCCATTCCAAATCACCTGTATACAGCCTTGTCAACTCTCATCAGTAGTTAAATTCAGATTCATTATGTACCGGTAATTCTCTCACCAACTTACCCCTTCAGTTCAACCTTTCATACCTTATGTGGTTCCCATTCACTAAAGGTCTTTTTTTTTTAATATTTAAGCCTACACCACTCTCACACTGAAAGAATTAACTGCTTCAATACTTAAATCACCTCACTTAACACAAACTTTATGTTTACATTATTCCTTGTGGCTTATGTGGAGGAGTTTCAGCTGCTTAATCTCTCTTATCATGCCCATATTCGACACCTTTTTAACTGTGCACCATCCATACTGAAAATTTAATGACTTCTGCTCTACTTTACTTTCTTCATTTTATTCTCATTCAGCCTAATGTTTTACTACTTGACTTTGAATACAACCATTCACTGTTTATTTTTATCTATTATTTTTGGTCTTACTCATCAGATATCCTCACAAATAGTTAGGTTTTGGAGATGACTGGAAACTAAAATGTTTAGGTAGGTTCTACATGTGACCTCCCTGTATGCCTGGTACTGTCATATAAAATATTGGCCCTTGATCAAGATTCTCAGTACTCGATAAAAAGAGTTAAAATTTCCTAAATTCTTTGTTTTACACTCTGAAAAAAAAAGTCTTACACCTTACTAATTGTGGTGAGAGATTGACTAATCATAAGTCTAATATTTATTTCCTTTGTCTTATAGAATGATTATTGCTCCCAGTTATTTAGCTGGTATTAATCCACTTTACCACACATCTTTCATATTGTTCAGTTTAGGTGACCTCTGTTGCTGCTGCTGTAGTTGATTTCATGGCAACCAGAGTTAAAATATTACTTTCTGCTTTTTGTAGTATTAATACAGTTGAACAATTTTCCAGAACTATTGGAGAGATTATCAGCAGTTATTGTGAACTTAAATGTTTTGCATCATATTATTAAAAAACTCATAGGATGTTAAGGTTTCAATTTACTGTACTTTTTTATATCACCGACATTGTTAAGATTCTTTGTACTTGAGAAAATTAAAATTTTCATTCAGATATGAAGGAACAGGACGATCTCTGTCTCTCAAGCTCCTACAACAGTTGAGAAAGCAGACAGGGCTGTCAGGAGCAGCTTCTGCAACATCAACAGTTGTAGAAAGCTCTGTAAACTCAAGTAAGTATTGATAATTCTCTTATCACAATTCTCCTTTTAGTTTCAGAATCCAAATTTTTACTTTTGCTCACATTAAATTACCAAGAAGAATACCTTCTGTTCCTTTAGCTTCCACATTCTCCTGGGACTATACATCTTCCATTCTCTGTGCTCTACAAGGCACGTTCCTTCCCTGCTATGACCTTTATATCCCTAACCGGCTTCTTATAAATTCCACATTTCTTGTACTGTAGCTTCTTCCACCATGCACACATTCATAACCTTCTGTTATTAAAATATCTTGTAAATTTGTGAATCGGTTTTAAAAACAAACTTTAATTAAATTTCAAGAATTTTTAGTAATTTTCTACCAGAGTTGTAAAAAGTACTGAACTTCATTACTTAAATAAAAGTATTGTTACATTGGCAAAATGTTATTTAAGTGGAACCAAAAGTATCCAAATGTCAATGTACTCAAGTAGAAGTAAAAAAGTATCTCATTCTTAAAATACTCAAGTACTGAAAATAAAATGGGACAACAAAATAATTGTTTCAAATATTAAAATAAATCCACAGTAAATTATAAAAAAAATTACTAAACTAAAGATGAAAATAAAAGAGACAGCATTAGACATGTTTATTTGTAATTCTTTCTATTGAGATTAATCAATAACTGATTGTCAAAACTATGGCTGTCTAATCAGGAGAATATTTTATGTTTAAGTTAGAAGTTTGGATTTGTTGAAACAATTTTCACCCAGCTACCTTACTTATTGTGGATTGAGAAAAGTTAATTAGTGATGAGGAAGATTTCTTGCTTATTTTCAGGATAAACATACATGTTTCTCAGGCATTATTCACTTAAACCATCCAATTTAAATAGGATTCACCAATTCCAGGTCGAACCTTGCACGAGGTGACTCTTGAAGAAAGCGTACGTTATAATGGTGGTGACCCTGTTGAAACATGGTTACACCAGTTGTTATGTTTGGATGCCACCTCCACACTGTCACACAACACAACTTGTCCTCCACCACAAAATTGCCAGCTCTACTACGTCAACAGGTTGGTGTCATGCTGTTGATAGTGGCTGTATCTTGTTTTCATCTTTCTTAGAAATTAAAGAAAGGTTATAGGTTTTACATATCTAAGTCACATAATTACCAGCTTTGGGGGGAAAATGTTGTGCATTTACAAATTAGGAGAATTGAATTAGGCTTGTTTCCATTACATGATTGCATCAAGAAGTAAAAAACCTAAAAAGAATATGCAAAGGAGAAAGTAAAATGAAAAATGTAAAAGATAAATTTAGAAAAAATACTAATAAGCAGGAAATTTTATTTGGGCTGGAAAACCTGTAAAAGCCAGGGAATTTTATAAATAAACCTGGAATTTTATGTGAAATCAGTTCAACTTCAAAATATTGTTTTTTTTTTTTTACAGTAATCTTACCATAAATTAATGCTGTACTGTCTAATAGGCAAATAATAAAACTTTTAGGGACAAATTCCAGTAAATAGTCCACTGCAATAGCTGAACTGTTTGTGTACCTGTCATATTTCATGTTAGCGATCAAATAACCAAGCATTACAGGTTATACCTACAAATTCTGCAATTAGTATTGTCAGAGACACAGAGATGAATTGTTCTTGTAATTAAGTGACTTTATTTCAGTGATTAATCCACATATTAATCGTGAGACATATAGGTGAATCACGAGTGTGATTTTCGTTTTTTGCCAGATTTCTGGCTTTTTTGGAGCGTCCAGGTCGACTCACATAAATCACACAATTCCAAGGAGAAAAATGTGGAGGGGGGGTCAAGGTTTTTGCTGATGTTCATCACTAGGCTTGGAGTGGGTCGCGAAAGGGTCTTCAATTTCTTGATTAATATCATATCCCAATACAGTATATGCTTATTATTGAAAACCTCTGCAGATATCTCCATTAGCTGGAGTCCCTCCAACACGGAGCTCTCTGATAGCCGGAATTGAAATTTTCCAGAACATTTTGAGAAATTTTTCCCGATACCCGGAAAATTCTGGGGATGGAGGTTTTTTTTCGGGTTTGGGAGACGAAAATCAGGTGCATTTTCTGGAAAATTCCGGGGATGGGGGATATTTTTCCGGGTTTGAGAGAGTCGTCTCGTTACCCGGAAATCTCTCATTCCCGGAAGTGCTCTACACCGGTTGTTCCAGCTAACGGAGATATCACTGTATTGTTATTCAGTTGTAATAAATACCGAATTAATGTACAGTCTCGTTCAAGATTCTTCGAACACTGCTGGAGACAGCTGGCAACTCAAGGCTGTTTGTTTACTATAGTACGTAATATAATATAATACAAAACAACAAAGCCCAACCAATAAATTAAGCAACGGGGAACTAAGTAACCAATTACCGATCACTTTTACATTTATTCATTATTTTTACTACGTACTATAGTAAACAAATTGCCTTGAGTTGCCAGCTGTCTCCAGCAGTGTTCGAAGAATCTTGAATGAAACTGTACCTGGAATTTTTCAAATTTACACCTGGAAAACCTGGAAAAGCCAGGGAATTTTGTTTTGTCTGACCTATAGACACCCTGGTAGTGATTGATAAAAGCCATTTGCCAAAATTAGATAGCGTAATGCTGGAAAATTTGTGTATTGGATAGAAAAACTCAGTACGTATAATATAAGGAACACACTCTTCAATGCGTACAGACTTTGATAATCATTCTCTCCTTTCACTGCAGAAATGTATTATTGTGTGGTCACCGCGAGAGTGAAGAGTTCCTACAACAGGTGGTGTCCCTGCTGGTAGCCTCTCACTACCGCAACTCTCCAGATGACTTGCAGGTGCTCAGTGATGCTCCGGCACATCACCTTTTTGTCTTGCTGCCACCCATCGTCTCTGGCATGAAAGCACTGCCTACTGTCCTGGCAGTTATACAGGTTAGGATTTCTATAATTTTTCTGTATCTCTTAATTCTTAGACAGATCTCAAGAATATTACCATTGTAACACTGTTAACTGAGTCTTTGGCCTGGTGTCTTAAGGTGCAATGTATTTTCAATATTTTACTGTTTTTGTTCAGATCATCCCCAAAATATTGTGTAATAGGTACAGTAATATTTCTTGTTTGTGCGGTAAGAAAATATAGGGAACCCCATGCAAAAAATAAGTCTTATAATAATTTGTCATTTTGATGTGATTCAAACCACAAAAGTTGAATATCAAAGAGGTTTTACTCCACATGAAAGAGGTTATTAGAGCTCCAAATACCAGAACATTTGGCCTGATTGTTTATTCATCTTTCCTAGTGAGGCTGTCCATTAATAAACAGTCTTGTGAAAACTCATTAATTATTTCTTTCAGGTGTGCTTGGAAGGAGGGATTCCAGCATCAGTATCAAATGCTTGCAAGAGCCGTGGTGAACGTCCATCAGGGGATCTGGTGCCCTGGAGTCTGGCTTCACAATTCCTGGATGTGAATCTTACAAAACTGACAGGTGCAAGGATCATCAGAGTAGCAACACATCCTGATTATCAAGTAAGTCAGTATGTATGTGTTGGTTGTGACTACAAGCAAGTGCATTTGTGGATACTGTAATTCTTCTTGCTGTTTTCATTGTCTTTTCACTTTCTGCAGTGTTCTTGCACTATTTTGCCATGTTATTTTTTCTTTCTTGGAGGTTTCAGTTCCCCCACAATCCATGGAAATCAAAGTTGAGAGAGAATCAAAGGTATAGATAGACAGTATACAGTGAGAACCAGCAAAATTCTTGGTAAGCTTTGCAATCCTTGTGATATATAGGTTATCATACTGGAGATAATTAACATCATCATCATTGTTTTATGGCCATTTTCCACACTTGCATGGGTTAGCTGTGATTCCCTGATGAAATGGTGTCCTGTATACAGGGTGATTTAGCAAAGAGTACATTAAATTAGAGGCTGAAATCCTTGGATAATTCGAAACCACAATGTCTCTATGGTAAAATGTCAGATTCTGCAGAGTTTCCATGTTACAATACATTAAGATGTTGTACAGAGTGAATTTGAAGTGAAACCCCTGTAGGTTTTTGTAATCATTTATTCACAGATCTCTACAGTGTGACCCCTCTTTGTTACAACCTAAAGGAAATGTTAAAAGTTGCCCCCTTCTGCCTCAATGCAGGCCTGAACACGTCGTACCATTGATTGTCTGACGCTTTCCAGAATGCCTGAACTATGTTTAATATGCTCGCATCTGTCACGAACATGTGGGCATATGCAGGATCTGACATTTTACCACAGACACATTGTGGATTAGAATTACCCAAGGATTTCAGCCTCCAATTCAATGTACTCTTTGCTGAATCACCCTGCATATAGGAGTGGCCTGGATGTGCTTTCTGGTTTCTATACAAATGCAGGTGTGCATGCCCTGTGCATCTATGTTGCAAATGCCATATTCCAGATCAATTTGACTTAGAGTCTGTCAAAATGCATTATTGTTAGGGTCTCTTACACAAATTGGATTATCAATATTGGTTTTCCTTAATATAGGGGGATATAGCTTACATATACTCAATTTTCTGAGGAGCTTGGTCATAATTCAGCTGTTTATCTTCTTTTGTCACCAGTTATGGTAGCAGGGAAATTGGGTATGGTGGATCTTACAATTTATTATTGAAATATTTCAGTCAATGGGGTATGGGTCAAGAGCCATCAACCTCCTCAGTGACTATTATAAGGGAAAACACATTACACTGGATGACGAACAGAACTCCAAACCTTCGGCCGTTGAAGCAAACCAGGCTGGAGAAGTTATTGGTGAGTTTCTAATGTAACTTTTTATTGTCTCCGAGTGACGAGAATATGACCAGTGTCATATGAGTGGGTCTGTTTCTGCCCATCTCTATTTTACTTCTTCTGTCTCAAACAGGATCTGATTATTTTTGCTATAGTCCCACCCCATTTATTTCCTTTTTTCTTGTTCATTTGTTTAATTTTCTTGTACATTTCCCTACAGTTATGCCTTCTGTCATCATCTTTCTCCTTGCATTTCCTTTCTAGATCATCTTCCTTGGCCTGTCTACAGTCCTTTTTAATCACTTTGTAAAGTTTTTGTAAGCCTCACTTCATTTTATCACATTTCTTCATCTATCCATTTTCTTTAAAATTTCACTTGTCATCCACTCACTTCTAGCCTCTTTCCTCCTATATGTCCTATAAGATTTTCCCCAATTTCTAACATTATTTCTTTGTAATTACAGTATTATATTGTTTTTCTGTTTATTGTTCATCAAAATCATCCTCTATCAATAATGAAAATCTTTTTAAGGTTTCAATTTCATATGTTATCCCTGCCTCTGGTTTGAGCTTCCTTAAATCTCATCTGATTTTGTCCATTGTTTTTCTTTTTAATTTTTGAAGTTTTAACCTCACTAAACTCAAAACTGGGACATGGTCCGACCCACAATCTGCCCCTGAATTTCTGAATCTTTTATGAATTAACATGTAATAAATTTCATTCCTGAGGTGAAACTCATGTATAGAGATGCCTAGGGTGTTGTTTAAGCCATGTACAGTATTTGCAATTATCTCATTTTCCTCACAAAGGTCAATTAATACTTCTTCTCTTTCATTTCTATTCCATAAGCACATAAGAGTGGAGGAAACTGCACGGGCCTATTGGCTCATACTGGGCAGTCCCGTTTACACCCAACCCCTATCGCTCATATATCCACCCAACCTATGCTTGAAGCTATCCAGCGTATTTGGTCCTACTTTTGCTGCTTTTTTCCTTTCCCATCTTTTACATTAATAACACCCATTATACTGTAATCAGACATTAATTGAACTTCACAATGTTTTTGCTTTCTTTAAATCTTGATAATAATTTTTTTAAGCTTCATCCTTGCTATCATTTGTTGGTGCATAAACCTTTATTATTAACAAGTACTTGACGAACAAAACTATCCAATTCTGCCAATATATCTTTACACTATTGCTCAACTCCTGAATACTGTACATGAAGTAAAAATCATACTTCACTTAATCCCACACTGCCCCAATGCAATTACTCCGCTGGTAAAAAGTTTTCATTTTCAGCACAGCCTTAAGTTGAAACCCCTTTATTTTTCCCCCTTTATACAAATGTCTTAAACTATGAAAAAATCTCTTAATTCACAGTACCTAGAAAAACAGACGAGCCATTATTATCCAAGCTGGGCGAACGAGTACCAGAGCACCTCGACTATTTGAGTGTATCTTATGGTGTTACTCTGCCTCTCCTAAAATTCTGGTGCCGAGCTGAATATATCCCACTGTACATCAGGTTAGTATTCATTCAAGTACAGTACTTTGGGGTGATTGGTGATTTACAGAATTGGTACATGAGGTACTGCACTTTAGATTAATTATCCTATAATTATTAATTAAATTCATGATTACTAGCCATTACTGCTATCTTAATGGTCTAGGTTTTTCTTGTAGTGTTTTCAGATAAGATCCATTTTGGATGGCCCTGCTAGTTCAGAATTCTGTACAGTAATATCCCTGTTAGCTGGAACAATTGGTCCAGAGCACTTCCGGGAATGAGAGATTTACGGGTAGCGAGACGACTCTCTCAAAGCCGGAAAAAATCCTTCATCCCCGGATTTTCCGGGTAACGGAAAAATGTTCTCGGAAGTTCCAGAAATTTCCCATTACATTTTCTCTCGAACCTGGAAAAATATCCCTCATTCCCGGAATTTTTCGGGTAAAGGAAAATATTTCTCGGAATTTCCAGAAAATGTGCTTGATTTTCTTCTCTCAAACCCGAGAAAACTCCCCCCATCCCCTTAATTTTCCGGGTATCGGGAAAATGTTCTCAGAATTTTCCGAAAAATGTGCTCCTCGGAAAATTGTTTCCAAAGCCGTAATTTTCCGGAAAATTCCGGCTTTGGGAACGATTTTCCAAGAAAATTTCAATTCCGGCTATTGGAGAGTTCCGGGTTTGAGGGATTCCAGCTAACAGAAATTTTACCCTGTTCATATACAGCAAAGCCTTGAATAACGACGGTAATGTGTCCTCCAATATTGCAATGTAAGGTGAATCATCGTATCGGGAATCATTAATTACCATTAAAATAAAGCAATAATAATGAGATGTGTTCCAAAGTCTAAGTCTGACCTTTTCATATCTTTTTTGTGTTTTTTTTAACCTCTTTTCTTCCAAAACTATAAAATTACTGAAAAATGCAAACTATATTCTTTAAATAATGTTTATGAATGCACCTTATACAATATAAATTAATAATAATATGGGACGTTGGTGGTTTAGACCTTCGAATAAAAAAGCTGACGGAAGAACCTTGCACAGCTGCTTTGTTTTCTCATTATACATCTTTCTGTAGAGGCCATAGGCATTTTTTACGTCCCTGTTAATTTTAATGCTTTGTTCTGTTTATGGATCCACTTCAGAAAATAAATGCATTGCTTGCTCCATATAATATCCACAGACCTCTCACCCTTTTCATATCGTTTTAACACATCTAGTTTCTCAGCTAAGCTTATACAATTTCTTTTAGCTTTTGAACCAGCACTACCATCACTTGCTCACTTGCACATGTTGAATAGCAGCACAAAAATGCCAAAAAAAACCTGAGAAAATTTTTCTCCTTTTTCTGTTCAGGTGCGTGAAAACAAAAGGCCCGCCAAGCTGAGACTGTTTGTACTAGTGATGCTGGCATCACCATTCACTAGCCCGGCAGCCTCCTTGTGCAAGGCGTGTTTTTTTTTATTTGTATAAAACATATTGGAATTTAGTTGTTATTTAATGAAAATTTAATTTAATTTAATTTAATTTTGTACAGTATTAAATTTTCGTTGTAAATACAAAGAAAATAATGGTGTAAATTGAAATGGATCCTAAATTAACCAGGGTCTTAAATATGAATCGTTGTTAGTAGAACTGTCGTTATCGGAGGCTTTCCTGTTTACTGTAAATGTGTGTGTTAAGTTGTGTTGTATTTCAGTGTGGGTGGGATAGGTGGCTCTTTCACACTATATTGTATGGTGTCCAGAACTAAGGCTCACCATATACTTTCTCTGCCAATTCCATTCATTCTAACAGGATATTAAAGAGGATTTATTGTGATTCCCATGATATATTTTACCCCAACAGCCAGGTAGTGAATAAAGTGACAGGGGAGCACAACTGTGTTATGGTTCAACCTCTTGACGGTGGTGAAGATGTGGGAGACAATAATAACATGACAATAAGGAGAAGTTCGTGGGTGAAGAGACCATCTGAAGAGTTCCTGAGACGATTTCTCTCCCTTCTTGGAGGTCCTCTTAGTGATCTGTCACCCATGCTGGCTCTTAGGGTTATTCAGGCACATGTGAACACAGTTACTACAAATGGTATGTATTGAACAAGTAAAGAGATATTTATTAATAAGTATTTAGGGGTGCACACTACATGTTCCAGGAATATGATGTTATTAAAATAATTTCTTTCGGCTCTTTTGTGGTTGGTGTGGGAAATCTCACATAACCCCATGATTTTATCGTTGCTTTATTACATGGCACTTATATTGCCATGGAAATGTTGTAATGGTTGATATTGTCTTTACTTGGTTAGATGGTGCCAGCCTAGCTATCAGTAGTAATGGAACAGTAGTACTGGTGATGTTCTTTCTCAACCGCACAGAGCATGTTGAATGAACATTTGATTTTAGTCAGCTTCATTGTAGAATCGCTGCAGCTATTAAGCTATTGGGGAGGGGGGGAGATAGCTTTATGAACCCCACCCCTCCTCTGCCCAAATTAAGAAGTCATAAACTGTGTTGGCCATTTTACATTCCACCATCACACTTTGAAAACATTCACTACTCAGGTTAATCTCGGTTGACAGTTTTTGAGTTTTTACACGCTAAAAGTCTGTTATTTGTATTATTTTTGGTGACCAGGACATCATGCCAGCGGGTAATCATGGCTGGCCCTCACAAGTGTGGAAAATGGGGGTTAAAACAGTGATGATTATTATTTATAGCATTGTCTGTACACAGAATGCATTTAATTTTTTCAGAACATAACCCCATATAATGTTAATCCCAACCCACTTTTATTGTTATACAGTATTACAATTTGGGATGACTGGCAGTTTTAGATGCATCTCCAAGCTGTGCAACCCAAATGGAAGCTGATCAGTAGTGAAGGGCATATTTTGTAGTCTCCCTTTTAACTTCTCACTGTGGGGATGCCACTTTTATTATTTTATTTGGCTAACACTAGACACTTTTAATCAGTTCAGAGGGGTTAAATGCATTCTCCTTTTATTGGAAATTACCCAAACATATTTTCAAGCCATGTTTTCATTATTTCTGAGGAAGGTACTCATGCTATTGGTGGATGTGGAGATTTTTTCTTTCTTTTAGGGGACGCCATGTTGACCATGCTTATTGTTTTAACATATATTTTAGTTGACCATCATTTTACTAAATTTATTTATTTTTTATTGTAATTGTTAAATCACATTTTTCATATTCTCACCCTCTTCCTTCTCTCTCTCATCTTTTCTTCTATCCTGCCCCTTCCTCTTTTCCCTCTCCCCTGCTTTTGCTCCCTTACTTGGGGTGAACATCATTATCATAAGAAAAGGTGTTGTTGCTGCTGTTGGTTTGTCTCATGATTTGGAATTAGATAATGGTGTAAAGTAGAGTATCAGAGTAAATTGTGAACTGAATCTTTTATTCGCAGAAATTGAATGGCGGGAGTTGAAGACAGTAATATCTGGGCATGATCTTCAGCGTCTTGAGAAATATTCAAAGAACTTAGCTGATCGACACCTCATCACAGACTTGCTTCCAAGTATTGCGAGACTTTTCTTCATGAAGAAACTCCCAGCAGTACACTTATCACCTTTGCAGTCTGTAAGTTATATGTATATTTCTTCAGTTTCATGATGTCCTAAATTAGGAAAAATAAATTATGATTCCTGGGATAATTTTTTAGCCCAATTCCATGAAATGTAGTAGAAATTGTGTCATAACCTTTGTGTAGTGGTTATTTTCCTTGTTTTCACTAACATTGTCATCATTATTTATGGAACTACGTACAATAAAACCCCATAATTGAAATAATAGAGGCTCTAGCCTTTATGAATTATGAGATTTTCTGAAATATTAGGGACACCTTCTCCCAAGGGGTAAATAAACAGTCCTTTTCCATTATATGTGCCAATCAAAGTTTAAATGTTTCTAGGTACAGTTTTTGTTTCCTTAACAATGGCTGTACAGTAGTTATGAATGTTTGTGCATTTTAAGAAACTTTGATTACAACAAAATTTTAATAAAGTATTCATTTATTTTCGCAAGTATAAAATCCTAGCATTCGCTTATACCTTACCTATATATACATAGAAATTTGTGTATAAACAGTAATGCCTGCCGCGGGTCAGTGGAGTGAGCAATCAGCTAAATGCTGACGAGTGAAAGATCCGCTTAGCACACACACACACTCATGCTCTTAATTTTTCTTATTTATAGTTTTTTATTATATTTTATTTATTTCCAAGACACATTAGAGTACTGAAATGATTTTCCCACAACTTTTATTATTTCATTACATTTAAGAAAGGTAACATCCATAGCCATCTCTTGGCTGTCTGGCAACATGTTATGGGGGTTCTATTATTACTTATGATGGTTACTTTACATGATATTAGACGCTCTTCACAATATTTATACGTTATTCTCAGGTACTTAGTTGTTAGGCAGTAAGTAGACTGTCAGAAACCACTCATAAAATTACGACGAGACCACGAACCCAACATTAACATTCCCAACCAACCAAATGTACGCATCTTATGATTTTACACGTACACATCTTATGATTTTACACATACAGTACTGTACATGCATATACTTGTATAGTACATGCAGGATATTAGCAAAATAACTAATAAAATAGGTAATAAAACTTTTTAGTTTCTCTAAAATTTAGAGATGCACTCTCTCTCTTGGCATAGTGACATTGATATACAAGCACACATGCTGGGACAATATGAAAAAATCTGGGAGACCCATAACCATGTGTGGCGAGGCACAGTGGGAACTGACTTGTTGGGCCAAGCAATGGTGTGAGCTTGCTTGGTTGTTACCCAAAACTTCCATCTAGCAGAAGGCACTGCTAGTTGGAGAAGCAAATACCGGCACAAATTCGTCCCACTAAATCGAACTTCTGCAAAAAGGAATTCCATTATAATTAATGATTACTGCATTCACTCATGTCGTCTTCAACATGATTAAGGTTTCTTACTGCAGAATTTATATCCTGAGGTATTTTCCTTTTGTGTTTTTAAAATTTTAATCTGCCTTAGGATTCATCTTTAGTAAGATAAACATTATTTATAAAACTTATAAGCTAATGATTTTCTTGGAGAACCCATGGTACACCACCAACTAAGCCTATGGGGCTAGAACTCATACTGACATCCAATAATAGTGGCTCTGAAGAAAGCTATTACCTTTCAGAGCTGAAGGTTGTTAGGTCATTGTCACAAACAGTGTATAATACATCCCCCAGTTACTTGCTTGATTAAAACATAGTGACCACATTAATAATCTATCTTCAGTCCAAGCCATATTCACTCAGTGTGTGGACATATTGTTCTAGCTTTGCCTGCTCCTCTAAGAACAAGATAAGTGTATACTGATTAGGCTTGATTGGTTTCCAGAGTGAGGTTCAGAGGTTCAGTCGGTAATAAGTATATCTTTGTTTTAGGGGCCCTTGTTCTAGCTAATCCTTTGATTGGCTCCACCCATTGTTATTGGGGTTAAATGGGTTCTACTGCCATAGGCTTAGGTATAACATGGGTCCCTCTGTCTGGTCTCAATTATAAAATAGGAGTTAAAGATCAATTCACCATTTATATATAAATAGATATATTTTTATTGGCAGAGTCTCTTGGTTGGTTTAGGACTACAACTGAAGAGTTTTGATGATGTTACCAAACCGCTAGACCTTCCAATAGAATCTGCTCTTGGTCAGTTCAACCGAGCCATGCGCCGTCTCCTGAAGGTTATGTGCACCGTTCAGGAGACTGCTCTTGCCCGCCACCTTCCGAAGTCCACAGCGACCCTTGCTGAGTTCACACCTGTGTCTATTTCACTGGATCAGGACCTTGAAGATGCTGCAAAGGTTTGATTTAGAAATATAATCTATATCTTTTTTTTAATAACTTTGACTTAAACTCTTACAGATTCTGAATGTTGGTATTTTGATCATGCTAAAATATATTGGGAGTCCTCTTTGTTCATTGGGGGTGCTTTCCTGATGACCACGGCTAACAACAAAAGGATGAATAACGGTTCTGACTAACCCATTGACTTACATTTTTTGCATGAAAGATATGTTATAATCACATAAAATTACTTATTATTTGTTATAATAATATAGTAAACTTCCTCTAATCCAGATTAATGTTGGGGAAGGCCTTTGCTGGTTGGGTTGGGGTCTGTACCTATATTGCAAGGTGGAAAATTCCAGAGGATGAGGGATTTCTGTCTCAGGCTACCTAAAAACACCGAACCTATTGTAATTTTTAGCCTAGATTTAATTTCCCTCAGGATTTTATATGCCCAATGAACGTTTTTTCAGCCGTCTAGGGTTTTAACATCTGTGGAAAAAAGTAAACCTTTCCTCGGTCTCCTACGCTCTCGTCAGCTTGGTGCTGGCACTCAGTACAGCTGTATTCAGCGAGTCACCCAGCAGCTGGTGTTGCCGAGCACTCGTACGTCTAGCAGCCATGTGTCTTGTCATGGCTGTCACATCCAGCTATAATTAAGCCTCGTGCCCCCAAAATACCTCCATTTGATAGCCCATGACAAACAAATGGATAAAAATTTAAAAAAAATCCATTTTGTTCTTAGAATCTTTGTTATCAGGTTGAATTAACATGGTGTAAATGGGAATAGGTTTGATTCATTGGTTATTCTGTATTTTGCATACACCAAAAATCAGTGGCGTACTGTGGTTGCACTGCTGAGGCATGCAGAAAACATATATCAGTTATGAAATCAAATATCAAGTAGGATATGGCCTCTCTCTAGTTAAGGGTTGTCAAGCTTTTATAAACACCTAAGAAACTATACTAAAATTAAAATATCTTGCCTCAAATCATTTTGCAGTCAAGAAATATTTACTTATATTGAAATTCAGCTCTCCGAGGATTGTTTTTTTTATCTGTAAACGTGTACGAACTGAAAAATTTTCTTCTCAGTTCACTTAACACATCATCGTCCTTTAATTTTCACAATCTTGATCATTCATAATTTTAACTGGGGCAGTTTACTATCACTAATTAGTTACTGAACTTATCACCAGTCTATTGACTAGGCCACTGGGCTATATACTGCCTAATTCCTACTGTTTATGTTTGGCTAGTTGCCATTTAATTAAGAATCTAAATTACAGCTTCTCTTAATTTCTTAAATTATATCAGTGGCATCTGACAAAGTATATATTATAAATCATTAAATAATGGGTGTAAAAATATTTACGGCAAAAGAATGTTCATCTTTGAGTGTGATCTACAGTAATTTAGAAATAAAGTACTGTAGTTAAAAAAATGACTAGGCATCATGTAAAGTTGCCAATGATCTTATTGATGAACATTTAAATAATTAGTAAATATTTTTATTTGTATGATCCGATTATTATTTAAATTAAAACAGTAAAACCGAATAACTTTCCCAAGGGAAAAAACTATAACAGAAAGTGGACTGTAGGGTTATTTAGAAATATTAAAAAGAATAATGTGGACCAGTTTTGTCCAGCTGATGGAGAGCCGCTCGACAAGTGAATGCAGTTTTTGATGTGCATGCATTTGTACCCATTACATTTACAGAAACCTTATTAAATAGCCACTCTTTGGAACAACAACTCTTAGGTAATATAATGTCACCATATAACATTAGAATTCATGCTTATTAATGGGAAAAGTATTAAATTTGACTAAAATGGCTCAAATTCCTTATGCTTCAACACAATAAAGTTCATTTTAGCATGTTATTGATAAGATGGTTACGTCTATATGTCCATTGAAGGCATGCGGCTTATCCTTCTGCATGTATTGAGGGACGCTGAGTCTCCTCGACTTTCCTGGGTGAAAACTGTGAACTCTAAAATTAAATCTGTATTATTGAAGATACTATTTTAAAATATATTTTGCTTTCTACTAGGCATGCAATGCATGCCTTGTATGCATTAAGAATAAGCCATTGCCAAAAATTAATAAAAAGTCCCATAATAAATTATATGAAATATATTACTATACATAGCACATCATAAAATACAATAGCTCGTATTTTATGTAAAAAAAAAAATAGTTCCTTCCGTAAAACCGAGGCTGAACCAGCCACCCAGTTGACTCAGTCTTCAACATGTGTGGCAACTGCGTGTCACATGAGGCAGTAAGTAGACTGTCACAAACCACTTGTAAAAATGCTGGTGAGAGAGAGAAGAGAGAGGAGACTCAGCCATCATGACAAACAAAGACTGGCAATGCATTATCGTTGGAGCAAAAAAAAAAAAATTTCTTTTGGACTTCGCAATTGTACTTAACTAACCTTTAAGATGTGTTAATAGATAATGATGATCATAAATTGGGGTTTATAACTACAAGAAGCAGAGAGAAGCAAGTACACACAGTCATCGGCTGTTAAAAACTGGGGTGCACCCCACTGTGGCATTACCAATAGGAAAACATTGTGGCCAGCCAAACCCGCCCATTTCAAAACTGACCAGGTTAAAAAACAACCAGTTTTCTGATATATCCGGTTTCCTGGAGGTTAAATAAATGGTCTGGTACCTGCACCAATAATCATGGGGACAATGATTAGCTTTTTAGAACAAACTAGATTAAGGGAGAGTTAATCACTATACCATCCACTCTGATTGTCTGCCAAGGAACTAAGAGAGGAAACAGTTAGTTTAACTCAGACATGCTCAAATTCATTGGTGGTGAGGCATGTTAGGTGCTGATTGGGCAGCCACAGGTCTAGTGAGACCTTCAACCTTAAGGCAACTCCTGTTCTGAGCTCCCTTATTTGAAGCCAGTCTTATTGAGAGAAGGGAGGGGTTAAATGCACTAAATATGCAAGTGCACGAACAAATTCTCTCTGGGATGATGTGTAGGGCTGATGCCAAGTGATATAATGCCCACAAAAATGTCTCCTTGTATAGTTGTATTATGAGAGCCACCTACTTTGAAAATATGTTAAGATAACTTTAAACCTTTCCCTTTTTCCCTGGGGATATAAGCAAAACTCCTGCCCAACAGTTTGTGAGAAAAAATAACTATTTTCATTAAACAGGACTATGATGCTGAGGCTGAGAAAAAGGACAAAAATCAACCAGTTGGATCGAAGTTACTGGGAGACATCAGAAGGTTTGCCGTTCAGGGTAATGAGACCGCATGGGAAGCTGCTCTTCAGGAAGGGCCAGGCAGCATAATCAGTGTGAAAAGGTAATAAAAAATTTTTTTGTTTAATTTCTATAACTCGTTATAGCAACAAATTATCAAGGAATTACTTTATAGTCACTAAAAGGGACTCATAGATTAAATAATGGAAGATGAAAAGATAGGTTGCAGGAGGCACTAGATGCAAGGGGGATGGTCATTGTGATGAAAAATTGGCATGAGTGGTGGGTGATGTACTAAGTGACAAAAGTAAACTGGATGGATATTTTGTGGCTTTGTTATAGAATGGAAACACCTTAGCAGAATGCTTCTTGCTACAGTACTTGAAAGTGAGTAACAGTGAGTGAACAGAATGAACCATAAAATGATATTGTGAAACATACAGTAATTAATGTAGATAATATAGTTTGATTTAATATGTTTGTAAGTTATGAATAAGAGGAAGTGTGTTTGTGTAGAATGCAGTTTTCCCATTTAATATCAAACTCACATTAGGAGTCAAATTTATATTGGAACAATAGTTTAAATGCCCTCTAGCATCTTCAGGTGCAAACACTGTACGTAGCAGTAGCGAGCCCACTTACCGTATTTTATGGTATATAAGACACTACTTTTTTTTTGTCTGAAAAATTGCTAAAGAAGTTCAGCCTGCATCCTATATGTTAAGTTGCGGTCTTTCAAAGGCTAATGAACCCCCCCCCCCCTCCCCCTCCGTTCCTGTCTCCAGTAGGCTAACTTCTACCTAGCCCAACTCCAGAATTAAAATAATTATCATAAGGTCAAAAACATAAAGGAAATAAACATTTCTATATGTGCCAGCCAGAGTTAGTAGGGTGAGGGGGTAGTATGTTATGGTTATTTTTCAACTTGTAATTTTGTGTAGCTATACGTAACTTTCATATTTTTCTTTTTTACTGAAATACATGCACACACAATCCCACACACTGTACATATTTTGCATATAAAATGTAAAATAAATAATTATCATATGGTAGTATAATATAATATGAAACAACAAAGCCCAATCATTAATTAAACAACGGGGAACTAAGTAACCAATCGCCGACAACCTTTTACATTCATTCATAATTTTTACTACGTATTATAGTAAACAAACAGCCTTGAGTTGCCAGCTGTCTCCAGCAGTGTTTGAAGAATCTTGAACAAGACTACAGTATATTTTTTTAAGAAAATTATGGCTACAGGAGTTAAATAGTGTATACACAAATTTTTTCCCCCTAAATATTCCCTGCTGAAATGGGCTGCTGTGTCTTATATGCTATAAAATACGGTAACCCCTATTTATATCATTAGGTCTTTGATAAACTCTTGTTCACTATACGGTGCTTCACTTAACATTGCACATCCTACGTATAGCAAGGTATACTGTACATGTATTTGATATTTCTGAACTTTCCTGTTGCTATTAATACTTCTCCTTGTATTCCGTTCATACAGTAATTGGTTGCTTTTTATTCTCTCTATATACATTTTGGAACAGAAGAATTATAAAGAGAGAGACAAACATTACTTGAGTTTTAAAGAAAGTGGAGAGGAAAGATATTAAGAAAGTGACTGTGAGGGTGAGCATGTGTTCCTAGAGAAGAAAGTGACTGTGAGGGTGAGCATGTGTTCCTAGAGAAGAAAGTGACTGTGAGGGTGAGCATGTGTTCCTAGAGAAGAAAGTGGCTGTGTGAGGGTGAGCATGTGTTCCTAGAGAAGAAAGTGACTGTGGGTGAGCAAGTGTTCCTAGATAAGATAGTGACTGTGAGGGTGAGCAAGTGTTCCTAGAGAAGATAGTGACTGTGAGGGTGAGCATGTGTTCCTAGAGAAGAAAGTGACTGAGCATGTGTTCCTAGAGAAGAAAGTGGCTGTGTGAGGGTGAGCATCTGTTCCTAGAGAAGAAAGTGACTGAGGGTGAGCAAGTGTTCCTAGATAAGATAATGACTGTGAGGGTGAGCATGTGTTCCTAGATAAAATAGTGACTGAGGGTAAGCTACCTTATAATGTTGATCACTATATCTAGGTACAGTATACCAGTTACATAAATATTGTAAGAGAAATGTCACCAATTCACGTTACAGCACCAAACGGCCAGCCAAGATGACAGAGCAAGAACTTGAACTAGAACTAGAGCGCCCCAGTAAGAAGAAGAAAGATAAGACTGGAAAAAGTACAAGAGAAATGAAACCTAGTAAAAAAAACTGGTAAGAAGAGTAGATAGATGAAATTGTTTACCCTAAATGCAAAAGTTCGCAAAAATTGTTTTTCATTTGTCACCCTTTTTTCTGTACTGTACAGTAGTAGTATTTCTTACCTTGGAGTGATACACGATTGAGTCATTTTGCTTCTAGTCCATACTTTATAGATATTTGATTTTATATTAGGTTACATGCAAACACATACAAAAATGGACAGCAGTATCATTTGATTGTACTTAAGACACCATTGTTGTAATAAGCGCCAACCCTCTTGAGTGCAGACAGCAGAAAGATGAGCTTGAATCTGTCGCACCATCTGCAACTGGCCTAAAATGTGTTACTGATCCTTTGCCTTCATGCTTCTTGCTTTCAACATAAGTGAACCTATGACATGGCACCAAGTCTGGTCTTCCATCCACATTCTCAACAAAAATGTAGGTACATTGTTCAGTTGAATTCGTAATATTTTTACTTAATACAAAAAAAGAAAAGGACCAAGAACTTAATAGTGAATTGGCTTTTGTCTGAGGGAAAAAAATACGAATTCAACAAACTGTGGGCAGAGTTTTTTCCAAACACTATTAATGTTGGTTTCTTTTACCTCAGCCCGTGAATCTGCAGTATTTTTTACATCCAAAATGTTGTAGGACTTCCAAAATTCCTTTAAAGTCCCCATCAGGATTATTCCTTCACACTTGGTCATGCAATTTGTTAAATTAAGGTGGTTGTTATATTAGCAACAGATTCTATACCTTAAACAAATTCACGCCTAGGTGGCCATCCTCGAACATGACATGAGGGAATCCTTGGTGTTTTTTCCCCTGAAATGCAAGAATTTGGTCATATTTTAACAAGGCAAATTCTTGCATTTTTAGGGGAAAAAATATACCAAGACTATAGCCTTGGTGTTCTCTTTTTCTCTAAAAATGCAGGTATTTTAGTCATGGTTTCATGTTGAAGCCAAATTTATGTTAATACTGTACAGTATTAGCTGTTTTCACAAGTTTGGTTATCACAAGTACAGTAATGGAAATTACTATGTTTTATTGGCTTTGAATTCAGAATACAAAATCATTTAACCACATCATAACCTAACACAAAACTTTGTCGTTAGACCATTTACAGATCTATGATGTACAGGTACATATACATTATTTACAAAAAATATATATTAAACATCAATGAGCATCAGATAAAAAAATTCTATTATAAAATAACTTTTGCTTATCATTAAAGTTATGTAGAATTTTTTTTTAATGAAAAGTTCAGTTAAGGAAAACTTAAGCTTACATATAGTTTCTTTTTTTGAAACAATACACTGTATCTATCTTCAAAGTGCATGTACTTAGTTTATGGAAACACCTCACAAGCAAGCTTTAACTTTCCTATTTAAAGGTTATTGCACAGGGAATTTTTGGAATGTATGAATATTAAAATCAAATGATGGACTTCCTTACAGATTGCAACACCATATCATTAATAATAAAACTCAGATCTAAAAATCATTCAGTACTAAAAAAATATATTATCAAAGCAAGAAGTTAGCAGATTTATCAGCAAAACTCGATTTACTATTCGAAAAAGAATCCGTATTTTTCACAATGCAAGCTTTGCCCATAAGTTTCTGCTTTGTTAAAGTATTCACATATGAGCGACAGGGTGAGAAGTTAGTATTGGCAGCTCGGAGAGTGTGGGTGGTAGGTACTTATAGTACCAATGAATTCCCAAAGACATTTCTTCTAAAAAATTAACTATTTACAGAAAAAACAAAAAAGCTTACAAAGTATAAAGGAACAAAGATTCAACACTGCTCCTGATGTACCACAATATTATTTACCATTTATCAAAGAAAACTACATTGTATTCTCTGTTGTCCCACACTTAATGAGCCATGCACCAAAAGTAAAAAGATTGTTGGCAGAGGCAAATTGCCAAAACATTGAGACTTGGACTCTTCAGAAACTAACATTATGTACCTCAACAAATTTTATATTGATGAATGATGAAAATACACTGGAAAAGGAAGTTCCTTCTTAGGACCACATGGCACAGTCTTCCATTTTAAGTCTCAATGACCAGCACTTGAAACAGCGGGAAAATGCCCAATACTCTCTAGACAATCTAATGTTGTGTTTAACCAAAGAAACTATGATTTTAAATATAATTTAACCATTAAAAATGCCAGTAAATTTAATTTAAAGGAAGACACGATTCATTCCAAATGTTTCTTCTGAATAAGGGAACACATGAAAAAGTAAATCATATGAAAACTTAACAAAATGTGAGAGGTAATAGCTCATTAAAATAATTATTGCACTACCTCTGCTGTCCAAATATAAGACTTTTTACATACATGTAAATTACAAATGTGTTACAGAACATAAATATATATAATGTAAAAAATAATGAGGCAGTTACCTCATTTGCACTTGAGATCACAAAGCCTGTTACGACAGCGAGCTGCTTCACTTTACACTAGGGGTCACGTCATAAAGAAATCTTTCTTTTTAAATGTTCTTGAAAAATAGAGATAAGACACAATACAATGTATGCAGGAAAGGTCTTTGATGTACGGCAGTTTCTCTCAAAGTTATGTGTACATTACTCTTTTTTATGAATGTGACCGAGGTTCTTGCATTTGGGTAGTCAGTATCACAGTAACCACACAGACAGAGAAGTTTTCAACTCTTCCATTTAAATGTTTGTGTAGTGATTATTAAACTGATAGGCACCACTTTGTGACCAGGCTTGAGCTTCACATTCTGTGCTCACTTTTGTGCTTTGTACCTGTACTAATGAAAGCTCTGCTTCCATCACAGAAACTTTCCACTTTGCACATCTTTGTCTGTAGGAGCTAGCACAGGATTGGCTCTTAATATTACTCAGTCACAGCACAAAGCTAACCAAAATATACTATACTTGGAACCTCATCCACACAGCATTTATACATCATTTTCAACCTTGACATCCTCAGCGATTCAGACTAGACATGAGCAAGGGGCGGCGTAAGCTTCTTGTCTTTTCATAGCCAATCTTCATCACTGACTTTGGGTGTGGGAGGAGTAAGAAGGGGAAGGATACAAACCGCCCCGGCCTGGTAAGTGACGGCAAAACTTCTCAGTTCCTCCCAGTGCCAGCCATCTCCACAAATCAAGTCTTGGGTAGTCTTCATGCAAGCAGGCAAGCAGGCAGTAATATGTAAATGTGGTCACTGTACAGAAAATAGGTCTGTTCATGAGGCAGTGCATCAATCTTTAATAGATTGAAGTCTAACATTATTTGGGTCTTGGTAAAATTGGTCCAACAACAGGGGGTCATGCTGAAGGGGACGAGTACTGAATATTCTTTGTTCATTAGTGGCATTTTCATTACCATCTAAATGAACCTTCCTCAGAAAAATTAGAGGAGCAGATCTGGTGATCATCAGCCAGCAAGACTTTAAATCACCTAATCAACTCCACCTACAATTCACAAATCCAATGACCCTAATGAGCCTCAAAAATGACCTTAAACTTAAATCACCAAAGTATTCTTCCTTTCTCTTCACACAATAATTTCCCTGATAATACGCCTGTTACGCGAGTTTGGCGTCGAGTATCCTGATTCCAGGGATTCATCAAAGCTGATCTGGGGTTTGTTATCAGAGTTCATCTCTGCACCACCTTGTTCATAGTGCTCCATGTATGGGTCCGGCATGCCACTCACATCACAGCCTCCATCTGTAATATATTAGATATAAGTAGAGATTCCAGTATGAATATTTCTGAAAAGTATAAACAGTCTACTGCTCTATTCATTTTATTGTGACCAGTTATATTTAAGGATGGCCCAAGCATTTTTACCCTCTTATCACTCTTGCAAGCCTTTACAAAGCTGCATGGTATAATACAGTACTACAAACCTTAAACTGTACAGTCTAAATGGAATATCAATTAAATCTTACCAATGTGATCAACGCGTTTCCTGGGCTTGTGTACAGCAGCATAAGGGTCTCCATTTGAAATATAGTTGCCTCGTGAGCCTGGATAATCTTCAACCATTCCCTGCCCCTGGTATCCTGCTGGTGGATAATGAGAGTAGTCATCATATCCTGAGATGCCATAACCACCATGAACCATAGGGTCATACTGGTAACCCCTAGAGTCCTGAGACATATGTGGTGCCATGTGGGTTGTCATCTGTGGGTCACCATGGCCTTTCACTTGCCACAAGGAATCTTGAGAGTTTACTGAACCACCATTATTGGAATTGGAGTAGCTGTTGTCCATGTATCCCATGCCTAGAAAAAGGAAAGAACTATGTTTATAATAAATTTTAAAAATTAATTTCTAATACAAGCTAGCCCAACCTTCAGTTTGGATATTGGTAATTTGACATAATTAACAACTATTTTTGTCTTACCTCTTTTCATTCCAAGTTTGGAATCTTCAGGTACAGTATATGAAAAGGGAAAATACAGTATTCAGTATATGTTATACTGTATTGTGAAAAAGATCATTATTTCAGTGCTGTACTTTACTCCATATTACATGTCTGAATAAGTCACCTTGAAAAGTGCACACAGTATTAAACTTATTTTTTACTCATTTTGTACACCATCCCCTCCCCTCCTCCACTTTGTCTCCAGGTGTAGCACAAAGTTCAGGGCAGTGTACATTGAATGCATCACTACGTGTTCTTAATTTCATTTTAATGTTTTGCTCACCCCAACCCAACAAACATCCATACAAATTTTATTTGCATAAAATAAATGGAATTATTAATTTTACTTAAAATGAATTAATAAACATTTTAGAATGATTATGTTTTGCATACTTTTTGCAATCAAAAGTAACTATTACAACTATTTTCCCCATTTTGTGATCTCTCCAAACTGTGTTGTGTGAACCTACAGTGGAGAGCATCCCCCAAAGAATGATGTAATCAGACAATGAATGTTTAACACTAAAGCTAACATTAATAAAAACAATAAATATGTATGTTCCAACTTGAAAATTAAGTTCTGTACAGCATAACTTGAAACAGAAATAAGAAGCTATTGCACTCGCACAAAATTACTTGTTGGAGAAGTACAGTACAGGTATCTGAAAATTAGATGTGTTAATACATCATATTCAAATAACTTGCTCTGTTATTACATTACACTAATCCTTTGTAAGCAATGCATTATGGTATACCTGTATAATAAATTTAACTTACCATTATTATTTGGGGTATTAACTTGTCCATTCTGACTGTAGTTGTGATATTGTTGAGAGCTGTAAATGGCTGTCTTGGAGGGATCATCTAATCCAGTGTCCATGGACCCATCCAGACCTTTGTTGTCCATGCCAACTGTGTAGTATGGTGGTGGTGGGGCCTACAAGATGGAAAAATTCTTTACAAGAATTCCCATTAAAATATAAATATTTCATAGTGGTACGTTGCAGGCAGGGTCATCCTCAATTTTTATAACAGTCCAGAAAAAATATCTACATGTTAGCACAGTTATTCAGACCCTGCTGCTGCCACAATTTCCTTGGAAAAATTCATATAACAGTACAGTATCTTTAATTCACCATGTACAACCTTAATATTATACAGTGTTATAACTACCTGCTGGGTCACAACACCACGGTGAGCCACCTCCATGTCAGCAGTCTTGTTTTTTAGTTTGTTGTTTCTATGGCGGCAGCAACAGCAAATAAATATTAGAGCACCCACAGCTACAAACACGACACAACCAACGATGATTGCTACCATGTACGGCATTGACATAGACTTGGTTGGAAATGATGGCAAAGAGTCAACTGTTGATAAAAACATGGCCATCAGTAAAACTCAGTCTAAACGACATCAATTTTGTTTTACAGCAGGAAATATATTTCATGCTTATATTAATAGCACGGATAGTTATAATTTATGCTCTATCTATATATATATCTCTATATATATATATCTATATCTATATATATATATATCTATATATATATCTATATATATATATATATATCTCTATATATATATATCTATATCTATATATATATATATCTATATATATATCTATATATATATATATATCTATATATATATATCTATATATATATATATATCTATATATATATATATATATATATATATATATATATATATATATATCTATATCTATATCTATCTATATATATATATATATATATATATATATATATATATATATATATATATATTTTTTTTTTTTTTTTTTTTTTAACCCAACTCACCTTGTATAGCAGCACGATATTTTCCACAGCTGCTTGCAACAAATAGAGAACAAAACCTGATTCTAACTTCTTCTGGCACTTTCTTGCCCAAGTACACTTCACCATGGTCATTACTATCACTGCTGATGGGAACTCTTGTCTCCAGTGGAGACCATTCATCATTATCAACACTTCGAATTTCAACCTGACCTTGTAGCATCAAATCTGTTGGTAGAACTTTAAAGCTCAGCATATTTCCAGTTGTTTGAAAAAATACTTCCTCAGGCGCAGGTATTGTATCCACATCAACAAGAGTCATAGCTTCAAGTGGATCAGAAAAGTCGCTGTCTCCCATGATATTACTGGCTTTGACTTGTAATTTAAAAGCAGTCTGCTGAGGGAGAGGCTTGATGTTACAGGGGTTTTGGGTTTGGCAATCATGGCTCATACTCTCCCCAGACATAGTCTCTGCTCTTACGTAAAAGATTGTGTCTGCAAACCCTCCATTAAAACTCTCATCCCATGCCAACATAATGGCATCTATGTTCTGATCTATAACACGGAGATTTGTTGGGTGTTCAGGACGTCCCTTCTCTTGTAGTGTAATAAGTGTCTTGTGATCACCTCTGCTGTTTGTACCCTTACAAGTGTAACTACCATAGTCAGCTTCCGTTAATCCTCTCACAGTAAGTACTGATGCATAAACATCATCAGGTAAAGCAGTGTCATTTGTGGCATAGTGGGTACCATCAGGTTCAATGAAGTTGGGACCAAGTGACCACTGGAACTTGGGTTCAGGGTAAGCTTGCATGCGGCACTCAAGTTGTGCATCTTCTAGAAGATCAAATGCTACTTTGTTGGGTTTATGAACTGTAATTGGAGAATCTGTAAGAAGAAAATAGGACATCAGAATAAAATGTACACTATATATTCATCACCTGCATAATAATTATGAACACATTCATTGATTACATCAACACTCAAAATTATAAAATCTGACATTAGAATAAAATAGTATTTTATGCACATATTACATAGTTGCATCAACATTCAAAATTAGCAACTTACGTTCTACTCTTAGAAGCTGAGAGCTAGATACTTCTCGTACGTCATTCTTGAAAACACACTGGTATGTGCCACGGTCAGTGGGCAACAGCTGATTGTCGTTGATTCTTCTAGAACCTCTGAACTGCAGTGTTGACTGGACTGTGTGTGCTGCATTTTGGCCAATGGATGATTGTTCTACCAAGATATTATAAAATCCATCAGCAGGGCTTATTTCTTCTCCATCTTTTAACCAGCGGATAGAAGGCTGGGGCTTGCCCTGAGCACGACAAGCAAGACTAAGATCTGTTTTGCTAATGCGGTAGATGGCTGTTTCAGGAAGGTTCTCCAAGATACGTGGAGGCTGATGTACTCGAACACGTACTGAAGCTGGAGTACCTTTACCCAAGCGGTTTGAAGGCTGGCAGTAATATGTACCTTCATCAGTAAGAGAGGCTCGAGGAATGGTGTAATTGGCTCCTAGTGTGAGGGTGGCATCCGAGTCATGTCGCCACCAGCGGTATGTAGGCATGGGCCAACCTGGAGGATCAGCACCACAAGTAAGAGTCGACTGTTCACCCTGCACTGCAATAGGTTCAGCTGGGGTAATGTAAGTCTTTCCTGGAGCATGTCGCACCCTTACAGCAACAGTAGCATTACCGATACGATCACTAGGTTCCCCACCAGTTGGAGTGAGAATGTTCACAGCCCGACAAATATAGTTGCCCTGATTAACAGCAGACACACGACTCAATCTCAAAATATCTACACCACTCTGGCGGAATGAGTCATCTCCTTCTTTGAGCCACTCAATGGTAACTGGGGCTGGGTTGGCTGTTACATTGCAAGTGATTACAATGTCTTCCCCTTCATCTACATCTTTACTGGAGATTACTGAAACACGTGGTCCATACAGAACATCCAATGTTACTTCTGCCTCACGCAGGCGGCCTAATCCATTGTCAGCTTGACAGACATATTGACCAGCATCATCTAGAGATACATGATCTTTGATAAGGGTGTTTTGAGTACCAATGAAACGTCCACCACGTGTCCATCGCACATTACTCACAGGGGGTTTGGCATCTGCTGAACAAGTCAGTGTAGCAGACCTGTCTAACTCAACACGTAGGGGGTTTTCAGGGCCGATTGTGATGCGTGGATAATCTGGAAAAAAAATGGATTTTAGACTCTTCAATGAGAGAGTACATAAGAATGAAGGAAACTGCAGCGGGCCTATTGGCCCATACTGGGCAGTCCCATTTACACCCAACCCCTATTGCTCATATATCCATCTAACTTATGTTTGAAGCTATCCAGCGTATTCGAGTTGATGATGTTTGGTAACTTGTTCCATTCATCCACTACTCTATGTACACAAAGTGCTGTATGTGACTATGGAATGTCAATAATATAATATAGTCATACTTAAAAGAAAAAATACTTACAGTTAACACTGAGTGTGACAGTGGCCTCCATCTTCTCAGAATCTGAAAGAGCTCTGTTCCAGACAACACAGCGGTACTGAGCATCATCGTCGTCCTTTCCAGGATTAATCGTCAACACAGAAGTTGTGGGAAAGTCTCGTCCACCACCTGGTTTCAGCACACTGTACAGCTTCTGGTCAGACCCATATCGGTACCAACTGAGGATACCAAACAAATCTTAGAAAATTTATCACTGAGCATTAATATTAATACAGAAGTGAGTGCCTCATTACCTTACAGGTTCAACCAAAGATATCTCTGTGTAACTTTGCTGGTAAAACACACACAAATGCACATTATGATTCAAAACCCAAATTCTGGCATTTACAGCCAGGTGCAATTAAAATATGAGTGCAGTACAGTATCATTATAAACATCGAATTGGGAGTACATAGCACTTACATGATTTGCGGGTCGGGTGATCCACCCTGGGAGGAGCAGACAAGATCTATGGACTGTCCCTCGGTGGCGGTGGGAGCCTCAGGGTTTATCCTGGGGCTGCCTGGAGGAATGAGGACGGTAAGGTTGACGGTGGTGGTGTGCAGGTCAGACCCCGTCCCTGCCTCCTTGAACCGGCACTCAAACATCCCATTGTCTCGTTCGTACTTGGCATGGCTGATGGTCAGGTCGTAGCGTCCTTCACTAGCCTCCAGGTCCACTCTGTAACACAAACACTCCCCTTTAGTAATGACTTAACACCATTAGGTATTAAACCAAAATTAAAAAGTCCACAAGTATAACTAACTGTATCACTAGTAGGTGATAACTTATAGTGGTAAGAACACTTGTTAATGATTGAACTGCCAGTCAACAACATTGCAATATTTCTATGGGAAACCTATTGTACGTATGTACTCATGGGAAGTACTCTAAGTTATATATTTGAACACACAGTGACAGTTATATTCTTTAGTGTCACACCGTAATCACATGACTAACAATAATAATGCACTTTTCCTGCGTGGTATGAGGCAATAGAGAGTTAACAATTAGCTCATTACTTATCACTGATAACCATGACGCCTTCCCGAGCCCCCCAATGCCTTAACATATATGGTCAAAACCTGTTATAAATGGCAGCATCACGTAGATGATGATAAACTCACTTGGTCACTACGCTCAGACCCTTACTGATCATGTTAAATGATGAATAAGCCTACAGGAGAAAAGGTGAACAGGAAATCATTCTTTATTACCCAACAAAGTCCCAGAATCTATGACTGGCAATTTTCTGAATAAATAGTAGCCATAACTCTGGCACATTGGTCAAAGCAAATTTCCTTAACCACATGCATACAGTATCCTAAACAAGTTTGGTGAGGTTAAGTTGTTGACGAACGAGCAGCTAGGTGGACGACCAACGGTATTTCAAAAGGACGTCCCTATTGGAGGGTTCACGTACGTGAACGGAATAATGAGTATCAGCAGAGCGCCAGTAGCCCTAGCATTCCCAGACTGACCCAATCAAGCTCCACCTCACGACTCGTCCACCACATATCGTTCATCATTCTAAAATTAAATAAATGCAGTGCGAATGACCTAAAACTACTACAACCGAATACCACCGACCCTTTCTCTGCGTTTTGAATGTAGAAAAAGAGGAGAAAACGTTCAAAGGATCAAAATTAACCTATTTGAATTAAGAAGCAAATTTTGGCTGTTGTAGCGGTAGCGAGGTTTCCCACGAGAATTAGCCAGCCACCATTATGTGTGGGGGAGGAGTGGGTGTACCACTGTGTGCCACTTTAACTGCCATGTCACCATTCATTGTCGACGAGATCTATAAATTAAAAGGTTTTATGAAGTATTTATAAATTATGGCCATTATAGATTATCATAATAAAGTGCGATATTTAAGAATTAAGGCCAAGAGTTATCTTGATCAAAATAGGAGTAAGCTGGCAGGGTCCGATTTTTGTTTGGTAGGGTGCAGTTGCCATGAAGAAATCACCCCCACCCCAGAGATGACAATATGAATGATGGCAGAACTGTGTGTGTGTGTGTAGGTTGGGACCTAGTAGGGATGAATCATGACTAGCTGATAATTTTTTACTATTACAATAATAAAACGTTCTGTTATGTCTTTCTTTCTAATTATCAACTTCCTCTTCCCTACTCTTAATTCTACCCACTTGTAAGTAATGTTCCTCGGTATCTATACTGCCTTACTCGTACCTATCAACGCCCTCAATTCGTCCATTTGCACCCAACTGCTACTGTACCAGATTTAGCCGAGTTGGTATCAGATAGAGTCCAGATGGTATCAGATTGGGCTTGGACTGGTAGGTGGACCCCAGTGACCGGTTTATGGCTTACAGCAGTGGTCAGGTTCACTTGATGATAACACCTCACACTCGTAACCCGAACCCTCAACTCTAATAAAATTAATATGACCACAAGTCTTCCCACCTCCTGACCAACAGTAATAAACACCCTTAGTGGACGTCTCTCTCTAAAAGATCAGACAAGAAACCGGTGCTTCTGCTAATATAATCTGCTATTAACAAAAAAAAAAAAAAACTTCCCATTTCTTTTCCCAACAAAGGTCATTATCAACTATTTGTATTTGTTTTCCGGATATCATGTGACTGAAATACTGCTATTATCTTTATTAGTATTATTTACATGCCTTTGAACATGCCAATAATACCTTTCACACAAGACAACACAAAGATCACGATCCTACCTTCAAGCTCTTCTCGATATACTGTACTGACCTCAACTCAAAGACAAACGCACGGATAAACACGTCTTGGCTCTTTCCTGCTACATGACGTGGTGGCTCATTATTAAGTGATATTATACAAAAATACTGTACAACAGGGGCGTACCTAGTGGGTGGCAGAAGGGGGCAGCCGCCCTGGGCGCCAAGGTAAGGGGGGCGCCGAAGTGTCTATTAATTAATTAATTATTTTTGTTTTGTTTTGTTTTCAAAGGAAGATAAAAAAAAAGATTACTCTCGCAGAAAAGCCTGTACTACTGATACACTGGATGGGTTAATACATAATCTCCAATTTATAAACACCGGGTATTAAATATATATTATTATTAACACTTTTCAAGTGTCAATATAACAGTATTTTCTAAACCGAATGTAGACTAAATGTTTTGAGCAGTAAATTGCTGAGTACTTATAATTATTTCATTTGGATTACGCAGTTCAGTTCTGGTCACCGTATTACAGAATGGATATAGAATCCTTGGAAAGAATCCAGAGGAGAATGACAAGACTAATCCCGGGCATTAGGAACCTTGAGTACAGAGACAGGTTAAAGCATCTTAATTTGCACTCTCTCGAGAGACGTAGTGAGGGGCGACATGATAGAGGTGTATAAATGGAAGTCAGGGTTAAACAAAGGGGACATTACAAAGGTACTCAAACTATCCAACCAGACAAATTTAGATTTCGGCGTGAAATAGGTAAACACTGGTTTTGAAACAGAGTAGTGGATGAATGGAACAAATTACCAAATATCATCATTAACTCGAATACGCTGGATAGCTTCAAACACAGGTTGGATGCTCATTTGAGCAATACGGGTTGGGTATAAACGGGACTGCCCAGTATGGGTCAATAGGCCCGCTGCAGTTTCCTCCATTCTTATGTTCTTACGCTCTTTACCCTACTCATCCAAGCTCGATTCCTGGTAAAATTGACATTCCACAATGTTCAATGCTCCTTCTCATACCATTTATTTTTACTACTGATCAATTTCCACTACTTATTCTACCCACTTAAAAGCTTTAAACAGCCAGCTGGTACTGTATCAGATTGCACCAAGTTATAAGGGCTGTACTGTACTCACTTGTAGCTAATGTCGAAGGGAGTGTTGCCGATGGCTACGTTGTCCTTCTCTCCGTTGCGCTGCCTCATCCAGTAGAACTCGCCGCCCGTGGAGAGGAGCGCCGGGTTGTTGAAGCGGCACTTGAGCGTGACATCCTTACCCTCCCGTACGTCTGCCACCTCCTCGCGGTTGGTGGCGCATGCGAACCCAACTCCTGTGAAAGTAAAAAGTGGAACAAAAGGTTATATACTGTGTACTGTCAATTGTATCATAAATAACAAAGTACGTATAAAATCAACTGCAACAATGACAGCCAACCACAGATTACAAATAAATTCAACCATAAAAAAACGAAAAGTCTTGTATTTTTACTTGGTAATACAAAGCTTTAACTTCATCACTGCCACACATTTCATACAACATTTAGGCAAGGCAACATAAATTACGACCACCAACAAACAAGTTATTGTTCTACACTAAACAATTGTGATAAATTTTGTGCACTACGAGTTAGTAAAGAATCGAATGTTTCTCATAATTAAGTTACCTCACAGTCCAAATCCTACAAAGGTTAAACAAATTATATTCTAAAATACCAAAACACCGCAGCTTATGAGGCAGGGGGTAAGAAAATATTACCTTGGTAGACTCCAGGCAAATAATGAAGTGCTGGGAGCTACTGCCAAAGCTTCGCAGGTTATATTTCCCCCAACTGGTAATGTGAGAGCAGTGAACTGGCTAACTTGGGCTATACCGGAATGGCACCGAGACTCAATCGCATCTTGACTGCATTTTTTATTCCCATTTAGAAGATATTAAATATGCATACCTTGGAATATCCGGGCGATTGGACAACTCGAGAGACAATGTGGTGGTAAAGTTGTCTGTCGGCTCCTCCGACGTGACCTGGTTTATATTACATCAACACCTCTACACTTCACACCCACCCACCCAACCATCCAGCGGTGAGTGGGGCTGGCGGACAACGTCTTGGTCAGCTACAACTATTCATCAATATGGAAGACTGGCTGTAAAACCCCCTTACAGTAGCCATGCCCAAATCTCAGCCACTCACCCAGTGTTGATTAGGCAGCAGGGAAGAGATGAGGGAGGAGGAGGGGTAACCGGTTCCTCCACTTACCTGACTACCTGCAACTTTTCATCAATATGGAAGGCTGACTAAGATCGGTGACCCCTTGTCCTCCCTGATACACCTGTACCCTTATGTGCCTCTGCTCCTGTACCCTTAGGTGCCTCTGCTCCTGTACCCTTATGTGCCTCTGCTCCTGTACCCTTAGGTGCCTCTGCTCTCCAGTGGGCGACCCATCTGGGGGGTGTTCCTTGCTCAGTGTGCTCACTAGTGTAACACAAACCTCACTAGTCTTGTTCATGACCGCTCAACAACACAATCGCAATGTTTCTTACAAGACACGACTCAAAATTCATCGTCACTAAATGTGGGTAGCCAGAGTAAGGCATCAGAATTTAGGATACAATTGTGGTAGCAAAATGAGACAGGGTTCGGGTGGTACGGGCAAGGCAGTGACCATCAGCCCAGCTTACCTGACCAGCCAGCCAGCCAGCCAACCACGCCCACACACCACCTACCTCCACCTCTCTGTCCTCTAGAATCTAGATGAACGTCTTACTCAAACGTTGTGTGTGTCCACCTGTTCCTCAGTAAAACCGGGTGTCAGGGATTCAGTCTCTCCATACTGCACGTCAGCTGAGACTAGTGTGGCCACCGTCACTAGATGTCATTCCCCCTCCCTCACCAAGGAACCGCTCATAATAAGACAATAAAAATCCATCTCATTCTATACTACACTGCCTAGTTAATACAAGTCCCAACGGAAGGACTGGATAGGCAGACAGGTTCATTAATATGGGGAAGGAAGACCGGTTAAGTAGGGATACCCAAGATTGGGCTTGACGGGCGGGCTTTATTAGGTATTCAGACGTTTGGGCCATGACCCCCCCGACACTTGGGCCACGAGCTGTATGTAGGGTGGACCATGGACAAAAAATTTCCTTCTGTAAATTATAATCCCCTTAATACCCCTGAGAACCTTCCTGTCCTACAATCGCTTTATCACGTCGCTGATCCTTCAGTAGCTGCTGTGGTGCCCCAACCTGACCTGTCCCTCACACACGGCGCACCACGCCTCTAAACAACGTCAAATCCACAATAAATATCCACTCTTTTGTGCTGTATGCGCCACACAACCACAGACGTATCCAATAATAGAAACGGCACTACAGGGCAAGGTCGACAGTGTCACCAGGCCTTCGTCAATAACTTCCCTCCTCCTCCTTTCTACCTCCTTTCACACCTCTCCTTCCACCACAGCCTTGCCTCTCTCCCTCCACCACAGCCTTGCCTCTCTCCCTCCACCACAGCCTTGCCTCTCTCCCTCCACCACAGCCTACCTTCCAAGAACAGGTTTGAGCAGAGCGGCATGACGTGGAGCGGGTCAGAGCAGACATTAGGAAACCGTAGTGGCAGGCAGGGAGTGACCGCCGCCTTCAACACACATTACCGAATACTTGAAGGGAAAGCTGATGGAAAATGGAAGAGGACCCAACACAGGTGCCCTCATACCTCCAACAAGTCTACCTGTGTGTGTGTGTGTGTGTGTGTTATCCCGCCCTGCTTATCACCACACACCCTCAACAGCGAGTTTTAACACACCACCATCTTCTATACATGACGTCATATGTAAACAAAGCAACACCACCTGCCATGACGTCACATGTAGTAAACAAAGTGCATATCCTCACACCGCCTTGTTGTCCACTCTTTTACATCATTACGCTATCATACAGGTGCACTATCATACACCTTTGCCCATCTTAATCCTGATACCTGAATTATGAATGTGATCTCAATTCAGATAAGTGTGACGGTTTCCAAATACCCAAGATATCACTTAAAGCTCTTGATTTGTATTTTTTAAGTCCTTACGTTAAATTTTCTTGGGTAGCAATAGAGGTAAGATGGCATCCACCTGGCTCACAAACTAAAACATAAAAATGAATTAAAATTTGCATAAAATTAATTTATTTGGGGACGAAATTAACATATAAAACCTCAGTGAATCTGGACCCAAGTTACGGTGGAGTGAGGCGAGTGTGTGAGGGCCCGGGGGGAAGGCGGAGGAGCCACTATTACTGTAGCTCACCTCCGCCTCCAACACTGACTTCCCTTCCCGTGTACACCACCACCTGTCACTGGCACACAGCCAAGCAGCCACTGCCTCCCAGGTGCTGTTTAGTCCAGGTGCTAAACTATTGGTAAGGGAGCGTAGTGTACATACATCCCCTCTACCACACCAACACCCAACTCTAATAAAAGGCTTCTTGAGAAAATTTTCAATAACTCGGCATTTTCACAAGTTCCTGAATTATCCCAGGCTGTAGTGGTGATCGCTGAACTGGTAGGATGCTGGTGGTAACATCCTGGCTGATCACAGTCACCCCAGAGGAGGTTAGGTAGAGCCTCCAGAGTCGACGATGAATGAACAACAAAGGCTTCACTCACGAGACCTTGCACGATGCGTTTGCGTTAACTCCTCTTAGCTGCCACACAACCCTCCCTCCCGCCCTGAACACAGCCATCTCTCTTCCTCCTCGGTAACACCCAATCATCACACGATCCATCCCTGTCATATCCTGCACGATGCTTCGACAATGCCTTCCTGTAAAGGCTGGGGCAATCCTACCTTCCACATCCTCAAGAAACCCTAAATGGTGTGGAGGGGGGGGGGAGATGGTGGTTGGTGGTGTGCATCACACAGTAGCGCACATCACCACCGCCAACTTCCACCAAGACTCACGACTCTCTACAAAAACCTCAACTTCCCACCGCCAGGCCAGGTAGGTCAGGTGTGTGTGTGTGTGTGTGTGTGTGTGTGTAATTAAATCCCAACGTGCATCGAATTACCTCCTTTTTCCCCGTGTGTGAGGGGGAGGCGTGCGTGCAGGGGGGTGGCGGTGCAGGCTGGGAATCCTCTGCTTGCCGTCCTGTATGTGTGATGCCTGCACTCAACAGACCTAAAAGCCCTCGAAGCGTTTCTCACACCTAGAACGAACGAACGAACGAACCAACGCACCTCTAAAGTAAACAAACTATACTCTCGCCTAAGTCTGTCCAATTTAAATGATGATGAAAATACTAACAATAAAAATATCTCCCCATATCTAGACTCTACAGCTGTACTGACCAATTAAAACACGCGATAATTAAATCTACGATGTAATTGGTGGTGTAGGAGTGCCGGTGATAACCCCCCCCCCCCACCGCGTCTTATCTAAAGTGCACGATACATCCATTAACGAACAATGCAATTACAATCCCACTAGGAAGAGCCATTATCCCAACCTGGGGTCCTGGATAATGCTAACCCATACTGACGCCGAAGTCGACATTCCTCACCTACACCACCAATACCGCCGCCCTTACCTACACCTGCAGTGTTTAGGTACAGCGCGAGGAATGATTTAATTCGCCAATCACAGCCCTCCGATATACCTTATAACTGGCTAATCGGGGGATTCTTCTACTGCTACTCCCTCATTAGTAATTAATCCAGGTCTTTAAAACCAATCACAAGAACTACATTACGTTGTTTTCCTATGTTCTAACCTCGTGCCTAGACTGGTGAAAAACTCGCCAGGAATATGTATTAAATGGTAAAAATAACAGACAGACAGACAAAGACAACAATCCCAATATCCCTTCATCATTTTCACGGGAAGGAGACTTATAAATATTGTTCCTTACTGCTAATGGACAGAAGACAATGGAAAGATTTTATTTATACACTAATAATCGTCTATTCAAATCCCTGTACACCTTATTATCGTCTATCTTGTCTTCTATTTCATCACATCAAGGATAAACTATTGGGATAATATCACAAATCCTAACACTGATAATCCTACAGTGGGATTTCAATGTTTTGATATTAACATTAGCCACTATAGTACTTCCCCGGCCTCCTCCCCACCCCGTGTGTTGGGGAGGGGGGAGAATGATGGGGGGGAGGGGGATTAGGGAGGGAGGCAGATGACCAGACTAGTAGCTGCCCGAGAGAAAAAAAAACAAAAAACACTCGGTCATCCTCACCGTCCTGATGTGCCCGCCAGCACTACTACCACTGACGTCCACTGATTCCTACAACCTCCCCTCTCACCATACACCTCACATCCACCAATCACCTCAATTAACTAACTCCTAATTTAGATGACGTCAAAAATAGTAAAAAAAAAAGTATCTGTCATATTTGTAAATCAAAATCGTCGTCAACACCAGAGTAAAGGCGATACCCCACGAGACCTTTAAATACATACGTGAATACTGCCAACAAAACAGTCACAGATAACGTTAGTGAACTAGAGGTTTGTGTGTGTGTGTGTGTGTGTGTGTGTGTTTTGGGGGTAGTGGGGTGGGGGGTAGTGGGGTGGGGGGTAGTGGGGTGGTGAGGGGTGTAGGGTTGGGGGTAACAGACACGGATGAACCAGACTGTTGAGTAGCCGAGTCCTGGAGATGCACTATCAACCCTCCCTCCTGCCCCCTCTCCCCCCTGCCAGCAGCAGCGCAACAACCACCTCCTTCAGCCCTCTTACCACCGACCGGCATCCTCTTCCTCCTACCCCAACGCAGCCATCATCCCCTCCCTCCCAACAATTCCTTCAGCCCCCTCCGTCATCCTTATGCCCCCTCCTCCCACCACTAACAACACTCCTACTACATCACAACCCACCCAAAAAACCCCTACTCCTCCCTCTACTGGCAGCCAACAACACCTCGTCCTTCACTCCTACCATCCTCCTCCTCCAAGCCCTCCCAACCCACTACTAGCAGCACACAACCATCCCCCCTCTCTGTTGCACCCCCACCATCCTCCTCCACTTATACCCCCATCCCCCTACTAGCAGCCCACAACCACTCCTCCCCCTCTCCTCCAACAACCGGTTCTGGCAGCTACATAAACCCGCTTTATGACGGGCAGGCTCGGGGAAAGACCACTAATGGAGTCCCAGGCCTCCCTCCCTCCGTCCGTCTCAGTTTCAATTTGAGGGACAGATAGCCGCTGTTAATCGAGGTTTGAGAAAGTTAATCCTGAACCGTCCGTGATGAGTCGTGTGAGACGGGGCGCTTACACTGCACTTCAGGGATAAGAGACCGGGATGACCCGTAACACCTACCTACCCCCCCCACCCCAAAAAGGGACCCTCGGATAGATCCCTTTAACGCGCTGGATAGAAGGATAGATATTTTTTATATATCAGATTTTTAGCAACTTCTGTGTTCCATAAGTCGCACCTGCGAAGCTGATTAATAATTCTAATCTTTTCGGTGTTTACATAAAACCAGTCAATACACTTG